GGCCTTTGTAAACCTTCGTGGCAGCATCGTACTGAACTTGCAGTCTAGCCTTGACCTGTTCCACCGGTGCTGCGATAAAACTCACCGTCAGGCCTGAGCCAAGACCAGCAAGGCAGTGGCCTGCCAGTGGAAGTTTCTTGTTATCGTAAAGGTTCTCTTTCAAAAAGCGTCTGTAAACATGTAGGGAACCAAGCATGACACTGTCCATCAACACCCATCCCACTAGGGGTGGTGTGCATCCCTTGTAGAAACCTTTGATTCCCTCTTTCTGTAGAGTGAGATAACAGCAGTTCAAAGGGCCAGTAAATCTTCCGGGCTCAGCGGTCTGTAGCCTGACCTTGACCGTGTCGAACGGGTGGCCCACCATGTTCTTCGCTATTCCCGAAAAGGTCCCAGCCAAAAACCCGAGGTACCTCGGTGGAGGATCCTTGTGCTCCGACATCTGTATTGCACCACCAAAAAAATCGCAAAAACACGTTGACAATGTCAAAGAGGCTTTCCTGCCGGTTCCTGCTTTCGCTGAAAAGTTCAAGTGTGTTACTCATCTTCGGTCGGATCACAGATCTTACCCTCGGCGGGGTTCCGGTCACCACGGTGGTTTACCCCAGATTTCAACTTACGCTTCTGTGCTTAATTCTAATTATAGAAAATTTAGAGAACGAATCGCAAATTCACATCGATCGGATGAGACGAAGACAACTGTGGCTTCTGAGAGTACTTCTGGGCTAATAAAACACGAACATTCTGAAGCAGCGTGATGTAGCTCTGCACAGGGTTTTGGGTCATGACGGTGATGAAGGCCCAAGACATTGCACCCGTCGCGATCCCGTTAACCGATGAGTCACTACTTGTCTGTGTATCTTTGCATCCCGAGAAAGATATAACGTCAGCAGGTGACATCTTCTGTTGTTTGACGCGATCTGCTTGTGACGAATTGGAGTTCTTGAAACGCGAGAAGACACTGGAGACACTGTTTGCCATCAATCGCGTATTCCCTGTTGCATATCCCATGATTGCCTGCATTGCATCCCCCTTCGACTCCTTCCAGATATTATACTCCTTGATACCACCGTCCTGGGCTCTATACACAAATGGAAGATCCAACGCAGTTCCTGAATGGCAAGAATCAAACAGCGCTGTCAGTCTAACACCAGCCCTTAATGGTCTAACCATTATATCATGCATCTGGTCATCAACTATATGGCCAGCTACCTGGAAGTCGACGGGGTAAATTACGTCGTCAAAGCCATCCACCTCATCTCCGTCCAGATCTTGCGTTCGACCCCCGTGGCCAGAATAGTGGAAAAATAACGAATCGTTCGGACGAGCATCTTTTACCAGCCATTGCATTGCCCTCAACATATTCTGTTTTGTGGGTACCCTTCTCATATCCCTGGTATCATCAGTCAAAATCACCATGTCTCCGAAGGCATACCCATGGTAATCATGCAGGTACCGTGACATAGTACGCACATCATTGATACACCCACCAAGCTGGTTTTTAGAGCCAAAATAATTAATTCCGATCAGCAAAGCCTTTTTCCTACCGGTACAATTGGAATATTGAAACTGTTGTACCCGGCCATGGTTTGTCACTACAGATGACTGCATCTGATTGGAAGGTGGAGGGTTCATGGGTCGCTGGTACTGTTTTTGCTGGACATATCCCGGTGGGGGCACCGGTGGTCGCTGATAGTGTCGGTGCTGTTGTCCTGGGTACATTGTTGGTTCAGTTGGCGGAAGAAAAGAACACTGAAGCGGCTTAGCCTCATGAGCAGGTTTGAAACCTCAACTGCACAGCCTCATAGATATGTCTGGTTTAGTGCACGACCATATATCTCTTAGGAAGTGATCAAAGAATTTGGCAAAATACGAAAAAGGTCAAAGATATAATAAATAATGAATTTCTCTAAGTTTCTCCAAAATCACGTCTCAAACTGATATTTGTAAATTTCCTTCACAGCACCGTCAGATTCGTACCGCATGTACTTCTTAACAGCTGGACCCCAGCCGAGAGCTCTCTTGTAGAGCGCCATTCCTTCAGGAAGGCCATCAATTGCGCCACAAAGTGTCTCTCCAAGACCCTCTGCCCGAATATCAGTCAATGGGTACACGTAGGTCTTGACGGACATCACGTTACATTCTGAGTTCGGCAGATGGGTGAAAGCTTGTTTCTCGCAGCGCAGAAAGCATTTGTTGAAGTCCAGATCATCAGGATCAAGCACTTCTAATGTCTTCTTTTCACCGGCATGGTTCTCAGTAAGAGCAAACAACTTTCCATGCGTCTGAATTGACCAATTTGAGCGGTACTTTAGCTCACCTGCTTGTAACCTCGCAAAAAACTTGTTCATTGAAAGCTGCAATTTTGACAAGTATCCGGGAACAGGTCCATGAATGGTTGTCAAGGGTTTATTTGCCTTGAAACTAGGATCGAAACCAGCTGGGAACAAAGAAACTCCAGCACGAACATGGTACTCGTCATGATCACCTTCTGCTGGATTCTTGATTAGAACAATTAAATCATCGTTAATAGTCACAGCCAGAACCTTTAATGCCTCGACCGGATCATCGATATGACCACTGTGCAAAGGCAGGTATTCATCGCGAATTTCGTTGTAGAGTTTCATTGCTCCATCATTAGCAGCAACAGGGTAGAAGTACATCGGGTATCTTTGCATCAAAAACTTTGTCACAGCATCGTAAAGCTCCAGAACAGCTTCACGAGCAGACTCGTGGAACGAAATCACCGTATTAGGATGTTGCGCAAGAATTTTTGCACGGATATTGGACACCCACAAGTACGTGTTGTCGATGACAATCCAGTCATCATGATCCAGCGTTTTCAGACCCATGGTCATCTTGTACTCAGCAGCTCTGAACGTCCTAAATTTCTCAGGTTCAACCTTTTTCCAGTCAAATCCTTCCTCAACTGGAGTGGTTCCAACGTACGGCAGTGGCCTCTGGGGTTTCTTCTCTTCTCGAGAACCCAACCAACCTACGATCTGGCCATACACATCCGGAAAAAACACCTGAGCCACTTTTGCAACCACCACAACACCGGCAATGGCCGCAATGGGCCTTGCGAGAGCACTGGATTGCATTTTGCTAGTCTTGTTGGGAAGAACGATGGGAAACAAAACATTTTTCGTTGCAAAAGTACCATTTGACGGCGAAGGTCGTGCGACTGGCAACGGCTATCGGGCCCCGTTCCTTATCAGTCTTATCGCGGAAGGGGATTTGGGACACGCTGCTTTGGGCAATTCGCGCGTAATGCGCCTTATTCGAGAGATAATTGCCGAAATAGGGAGTAAATTGAGAGTTTATACAAGGTAAAGATCTGTAAGATGCTGTGGGATGACAAAAGATGAGTACGAGATTGGACGGTTATATAAGAGGCTGTGGGATGAAAAGTGATCTGAGTAGACGTTCTTAGAAATGAGGCTGGATGGAAAATGAGCAGATGATGGCACCCTTATGTAAATCTATGTAAGTTCATAGTGTCATAAAGGGGGTATAAGGTTGAAAAAAATGAAGAATACGGTATATGGAAAGAGGGATAAGCCGGATATAATCAGACAGTTCAAGTGCGTGATGTACACCAGATACTTGTACAATGTGCTGAAAGATGGACAGAAAGGAAGCTATGTGCTGTAACTCCATAGCGCTAGGGGTACGAACTACCATGGCAATGTAAACATCATAAAGATGAATTTTTAATTAAACAGATTCTTTTGATGATGCTATTTGAGCCCACTTTCTATATTAGTGCAGACTGTCCGCGTTAGAATTGAGTGTTCTTAGTAGTCTGGAAAGAAGACGGGTGGAAAGTGGACAGAGAAGTTGACGGAGAAACAGAGTGGATGCATCGTCTAGAGGTGAGCCTTTGGATGGTTCATCGGATTGGTCAAAGCTGTTCAAGGCAGATTATTCACAGCTCGGCTGTTCATCTGTTCAACGATCTGGTAGTTCAAGATTTCACTAGTCAACTGTTACTCGCTCCATCATCACAATTCCCTCACAACATCCTCTCAATCCCATTACTCCTAAACTGATCCAACTTTCCAAGATTTGCCCACCACTTGAACAAATACGACTCGCAAATCAACTTGAACCACGGCGTAAACGTCAACGAAGAATCTTCAAACATCGCTTTCAGCTCAGCAGCAGTCACATACTTGATGTCCTTTACCTCGTTGGGGTTAGGCGTCACCACAGGATCTGCTCTCGTAATGAGAATGTAATCAATCTCATGCTCTCCCCAAATTCCGTTGCTGGGAGCCATGTAATGAATACGCGTTAGGAACTTGAAGCCGTCAACGGGGACAAACCGGGCCGCAATCCCCAGTTCCTGTTCCAACTTGCGCTGCGCCGCAGATTGAGCTCCTCTAACAGCAGCGTCCAAATCGGAGCCGAGCTCTCCCGGAACACACAAAGGATGCGAGCAGCACGTATTGGTCCACATCGATGGAAAAGTGATTTTCTCATCGGCCCTCTGCTGCAACAGAAGACGGTCCTGAGAATCAAATAAGAAAACAGAAAAGGCACGGTGCAAAAGACCACGGTCAATATTGTCCATGATGTGGCAAACTTTTTTGGTGGCAGCACCCACGGGGATATCGTCATAATCCAGAACAATACAATTTTCCTCCATCAACCTAATTTGCTCTTCATCATAGCCTTTGAAAATGGACTCGTCGTTCGCGTCGTTTGAGCCAGAAGACGATGGTGCCCCGGAAGTTTCTTCCATTGGTATCACCTCCGGAAATTCCCTGAGGATATCCACAGCCTTAAGACCTTGGACTAGATCAGAGTACGTGTTAATTTTCTCGTTTGTCATTGAAATGGTCTAGTCATAAACACCTCAAATTACTACAACAGAACTCGGCTAAAAGAGGTGCCCCGATGAAAAACCAACATAGAGTGGCTTGCCCGATGGCATTTGGCAGACCCCATCGTCGACCGGCGTCGAATCTGAAAAGTTGGGCGATGCTTGATCTCTCGGAGGCTTTAAGTTTGACACCAGAGTTGAATCCGGAATTAGTTTGATGTAAGTATTTGCATAAGGATAGTGGTTGGAACCAGTTATACCAAATTGCGCCTTAATTCTCGAATCTTCGCTGCATATTAAGCTCACTCGCTTAGCATGCTTCGCTTACAGCTCCAGCATACTAACAGTTCACAGATCAGAACAAAATGTCTTCTCCTCCTCCTCCAAGTCAGCGTTCGTTCCGCCCCAGACGCTTCATCAAGGGTCCCGATAACCAGGCCCACAATGCCAAAGTTGCCGAACTCAGGGCCCAGATCGATGTCATCTCCAAGCAGATCGACAAGGCCGTGGTTGGCTCTGCCATTGTTGAGGAGCGTAAGACTCTGACCGAGGAGCTCAAGGGTTTAATGAAGGAGCAAGCTGCCATGAAGGAGCAGCGTCAGGCCGTCAACAACCAGCTCAAGTCGGTAGAGGCTGAGGTGAAGCGCAAGGTCAAGGAGATTGAGTCCGTCTTCAGCAAGAACTCTTTCAAGAGTGTTGGTGCTATCGACAAGCGCATTTCCGAAATTGACGAGCAAGTCGAATCCGGAGCTCTCAAGCTGGTGGACGAAAAGCGTCTCATTAAGGAGCAACAGTCTCTGTTTAAACTGAGAAAGGACTTCTCCAGCGTCGAGGCCCAGCAGAAATCAATTGACTCTGACAAGGCCAAGATCGATGAGCTGAAGAAGAAGCTCTCTGGAATCCGTAACGATGCTGTTCATAAGCGTTTTGAGGAGGTTCAGAAGAAATTGGACGCTTTGAGATCTTCCAACGATGGAATTCAGACCAAGCGTAACGCTCTCTTTTCCCAAAGACAGGCCTTGCACGACCAGATCAAGGCCCTGAGAGCTGCCCATGATGCCGAGTTCAAGAAGTTCAAGGCCGATATTGAGTTGGAGCAGAAGAAGAGAGAAGAGGAAGAGGCCTCGTACAAGGCTGAGAAGGAAAAGTCCGATTTGGTCGAGAAAATCGCCAAGCTTGAGCAGGAAGCCACTCTCCCAGCCTTCACCAAGGAAATTGACTCCATTCATGGATTGCTTGGATTCTTCGACCCATCTTACGTCAAGCCCCAGCTCTCCATCTTGCCTGCCGAGACCTTCGTCTCCAAGTCCAACATCCGCGTCGTTAATCCCGACACCGAGTTTGTCGTTTTGAAGAAGGAGCGTGAGTCTTTCTTTGTTGGAACCGGTGGAAAGAAGACCAAGTCCAAGAAGAACAAGGCCAAGTTCACTGTTGAGCCTGTCATTATTGCCCAGCTCGCCGACCTCAATGTGGCATTGCCAACCTCTCAAGAGCAAGTCCCGGCTACCATTGAGGCACTCAAAACCAAGTTGGCCGAACTTGAGGCCAACCAAGATGCTGAGACCAAAAAGAACTCCGACAAAGTCAAGGCCAAGATTGCCGATCTCGAGGCCAAGGTCGCTGCTCTCTCTGTCAAACCTGAGGCCACTGAAAAGGCCCCTGAATCGACACCTGAGGCTGCTGAGGTTGCTGAGGCCACCGAGGCCTAATTGCTAATCTGCCTCTCTCTAAAACCGTATTACGGAAATAAACCATACATTTTTGAACGTCTTGTAGGTGATAATGGTTACGTAGTGTGATACTCAAAATATGTGTGTGGCTCAATTATCCAGCGCTAGGAATATTTTTCAGTGTAAATCAGTTAGTTGAGGGCATGCATTGAGGGAGAATAGTTCATAAATTCTCCACAAATTCGAAACTACAAAGCCATGTCTGAAGTAAGCATCTCATCAGAGCTCATTCTATATTATTGATCACCATTAACACCCAAAAAAGGACCCAAAACCACTTCGATCACCACAGAAGACTAAATACACTCTTTGTGTGCCTAGCACCTGCATTTCAAGATCCAATGCTGCCAACCTTGAGCATGCCACCCATGTTGCCTACCAAATTGCCAAAACCGCAGCCATGTTTGATGTTGGGGAACTGGTCGTGCTGAATGTTACTGAAGCGGTTGAGGATGCCGTTGAGATAGGAAAGGCTGGTAGCAAGAAGGTAATCTTTGACTCAGAAGCCGCTTCTAGCACTGGGAAAGGAGTCGAAACAAGCTCCAAAGACTTGAGTCCCGAAACCCTGACATTGGCATTGCTTCTACAGTTTTTCGTCACTCCGCCATACTTACGCAAGCTAACTTTCCAGAAGAAACATCAGCGATTGTTCGAGTATGCCAAAAAGCTGCCAAAACTTTCAACCTTACCATTTATGCAAAACGGCCGAGCTTATGACAGATATCGTGAAGGACTCACAGTGCCCAAGCACTCGCCTAAGGTCAAACGCAAGACTGAGTCTGGAAAGACCAAGAACCCAAAGAAGCTCGCCGTTACGCGGTATGTCAATGTGGGCACCGAGGAACTGCTTAAATTGGACGGCAAAGAAGTTCCAGTTCATGTCAGAGTAACGGTTGATATTAATACAAAGACCATTGTTTCTCCGGTCGCAGCTTACGGAGTTGTTGGTGCAAACGCTTCCTTTGGATACCAAGTTCGGGTGGCTAAAAAGTTTAGCAGTCTGTTCACTGAGAGCGCGTACGCAGATGGTTATACAGGAACTCTTTATGTTAATAGCGGGGATTATTTTGGCAACTCTGTGCCGGATATGCCGAGCGCAAAGCTTGAAACTGGTGCTGATTCGCGGATTCTCGTGGTTGTAGGCAAATGGAAGGATATTTCTGACGCCTTTTTAGCTGATCGCGCCACACTACACGGAATAGGTTCTGCGAGTGAGATGTTTGACGGGGAATTGGAGATACCGAAGGGATCCAGAGTAGAGGATGGATGTTTGATCTCTCTTTCCAAGCTTGCATAGAAGGCCCAAGGGAATGAGCCCAAAAATGAGGTACCGTTGTTGACGATAGTTTAGAAACACTTCTGGGACATATGATTTATTTCAAGATTTGATAACTCAATTTGCAAAATAGTTCTAGCGATCTTACAAATCTGGAGTTGTAGTCACTTATTCAGGAATGAGCTGCACTGATGTGTATCAGCGTTTTCCTTCTCCAGAGTACAGAATTACGCCGCAAATCCTAAATCTGGCACGGATCTGTAGAATTACCATAGCTCCTCGGCAAATCGGTGCTTTTGCTTATTTTCCAGTGTTATTTATGGTAAATCAACTTAATCAATCCTGGTGTTTGCCAGGCGTCAGCTGAGAGTGGGAGTGTCTCAACCAGACGCAATTCCAGCCCCGGCCCATCTGTCGGTGCACTTCACTGAACTAAGAGAGAAATACCAACTATGCCACACCGTTCCATATGGAATACAATTTATTGGATATCACAATCACCAGGGAGATGTTCTCATCACCTTCTGGGCCTTCTTCACCATTCAAAACCAAGGTACCCAAGCCAACCCCGGGTACCAAACCAGAATGGGCCCAGAACAACATGATTCGCCTGCGCACGTCTCCCTCATCTATTTATAAACATGTATCATGCATGCGCCACTACAAAAGCCTAATCTGGATACGCCCTTGCCTCTTTCGGACATACTCCAGTGGCTTGTGCAACGAAAACAGGGCAAATTTTTGCGGGAGCCTGCACCGCCACAGAGAGCGGCAGCTTGTTGACTTTGATCTCTCTCGAACAAACAGATCTCATTCAAAGTTTCTTCCTGATCTAACAAGACAACGGTCCCTTTGACATACCCAAAAGATGCGTTTTTCCGTTCAAATACTTACCGCGGTGTCGCTCTATGCGTCCCGCACATTTGCCTTGGGATCCGTAAGTTTTTGCCCTTGTTCGCTTGATCTGACGATTCACTAACAAATCCAGCTTGGTTTCAACCTCGGTGTCCAGAACAACGACGGTTCTTGTAAAACCGCCAGCGACTATGAGTCCGATCTGGATACGCTTTCCGCTTATACCAGCACCATAAAGGTGTACTCCGCTGCGAACTGTGACACTCTTCAGATCTTTGGTCCTGTCGCAGAAGCCGCGGGGATAACCATTGTCCTGGGAATCGCTGCTACCGGCACCTACGACGAGGAGAAGGCTGCCTTGCAGTCATATCTGCCAAATCTCAAGAAAAGCACTATCGAGTTTATTGGTGTGGGTTCAGAATCGCTTTACAGAGCCGACATCACAGCTGATGATCTGGCTTCTGAGATCAGCGAGATCCAGGATTTGATCGCTGATATTGAGGACTCCAATGGTGACAGCTACAAAGGTACCAAGGTTGGAACCGTTGATTCGTGGAACATTTTGGTGGATGGAGCCAACGCTGCCGTCGTTAAGGCTTCAGATGTGGTTTACGCCAATGCCTTCTCCTACTGGCAAGGCCAGACCATGAAGAACAGTTCGTACTCGTTCTTCGACGATATCATGCAAGCTCTCCAGACCATCCAGACCACCAAGGGATCCACCGATATTGATTTCTGGGTTGGTGAGACTGGCTGGCCTTCTGAGGGAACCAACTATGAGTCGTCATCTCCTGGTGTATCCAACGCAAAGACCTTCTGGCAGACAGCTATCTGTGGAATTCGTGCCTGGGGTGTGAACACCTTTGTTTTCGAGGCATTTGACGAGGACTGGAAGCCAGATACCTCTGGTACTTCTGATGTTGAGAAGCACTGGGGAGTGTGGGACAGTTCGAGAACTTTGAAATATTCTCTTGACTGTTCCTTTGATTGAGCTGAAAGTCCCTAAATCAGAAATTCTGAGACTAGAGTTCAGAGAGTCTAGTCCAGAGACCAGAGTCCAATATACCCATAGTTCATAATCTAGCTCAACTCTAACCATATATCTTTCATTTCTTGCACCCACGTGATAATAGATTTTGGCAAGTAGTGTTCGATCCCTCATTTGCCCCATGTTCGTGGGCCGCCAGCCTGAGGAAAAATGTTGAGGAATTTTGAATTACCAGCTGATTGAACAGTGTTCTTGCCACTAGAATAATTTGATCAAGTCTTCGCAAACCCATAGCGTAGCTTTCTTTCTCGTTAGCCAACAATGAAAACTCGGGAGCGATAGCTACATCAGACATTGCTTTGCCTTGCCTTCATTGTGTTGCACTTTGTGAGGTGATATGCAGTCTTCTCCAATTATATGCTCCCCTTGGATATCTTATATAAATTCGATGTCCTCAAAAGCCGTATAAGCCTTGTAATCAACCACCATCATCGTTAAGCTGCTTTTTCACTGCGGCTCATCGGGAGCGGCTCAAATGTGACTCTGCCAGGACGAGTCAATTCTAATCACCTCCGCACCACCATGAAAACCGTCTCTTTCGAGGCGAATCCTGGCCAAAACCTTTCTCATGAATTCTCAAAGCCCTTCCAAACTTCGTATCCATCCCCCGGAATATCTTCAACTTCGCTAGTCCGCCTACAGATTATCCCCCTCCTAAAAGCTCCACAGTGATCCGAGGTCGTGTATCAACAATTACAAATCTGAGCACAAAACTTCGAGATTCCCGTTTACAGACAAGAGAACACACTTTACAGCCACTTCATTTTGCCCTACAAATCGATTAGAAGATGTTTGGAATTCTGAGAGTGTCAGGAATAGGGCTGCGCGTTACCCCGTTGGTCTCATCACGTGGACTGGCAGCCACTGCCGTGGTTTCGCCCGGACCCGTCCGCAGGCGGAGGAAGACCACCCATTTCACAGACGAGCTAAATAAAGGGCCCAGTTTTGACGATTTTGTGAGCGGAAAGGCGGCAGATATGTCTGTTGATCCACTTGAGGCAGCTCGGCAAGATCCGAATGCTCGTTTGCCCGCCTGGCTAAAGGTGCCGATTCCCAAGGGAAAGTCCTTTCATGCTTTGAAAGAAGATGTTCGTGAGCTCAAACTGGCAACCGTTTGTGAGGAAGCAAAGTGCCCAAATATTGGTGAGTGCTGGGGAGGAAAGAAATCAGAGGCAACAGCAACCATTATGCTGTTGGGAGACACATGTACCAGAGGATGCCGTTTTTGCTCAGTGAAGACCTCGAGAACACCAGCAGCTCCAGACCCAATGGAGCCTGAAAATACCGCAGAAGCTATTTCTAGATGGGGTCTGGGTTATGTGGTTCTTACAACCGTTGATAGGGATGATTTGGCTGATGGTGGATCTCACCATTTGTCGGCAACGGTTGAAAAGATCAAGCAGAAGGCTCCTCGCATCCTAGTCGAATGTCTCAGTGGAGACTTCAGAGGAGACCTGGAGATGGTGAAGGTTCTGGCTTCCTCTCCACTGGACGTTTATGCTCACAACATGGAGACTGTTGAAGATTTGACTCCCCATGTCAGAGACCGTCGTGCTATGTACCGCCAATCGTTAGCAGTTCTACAGACGGCCAAGGAGACCAACCCAGCGCTGGTGACGAAGACATCGCTCATGCTCGGATTGGGTGAAACTGACGAGCAGGTTTTGCAGACTTTGAAGGATTTGCGTGCGATACAGTGTGATGTGGTGACGTTTGGACAGTATATGAGACCTACCAAACGGCATATGAAGGTGGTGGAATACGTGAAGCCCGAGAAGTTTGAGTACTGGAAGGATGTGGCATTGGATCTGGGGTTCTTGTACTGTGCCAGTGGACCTTTGGTACGTTCGAGTTACAAGGCTGGAGAGGCTTTCATTGAGAACGTGATCAAAAAGAGGCGGAGAAACGTTGGTGTTCCCAAAGAGGTGGAGATGAAGGAGGACATGTTGATGAACCAATAAGATGACGACAAGTTGACAAGTTTACCAGTTCTACCGTATATAGCATAAACAGTTTGAAAGCGTTCTTATGAAGGAAAGACCCGTGAAGTTGGATGAGTAAGCCGAGGAGCCTAATTCAAAATGCTCGAAATGACCTCCCTGCTGGTCTCAAAAAGGGTTCAAAAGTGATCAAATAAAGTACGAAAAGAGTTTGGGGTCTGCTCAGAACAAATAGCTCCACAAATTACGCTTCACGTTGCCGCTAGCCAAGGTCGATGTATACGTAGAGTTCGAGCCCGTGTAAGCAGACGTGGAGGCAGCAGCGGAGGAGGAGTTGGTGAAAGCAAAACTGGCAAACTGAGGAGCATGGTAGACTGTAGTTGGGTCAGCCGAATAGGTGGATATTGGGAAAGTGTTCACCGTGGAGGGCGAGTCGGAAGACGTGCTCAGGACTGTAGTCACAGAGTTACTGGCACTGACACTGGCATCCGAGGTGGTGACGGTGTAAGTGAGGGTCTGTGTTTCCCAGATGGTTGACTCGATATCAGTCGAAGTGGTGATCACAGTAATAGTGCTTCCACTAGCATCTGTAACGGGGATCGTAGCCTCGATAGCGATGGTGTGAGTCACGGCCACGGTCGAAGTCAAAGTAGTGACAGAGTCATCTGTGGCCTCTGTAGAGGAAGACCCTGAGACTGCAGCATCGCATCCACCAGCAGTAACAGTCACAGTCACAGTGGCACCGGTAGCTTCGTCAGCGAAGGTCTCGTCTTCTTCACTAGCCGTGCTGACTGACTCGGTGGTGGAGTCGTAAGGGTAGGTGTAGTACACCGTAGACGTTGAGGTCAATGTGGTGGTCAAATCCGTGGTGCGCGAAGTTGAAATACTTGATGTGTTCGCAAAAGCTGTGGAGTTTCCAAAATCACGTTTTCTGAACTCCGGAACGCGAACAGGGGCAGGCAGAGCAACGGCCTGTTGGACCAGTGCGGCGCAAATCAGCAGCGTGTTGGAGAGCTGCATAGTTGTGTAGATGTTTGAATTCTGTAGATTTCTCGGGGAAAATATCTCAAAATAGTTTTTTGAATACGAAGAGCCGACTGGTAGGGATCTAGAGTCCGGAAAAAAGAGTGAAAAATCGGAGTTCGAAAAGAAGGAGTGGACGCGTTCAAACGCTGGCGAGGCTGGAAGAGGTTAGTCGATTGCACGTTCTGTGGAGTAGGCGATTCACTTACGTTGTAAACTTTGGATTGATGAAGAGCAATGATGAACAACAGAATACCTTTCAAGGGGCGAGGGTGAGCTGAGCCCAGCTTTATAAAGGTCCTCCTCAGATCCCGCTCATATGCACGGTGATGAGGGAAGGGGCAGGACAATTGTTCTAATTTTACTTTGATACTCGTATCCGAGCGCCAAAAATGCAAACGGCCTGCCCGATGGCTTCCGAACGCACATTCCTGACGTCAAGAAATGTCTCCGAGTACGTGTGGAGCATGCATATGACTCCTTCCTGGCGGTTAGCCCACATCGCGTCTAGCTGCACGTTGGAAGGAGCGGCTCAGCATTTCTTGGATTACTGTTGGCGATTGCCTGGTCTGTTGAACCAGAAACCGCTGAAAGGCCATATATATTTAAAACTACAGCTTCACTTTGGCAAATAACATCTTCTCACACTTACAAATATATACACATACACATAGCTTTAATTACTTGCTCCTCCACTCTCGCGCTCACCTAAGGCGTGTCCATGCCAAGTCTCGCTACAATCAGAGACGCCGAGCGCGTTGTTTACGCGCCCAAACAAACGCGCTCCTTCGTTATTTTGCGGCGCAAATAGACGCCTGCTTGGACCAGGCTCAGCACCAAGTTTTGGACTGGCATTTTTGGGGGGTCCGATTGAACGCCTTCTCACAGATCAGTATCTGGGCGCCAGCCAAGGTGGGCCTCCTCGATGAATTCGTACCCGCGCAAAGCCTCCGGAAGATACTCCTGCTTGACCTTTCCATCCAGAAAGTCTGGGTTATACTTGTAGCTTTTTCCATAATCCAAATCCTTCATAAGTTTTGTGGGGGCATTTCTAAGATGAAGCGGAATTGGGGACGAGGCAACTGCCGGTTCATTATCGAGCATTTGGTTGAGTTTTCCCCAAGCACGGTAAATCTGGACACTTTTTTTGGCACGAGCCAGTTTCACAGCACAATGTACAAGCGCCATATCTGCTTCAGGCAATCCCACAAACTGAACTGCCTGATAAGTCGCTATTGCGAACGGCAAGCACGAGTCATCCAACACACCCACGTCTTCACTGGCAATACGGATCATTCTTCGAGCAATGTAGAGTGGGCTTTCTCCGCCCTTGAGCATTCGCCCAAGATAGAACATGGCGGCATCAGGATCGGATCCACGGATAGACTTGTGAAACGCAGATATGGTATCGTAATGAGCATCACCAACCCGATCATATACCATGTGGGTTCGCTTTAGAATAGACCTCAAAGTCTCGACATCGACCTCAATGCTCTTCAAGTCGCCTGCGCTTGGATCATCCCCATTGGCATAATGAGAATCCGTCAAATCCAGCAGGTTAAGAGCACTTCTAGAATCCCCATCCGCAATATCGCTAAGGTATTCCACAGATTCGCGTGTCAAGCGCAACATGGGCTGTGCGTTCACATACTTCCGAACTCGGTTGATCATCAACAGAGCCTTGAGAATCACTCTGTTTAACTCCTCGGGCTTCAGCTTGTTAAGAGTGAAAACTCGGCACCGAGATAACAATGCGCTGTTGAGCTGGAAAGATGGGTTTTCCGTTGTAGCACCGACCAACACAATATCTCCACGCTCAACATAAGGCAGAAACACATCCTGTTGGCTCTTATTGAATCTGTGAATCTCGTCGCAGAACAAAATGGTGCGACGCTTCGTCAACCGCAATTCGTTCTTAGCATCTTCAAAACACTTTCTACACTCTGCCATTCCACTCGATGTGGCACTGAGTTCGACAAAACGCGATTTGGTCACTTGAGAGATAATTCGGGCAATGGAGGTCTTGCCCACACCAGGCGGACCCCACAGGATCATCGACGGAATTCGGTCATGCTCTATGAAACCACGTAGAATTCCACCAGGGCCAACTAAGTGTGATTGGCCAACATACTCAGCCAAGCTCTTTGGTCTCAGTCGCTCAGCGAGCGGGATCTTGGCTTGTTGTCTCAACAATCCCACGTCCACTGTCTCGTCGGTAGGGCCAAGCACAGGCTTGTCTTCTTTTTGTGAAGGCACCACTTTTCGTCTCTTTGTATCCTTGCCAGAATCATCTGAGTCCAAATCAATGATTTCCCCGGTTCCAGCCGAAGTGTTCGATCTACTGGCGGTATTCGCACTGCTTGGTCGCCTCCCCGTCAGGAGACTCGATATCTGGACCTGGGATGATGATCTCGAGGTCTCTGGTCCGGTACATGTGTCCACATGCTGCTCTATAAATTCGATATCTCCTTCTCGTGAGCAAATCGGGCACTGTGGCATTTTGAGATCTTGTCTGGTGAAGAAAGTGAGCAAAAAGCGGAGAAAGGCGCGTAGAACATGTCGCGGAATTTTGCAGATGTAGTCTGCGGCTAGATACTGCTTGGTACACTAAAATACAATCGGTTACTTAAATACAGTGCGAGACCAACAATGTACCAAAATTGCGAATAAAACGGTATCATTGGCGTTTCTGCTGTCAGAAAAATCGATATGGTGAAGCAACTGAGTCAAAAATAACAATTCTAAGCAGAATCCTGAGTTTCTAAGGTTTGTGTCTACTCACTCCATTAGACCCTTACACTACTTATGTTCTTCGTGAAAAATATGTGTTATATAGATAGATGTCAATGTAGATATGTGAATTCTTCTTCATTTAGCTCTTATTCTTCTCCTTGAGCCGTCTCTCCTCCTCCTCCAGTAGCGACAACCGAAGCGCCTCCTCCACCATGCGCTCTTCCAAATCTTGCGAGTCGGATCTCGACTGGAACCGTGAGACAAACCCGCGACGCGATCCGTAGCGGGGCTGCTGGAGTGCATGTGGATCCGCAGTCGTCTCATTATCAATGATGAGGGATGTGGCGTGAATTGCACTAGCTGCCGCAGACCGCCTAGCCAGCTTCGCACGGGCACCAATAAGTTTCGTCTCCCAGTCGGGCCGAATAGCATCAATTGTGATCACACCTGGTGCGTTAGAAGGCAAAGACCCACGTCTTTTGCGTGTCGCAGCAACCGGTTCCGCTGACAAAAGTGACTCGGCTGACTTCTCTGTGGGTTTGTCCAAGTATGTTTGTCTGGGTGGCGTTCCAATCGCCGAGTGGCTCCTTGCAATGGCAACTGACATGGAACTGGTACGCTTGTGAGAACCCGCAATGCTCAAAGCACCCATTTCCTCCTCGATGGTATCGTTAGCCCTATACTGAGCAGGTGGAATTCCACCAATCCCCGTGCGCAATCCCAGAGGTGTATATGTGACTCCAAAGTCTGGCATTGCACAAAAGGGACACTTGACTGGCTCACTGATCAAGTCTTCAGGGTTGGAGATTTGGTCCTCGGGAACTGGGACTCCTTGTTCGTCGTGGGGAGGATGGGGGTCCTGCCTTCGCATCTGTACAAAACATTCAGTGCAAATCGGTTGGACACAGCACCGGCTGAGATTCAGGTTTTGCGGGTAATACAAGAAACAAATGGGACATTCCGCGGAATCCCGGTATAGAGTAAGCAATAAGCCCTTGGAGGGAAGATTTTCGAACTGCTTGATACCCTGTGTCGACAATTTTCGGTCCCTGTCAAACCGTTTTTGCTGCTCTTGTTGCCATTGAATTCCTTTGAGTCGCAGCAACTCCTTGAACTGTTTGTTTTCACGTCTCTTGATCGTTTGCAAAGAACGGTGCAACTTGTGGTCGTCCACGTCCTCCTCCTGGTCTAGTTCAATGGGTGCCGCATGCAGCGGCGTACTTGCAATGAAATCGAGAAGCTGCTCATCTGACCAGTCCTCGTCAAAATCTTGCAATGGTGTATAAAACGGCGATAGCTTCCGTTTGATCACTAGGTCACGAACTATATCCGTTTTGTAGTCTAGCATCTGTTTATAAGTCCCGTACGGTGCTAAATAGCCACCGTCAACACTCTCATCATAGCGTACAACCAAATCCAGTGTGTGCTGCTCTTTGATTCGCTGCTTTTCCTTGTCCTTGTCTTTCTTCTTCTTGCGCATTGCCCCAGGATAGTAATCTCGAGACAGCACTGATCCAGCGCCACCTCTAAATTCGCCCTCCGACGACTGCGACCTATTGCGGGTCCTGTCCTCCTTCGCGGGAACGTTTCCCATGCTGAAAAATTACTGGGAGCTGACCGAAAGCTGGTCGTTCTGGGGTCTTTCGAAGATATGTGGTGTTTCTGGTGCCAGAACCGATTCCGGGCGGAGCGGAAACGAAATAAAGGTTAAAGATTCCCACAAAGCACAATCAAGAAAGACCGTACTCCAATCGTGCACCTTCAGTTTGATACACGAATAACTGATCTTCTTTGTTGCGACTGCGGAAGAAGCTTTAGTCCATTTGCCTAGTTTGAGACCTGCCCCTCCCGGCCGGTATCCCCAAAAGGGGGCAAAGTTGCGTGTGCGGGACAGTTCATGGGGGCACGTGACGACACTGACGAGCAAGACGTTTGCCAAATCGAAAATTGGAACTTGCACGCCTGTCGGTGAAATTTCGTTTGCCGGACATGGAGAGCAAACGCAAACGCAACAAGTGCTGCGGGAGAGTTGGAGAGTTGCTTTTTTCTTCTGAGCATTGTAGGCTTTGTAACCACCAGTCTAGACGACTCGTATCGGTTAAAGTTACATTATAGCACGCTTGAACCAGATGCTGCCTACACCGTACTCATCGCTTCCCACGAATCGCGTCCTTGTCCGGATCTCATTCTATCACCAAGAACTCCCAGTCACCAGCCTCATAAATGTAAACCAAAACTTAAAAATGTCCAACGTTCGCCCTAATCGCATGCCTTAAAAGCAACGTGTTCTTTTCTGATTGTTCGGCGTGTTCCGTTCGTTTGAGCTTTCTCGTGCGGCTCGTGGGAGTGGCATGACAAATTGTTGCCACGTCTTATCTTTTTCACCTTCACTTACTGGAATCTTCTTTCCAACGACGTGTATATTCTCCCCTCTAATTCGGGTTTTCTCAAGCTTTTGCTACCAAAACTCAAATATACCACCCCAAAATGAGAATCCACGCGTTGGCCTGTTTAGGTCTTCTCGCGACGGTGTTCGGATTGGAGCTGCCAGAGTCCAACCATCTAAGACTGCAACATCCTTCGCCACCACCACAGCTGTTGTACGAGACATATCACGAGTTCCAGGGCTCTCCTTTCACTAACTACTCTGAGTTTCTACGTGAGCCAATTAATGATACCACCGGGGTTACCATTGGCCAGATCGACTCCATCAACAAGGCCCTTCGTCCGGTGCTGGAGAGCCTGACACACGAGAACTTCTTCAAGATTTATCGTCTCAACTTGTTCAAAGAGTGTCCATTTTGGGACGGTGAAGGCTTTTGCATGCACCGGTCATGTGCCGTTGACACTATTGATGACTGGGAGGATTTGCCGTTGATTTGGCAGCCGGAAGCGCTTGGAAAATTAGAGTCCACTGCCCATGAACGCGATCATATCCCCAACGTGGATTTGGACGATGAAACGTGTATAGATGCCATTTCCACTAACGACAATTATTGTGAGATAGATGAGGATGATTGTGTTTACGTCAACCTTGTTGATAACCCTGAAAGGTTCACTGGTTACGGAGGAGAGCAATCGCTCCAGATCTGGAAAGCCATTTACAACGAGAATTGCTTCCAGTTTGGCCATTCCCAATGTGTCGAGAAGCAATTCTTCTACAAGGTGATTAGTGGAATGCACAGTTCCATTAGCACACACCTTACCAATGAGTTTCTGGATTTGGATACGAAGGAATACGGTCCCAATCTGAAGCAATTCATGGTCAAAGTGGGCGATTTCCCAGATAGACTCCAGAACATGTATTTCAACTACATTTTGATTGCAAAGGCTCTGTTGAAGTTGGACCAGTTCCATGTACTGGATGACTTTACCCTTTGCCAGGATCCTGAGCTTGCACAAAAGGAGAGTGCTTTGAAGGATGATATTCGCAGTCTGGTTGCTCCTTTCCATGATCAGTTTGGATCAGATTCGTACGCAAGATTGTTTGACGAAAGGCAACTATTCCAGGACGACACAATTTCACTCAAAGACGAGTTTAAAGAACGGTTCAGAAACGTGTCGCGCATCATGGACTGTGTCCATTGCGACAGGTGCCGTCTGTGGGGAAAAGTGCAAACCACCGGTTATGGAACTGCAATGAAGATTCTTTTCGAGCTTGATGGTGCTGATAATTCGAGTTTTACTCTCCAAAAGACTGAACTCATTGCTTTAATCAACACCTTTGACAGACTATCCAAGAGCATTTCTGCAGTCGGCAGGTTCCAGGACCTTTACAGCACGGAGATCGTGAGGGAGAATATAGATCTTCAAGCCACCCCAAAGACACAAAACATTTTCAAGCAAGAGCTTAAAAACGTCTACGACGCGCTTTTGTTCGTGATGAAGGCGTACATGCAGATCCCACGCATGGGCTACAATTGGTTGTTGATACGGACCATCTACTATTGGAATAAGCTTATCGGAGTTGTTCGCGAGGACTTCGACGAGTCGCGGCTTTACCACATTGACCTGTAAATAGAAGAGGTGATCTGTGAATGACTCCGCTGAGAGGACCTGGTATACAATGGAGAACGATATAGAAGAGTCTCTCGAGTGTTCTTGAGATGTCAATATGAAACCAAAATTAAAAGCAAACTCAAATACCTAGTTAGCATCAACATCAAAATTAGTTAAACAAATCAAAATCATGAGCAAGCTTCGACTTCGGTCTTGCCATAGTAGTGTACACTAGAAGAATCAAGAGCTGATCAGAACCAACCAAAAGTTCCATCTCACCTGTTTTCTCTTCTTCCTCAATAATCAAATCGTCGTTGGGTGGAGCCTAAACGAATCCTAGTAGACCTCATAAGAACCAATAGGCATTAACAAACAATCAGTAGCTGCAATTTGCCATATGGCTGTTTGTAATCTTAATCGTCTCTTCGCTCGTCCTTCTTCTTTTTCTTCTCTTTCTTCTCTTTCGGCTCCTTTTCGTCCTTCTTGATTTTTTTGCCTTCGCTATCATCAAAAGCCTTTCTCGCCTCGTTGATATCCCGTTGCATCACCAACAACTCGTTGACTCTGCCTAGCTTAGCCGGGTCCTTGCGTATCGCAAACTTGAAGTCTTCAACCTTCACCTTGTTCCGCCGCTGCAATTTCGCTGCAATCTGGGCCTCATGGCACACATCTACCAGATACTCGACCAAAATGTCCTCTAGTGCAAAAGCAGTGTCCAGATTCGGCGTGGTAACATCACCGTACGCATACAACAGTGACTTGAGATCGTTGGTGAATAGCTTTGGCGTTTTCTTTCGGTATTTGATGTTTGACATTGTGGCGTATGTACGAGTAGAGCGTGATGATGCCTTTGTGGCTGCTATAATATTTTTGATGCAGACTTTTCAAAAGACTTCGCTAGCGTATCGGATAAATACCCCAGTGGTTAACATCGATTAACTCAGGCAATAGATTCCTCAGCCTCTTACTCTAGCCACAGGCATCAAGCCTCATCATCGCCAAACGAAAATTGGTCCGGCCACTTCATGGAGTCTTACCTTACCGAGACCTAACATTGGATCGTCACAGAGTGGTGTTACTCTGCTGGTCTTTTCTATTTTTTTTGATATTCTTCGGATTTTAAAGATTCGCATACCCTCCCAGAGATGTCCAAAATATTATCCCGAGAAGAGATTGAACATCTCATCTCGGTGGGCAGGATAGTGGTGATCTACGACTCGCAAGTGTTAGATCTCAAGAGCTGGATAGACCGTCACCCGGGTGGTGATAAAGCGGTCCACCACATGATTGGAAAGGATGCAACCGACGAAATGAATGCCTACCATTCTCCGGAGACTATTGCCACTTTTAGGAGGTGGAGAATTGGGTCCATTGACTACTTGTGGGAAAACATGATACCACCGATCCAAGGCGGAGTTTTCCGTTCGCTGGAAAACAAGGAGAAAGACACCAAGAAAGCTTCTAGTGCTCCCAAAGAGCTCAGTGGTAAAATGCCAGATCATGTCAAGCCAAGAATTCCGGCAGGCACGATTCCTTCTAAAAAAAACGAAGCTGAGCTTTTCCCGGTGATAGACAGTGCCATTCGTGATCCAAAGGCTGTCATAGAGAACTACGATAACCGCATGGTCAGACTAGACCTCGAAAGTGTGCCACCATTGGACTATGCCACTCAAACTCGGATATCACAACATTATCGGGAATTGCACAAGAAAGTGGTTGAGGGAGGCTACTACCAGTGTCGATACATCGAGTACTTCAAGGAGTTTTGTCGGTGCGGATCTCTACTTCTCTATTTCCTCGTTTTCTTGAAAACCAACCATCTATGGCTGTCTGCATTTTGTCTTGGGTGTGCCTGGCAACAGTTACCGTTCATAGTCCACGATGCCGGCCATATAGCTATCACGCATAACTATCATGTGGATAACATCATTGGTGCTTTGATCAGTGATTTCATAGGAGGATTGTCTATTGGTTGGTGGAAACGTAACCACAATGTTCATCATCTGATCACAAACGATCCTGTTCACGATCCGGATATCCAGCACCTTCCCTTTTTTGCGGTGAGTTCGCGATTGCTGGGATCGGTGTATTCGACTTATTATGAGAACACTCTGTGGTTCGACGCCTTTGCCAAGACATTTGTGAGGTTTCAACGCTACACGTACTACTTGATTCTGTCCTTTGGACGTTTCAATCTGTATCGGTTGTCTTGGATTCATCTTATATTGGGCCAGGGCCCCAAGAAGGGTAAAGCTGCGTACCTCAGATACTTGGAATTGACCGGACTGTGTTTCTTTTTCTACTGGTTTTTCTATCTCGTCATCACCAAACGATTGACCAACTGGAGCGATAGACTTATTTTCCTGATGATCTCGCATGTAACAACCATGGTGGTTCACGTTCAGATCACCCTATCACACTTTGGTATGTCAACTTCGGACCTGGGACCATCTGAGTCATTTGCTGCTCGTCAACTCCGAACCACTATGGATGTGGATTGTCCTGAATGGTTTGACTATTTTCATGGTGGTCTACAATTCCAGGCGATCCACCATCTGTTTCCAAGGTTGCCAAGACACAACTTCCGTCGGGTCCAGCCATTGGTAATTGACTTTTGCAATGCCACAGGCTTGAAGTATTCCATTTACGGGTTCATGGACGGCAACGGAGTTGTTTTGGACAAGATGGGTGATGTTGGAAAGCAGGTGAAGATCATCAAGGATTGCTTGAAGGGAATGAAGATGGAAGCAGAGGAGAACGTCAATCTGTATGAGAAGAGGCTTGAGAGTATTGATGAGTTGAAGACATAAGATTCCACAGAAAAGAGCATACTTATCCGAGGTCTAGGACTCATGATAATGGATTTATCATGCATTGACACTTCCGGAAATCTATACCACTATAGAAGCTTTTAAGAAAGCACTTGGGGCTGTTGTCCTGAGATTATCTTACATATAGGTATTTAAAGTTGTTTTATGGATATACCGTAACTGTTTATTTTACACTCAATATTTCATTTTAGACTCTTATTTCAAAGTCCCATCTCAGAATTCTCAAATTTCCAAGAAAGCTGAATACCTTAAAGGAAACCCTTTAGTGCATACACTCGGTTCCAGGAAGGAAAGCCGAATTAACAAGGGCAACGCTAATTTTGTGATAGCTATTATAAACTCACAATTCGCAGAGGGCCAATGCAATATTAGTCAGATTTAAACGCGAGAGGACCTGTGACTACCAATAGAATTGGGACCTTTTAAAGGTACTGCCGGCCTGCATGGCCCCAAACGCAGAAGTCAGATCACGTGATCTTAAGAGCATGGGATGAGCCGCATAGAATAATTTTGAATCCCGAGTTCCGAGCACCGAGCCCCGGTCACCCAAACGCCCATTAGTAAATGGATCTGCACACTCAGTGAGTGTTCGATAATCAAGAGCAAAACACTTTTGAGCGAAATAAATTATTTATGCTTCTCATCACATGATGCCGACCTGCCAATTGCCCACCACTGAACTATAGAAAATTCGTAATCATATCTGCTCATGCAGGTTTCGTAATGCTCCACCACCCAAATTGGACTCTGCAGGATCCTGAAAGCAAGGCTTCGGGCAGATTAAAAACATTCAGCGTGCGGCTGAATTTTGTCAACGTTAACCAGTTGAGATATCCCACGTACACCACAGAGTTTGCAAAGTCACCTACCCATACAAACAGCCAGAACATTTGCTAAATTGATACATCATCAATCACCTATGTAACGTTTATATTTTCAGATTTGGGGATCCCAAACCTGAAAACTGCCACATCGGAAATGAGGGTCGGGTAGGGTTTCACAGTTGATGCAACGGCTGAGCATTAGTAAGGCCTTTTATTTCACTGTACTGAGCAGCTGAGTCGCATAGACCGTGCGTGGAAACTATAAGAACCACAGCATCCATATAGAGGCTCTTACTGCCACAGAAGTTATAATATTCGTACAAAGCATTCGTCATTTTGAGAAGTGACATTTGAAATAAGCAGTTCCATTATGAACAAAATCAACCATCTTCTCAGCCGCATTGGAGCCTTTAGAGACAAGACTTCAGAAAATTTTCAAGCGCCTTTTTTGATATTTTTCGTGGTGGCAACTTCTCAGTTATTGGATTCTGCGAATATAACCGCTATCGTAACCACTCTTTCTCAAATCCAGACTAAATACGATACGTCCTTCCCAGTTGCCAGTTGGACTGTCAGTGCTTATGCTCTGTGTTTTTCAAGCTTTATCATGATTACGGGAAGGATCGGGGATATAGTTGGTCACCATATCACTTATACCTTAGGCTTGTTTTTGTTCGCGATTTTCCTTCTTGTCGCTGCTGTTGCCCAGAACCTATACGTTCTTATAGTGTTTCGTGCTTTGCAAGGAATTGTTGCAGCAATGACGATTCCATCCGCTTATGCCATTGTCGCTAACAGTTTTACCGGGAGGACTTTGAACATGGCAGTTGCTGGAATTACTGCATCCAGTAGCATAGGATCCGGTATTGGTTTTCTGTTCGGAGGTGCTTTCTACAGCACCTCAGTTGGTTACAGAGGAATGTTCTACCTTTTCGCAGGCCTTGCTTTTCTGGCATCGTCTCTTTCATTTCTACTTGTGAAAAAAACGATGGCTTCCCCTGCGAAGATTTCTAAACTCGACCATTGCGGAGTTTTCTTAATGCTTGGCGGTGCATTGTTGCTGGTGACTGGTCTGACTGAAGGTGGTGAGCATTGGGATTCTCCCAAGGCATACGTGCCAATCATAGTTGGAGTTCTCATGCTCATAGCGTTCCTGCTTTGGGAGAAACGTTTCTATAATCAATTCAACTGGTCGAGATCCTCTGAATTGCTTATTCCAAAAGAGCTTTGGATGGTCCCAAATTTCATACCACTCATCCTTGTCTTGGGAATGAACTTCGGTTCCATGTTCATTCAAGTCCTCGTCAACGTTGACATATACCAGTATGTGTCACATCATTCTGCCATTATCTCTGCCCTACAAGCTCTCCCGGGACCAGTCTCGGTGTTTGTCTCCACCTTTGCTCTCGGTGCCACGTTTGGCAAAGTTCCTCCAAAGTATGCCATTTTTGTGGGTAATATTTTTAATGTAGTTTCAGGTGTACTTTTGAGCAGACAAGGTGCTGATACACACTCGTACTGGAGATTTGGCTTTGTGGGTTTGATCATTCTGGGCGTCGGTACTTCATTGACTTTCATCAACACCTTGAACACTCTAGTTGTGTCATGTCCTTTGAACTTGCAAGGTCTGTTGTCAGGGACGGCTTTGACCACTGCTCAAATGTTTGTCGCCGCAGGTTCAGCTGCTCTGTCGTCAATTGTTGGTTCTGTCGAGCTCGTCGATACTGTCGAGGAAAGACATAAACTTCTGAAAAGGTACCGTGATGTATATTATCTTAGCATAGCTTTAGCAGGGTTAGCTATTATTGTGACATTCTTTGTCAAGAATCTGCCAATCACGCCTCCTGCTGAGGATGCCAACAGCGATGTTGAGTCTGGGAAGAAGGCAGAGATGGTGCCACCTTCACTCACCGAAGTTGCCAACCACGAAACCGAGTTCACTTCGGAAAGCGACACGAATCATTGAATTTCCCTCAAATAAGTTCCAACAGCAACTGAAAAAGTTTGAGTATTCTAGCTCTACTTCCTTGACGTTTCCAAAATATAAGTTGATGGTGACGCATATGAGTCTAGCAGAATCTCACTTTGTCTGCTTGTGCGCCTTACAAATTATTATATTATCAACAAATTGGGCGTGTTTAGTCTATTATCTTCCTATTCAATGATAATGTTGAACTCAAACATTGGAAACCAACTGCATACTTTTCAAAATGGGCTCTAATCTATCCTTGTAGTAGTAGTAACCTGCAGGTTCAGGTGCAGGCCCAGCTGCAGGTCAATGCGCCATAGTGAGTCTAAGAGCAACAGGTTTCTAGCGAGGGTAAACCCTTCTTTTTTAAAAAATGCATACACATGTCCTGAGAACTTTTATTTTTAGTCAGTGAAAAGTCTCCACAGCCATGCTCGTTAATCTGACCTCGAAATGGGCAATTAGGCCGTTCTTCTCACTTGCAGGTTGAGCCTTTGCTTTTGCTGCAAAAATCTAGAAGTCGTGCCTGACACACTATACTGGACACACTCGCTACCAACGACTAGACGCTTTCGCCTCGAAGAAGGCATGGAGACAATAGTTAGCCGAAGCCCGCAGACGTCCTCAAATGATGATAGGAGTGTCGAGGAGGAACATATGCTCCCACAAGTTTAAGCTGGCAGTGCGGTGGCAGACGACGGGCTCCCAAACAGGTGCCCTGTCTGGAACTGTACAAAAGTTTCTAGGACTAAACGGGATAGTTCACTCGGAAGCAGACTACTACTCAGATGTACAAGAAGGTATTTTGTCACATCTAGAGCGTCGTGGACTGGTATCACAGGTCACGGGGGAAGTCCTTGGGGAATTGGTCGAAAAGAAGAAGCTAGGGCTTTACTGTGGGGCAGACCCTACAGCTAGATCACTTCACCTAGGTAACCTGTTACCGCTGATGATATTACTCCATTTCAATCTGCGTGGACACAACATCACTGCGCTTGTTGGTGGAGCCACTGGGGCTGTTGGTGACCCCTCAGGAAGGGCTACTGAGAGAACGGCGATGGCCACAGACACACGGCTCAGCAACGTAGATAGGATTCAGCTACAGTTGAGGCGGTTCTTTGAAAATGGACTAGATTATTCATATTCGCGGAATATTTGTTTCAAGTCTGATCAGAGTGGAATACAGAGTTTCCGCAACAATCACAATTGGTGGAAGGATGTTTCTTTGATCCAGTTCCTGGCCGAGTATGGTGGAATGATCCGAGTGAACCAGATGCTTTCACGAGACTCAATTCGCAGTCGTCTAGAATCAGAGGCAGGAATTGGATTCAACGAGTTTACCTACCAAATACTCCAAGCCTACGACTTCTATCATCTTCACGCGAACGAAAACGTCAGCATCCAGGTTGGTGGAAACGACCAGTACGGAAATATCGTTGCTGGAATTGACTTGATATCCAGGATTTCAAAAAGCAGAGGAGAAAAGAACCCCAAACCGGCTTTTGGAATGACAGTGCCACTGTTAACAACCGCAAGTGGTGAAAAGTTTGGAAAAAGTGCAGGAAATGCTGTTTTCATAGACAAAGAACTCACTTCTGGATACAATCTTTACCAGTTCATGGTGAACACCGCAGATGCAGATGTGCAGAAATTTTTATACAAATTTTCGCTATTGCCTCTCAAGGTAATTGATGCTGTTATAGCCAAACACGACCAGGATAGATCCCAAAGAATCGCACAGAGATTGTTGGCAATTGAGGTGTGTGATCTCATACATGGAGATGGCGAGGGCTTCAGTAACATGGTGATATCAGACTTGTTATTCGGAAACAGGGACACGAGTTTTTCGGTGAATGAGATAGCCGATGCTTTTGAAAGACAAAATCTTTTGATTCATATTTCAGGCGAGCAGTTTGGATCTTTGTCAGTTCTGGCTCTATTGGAGAAGTTGTACTTTGGTGAGAAGAGTCGGTCTGAGCTAAAGAAACTAATTAATGCTGGTGCCGTGTATGTGGGTCTTGAAAAGGAGCGAGCAAAAGACCCTAGTGCCGTTCTTGAGAGACGCCATCTTGTGGAAGATCAAGTTCTATTGATTAGGGTTGGAAAAAAGGATTATAAGGTGGTGAAGGTGAGTGCATGATAGGCGATCTGGGACGTGAAAATGTGTCAAAACATTGTAAATAGCGAATCTTGTGTGGACCAAGACCAAGATATGAATATACTTGAAACTTATTGATACCTAGACTTGTAAGAAGGCCTAGGCTAAAAAAAAGTTGAGAGCACTAGAAGTTGAAGGATAGACGCATTATACATATATGCCCAATACCACTGTTACATTACGATACCATGTTCACAAAGCACGATCAGATAATTTATAGAAGAGCTTAGAATTCACAACAGATATCAGATATCGTATAATCTGTATCACATAATACATGACAACTCATATCTAACATATAACTCAAAACTTTAAACATATGCCAAAGGTAATCCAATTACCTTACCTCAACCACCACCTTTAGAATGACGAAACAACTTCATACTAATCCACGAAATCACACACCACAACCACACTATCACGAAATTCAAAAAGAATATATAAACGTAGTAGTGTCGCACCGCCTGTCCATCACTCTGTTGAAACAACCATGCTAGCGATGAGGCTCCTGGAACTGCAAAAGCCCATTCCCAAAAATCAAAGATAATGCCAATGCTAACAACGTACATGATCCATGTGGCAACTATTATGGCTATTCCAGCAAAATATAGCATGACCGACCCCGAAGAGTTCGGCACTACTCTCTCTTTGACGAACCTGCGTCTGGAACCAGCTCCGTTTATGACTCTGCTTGATATAGCCATGATCAAAGAGTATAAAGGTTCACACTATTTTAACTAAGCATTCCAGTCCAGATAACCAACCTAAACAACTATCCGGCACAAAAATAAGGTCGTTATAAACTAACTGCCGAATCAATTAAAAGTATCCATGTTTTAACCCCAGCTCAATCCTCATGTCCTCTCAAAAGTCGTGCACGCATCGAAGTCTTATAATTTTTCGAGCCCCTTCTCAGGAATTTTTCGTCTACCACAACTTACACTTTGTACCCCAGTCGAACTTGCTGAGCAGGCATTTAATCCGCACAAAATCACAGATGAAGGAGACTGTCGTCGATATCTCGCCGAAATGTATCAGCGGGATCGAGTTTGGCGTGCTCTCGGCCGCAGAGATCGTGGCACAGTCCGAAGTCGAGGTCTCGACCAGAAACCTTTTTGATCTGGAAAACGGAAGAAAGCCGGTGAAGGATGGAGCTCTAGACACGCGAATGGGTACTTCTTCGAATGCAGCTCAGTGTGCGACTTGTCAAGGGAATTTGGCATCTTGCCATGGCCATTTTGGTCATGTCAAACTGGCCCTCCCAGTTTTCCATGTGGGTTACTTCAAGGCCATCATGCAGGTTTTGCAAACAATCTGTAAGACCTGTTCTAGCGTTCTCCTTGACGAGACTACTTGTCGTCAATTTCTTCTAGAACTCAGAAGGCCGGGCTTGGATAATCTCAGGAGAATGCGGATCTTGAAAAGGGTCTCGGATCAGGCTAAGAAGCAGAGACGATGCCTTTCGTGTGGAGCCATCAACGGTGTTGTCAAGAAGGCTGCTGCGGGTTCCGGACCTGCTGCGCTGAAGATTATACATGATACTTTCAGATGGGTTGGTAAGAAAGGTGCTGATGAAAAGGTCCAATGGGACGAGGATTTTGAACTTTTGCGTGCCACCAACCCTGACATCGATAGGTTTATCAAAAGATGTTTTGACGATCTGAACCCACTCAAGGTTCTTGCTCTGTTCAAGAAGATTTCTCCCAACGATTGCGAGCTTCTGGGAATAGACCCTTCTAGAGGAGGCAGACCGGAAATGTACATCTGGAGATACCTTCCTGCCCCACCGGTCTGTATCAGACCTTCGGTTGTTATGAATGACACTAACGCTTCCAACGAAGACGATCTCACTGTCAAGCTGACCGAGATTGTGTGGACCTCCAGTCTGATCCGCGCGGGTATCGAAAAGGGCATTTCAGTCAACAATCTCATGGAACAATGGGATTACCTCCAATTGGCTGTTGCCATGTATATAAACTCTGATGCGGCCTCACCATCGGCCTTGCCGTCAGCAGGTGGGATGTCGAAATCAGCCAAACCTATCAGAGGTCTTTGTCAGAGACTTAAGGGAAAACAGGGCCGTTTCAGAGGAAACTTGTCCGGTAAACGTGTGGACTTCTCAGCCAGAACAGTCATCTCGCCCGATCCAAATCTGGCGATCGATGAAGTAGCTGTGCCAGATCGTGTCGCCAAGGTGTTGACCTATCCAGAGAAGGTCACCAGATACAACAAATCAAAGCTGCAAGCCCTTGTCATCAACGGCCCCACCGTGCACCCTGGTGCTAACTATCTGCTCAAGAGAAACGAAGACGTTAGGAGAAACCTGCGTTACGGTGACAAGCGCAAGCTGGCCAAAAACCTGGCAATCGGTGACGTCGTGGAGAGACACATAGAAGATGGCGATGTGGTTCTTTTCAATAGACAGCCGTCTCTACACAGATTGTCGATTCTTTCGCATTTTGCCAAAATCAGGCCATGGAGAACCTTCAGACTCAACGAGTGTGTTTGCACGCCTTATAATGCCGATTTCGACGGTGATGAAATGAACTTGCACGTTCCCCAGACGGAAGAGGCCAGGGCAGAGGCCATGAACCTGATGGGTGTGAAGAATAATCTACTCACGCCCAAATCCGGTGAACCTATCATTGCTGCTACCCAGGATTTCATCACGGGGTCATTTTTAATTTCTGGAAAAGATTCTTTCTACGACAGAGCCACTTTCACCCAGCTGCTGTCTATGATGTCTGACGGAAATATCCAGTTTGACATACCTCCACCTGCCATCTACAAGCCTGTATATATGTGGACCGGGAAACAACTTTTCAGTCTGCTGATTAGACCCAACAACCAATCGAAGGTGTTGATCAATCTTGATGCCAAAAATAAGACCTTTACGGCGCCAGCACCTGGCTACCCCAACGAGATGTCGCCGAATGACGGATTCGTTATCATTAGGGGTTCTCAGATTCTCAGTGGAGTGATGGACAAGTCTCTTTTGGGAGACGGTAAGAAGCATTCTGTTTTCTACACGATTCTGAGAGATTACGGACCAGATGAGGCAGCTGCCGCGATGAACAGAATGGCCAAACTATGTGCCAGATACCTGGGAAATAGAGGATTTTCCATTGGAATCAACGATGTAACTCCAGGAGTGGACCTCAAGAATAAGAAGGAGTTCATGGTGGAAGAGGCTTATCGCAAGTGTGACGAACTCATCAGACTCTACAAAGAGGGAAAGCTGGAAACCCAGCCGGGTTGTAACGAAGAACAGACTCTGGAAGCCAAAATCGGTGGTCTGCTATCCAAAGTCAGAGAAGAAGTTGGTGAAGTTTGTATTAGAGAGCTCGACAAGTCGAATGCTCCATTGATCATGGCCAAGTGTGGTTCCAAGGGTTCTACTCTTAACGTATCGCAGATGGTGGCTGTTGTAGGACAGCAGATTATCTCTGGTCACCGTGTTCCTGATGGTTTCCAGGATAGGTCTCTTCCACACTTTTTGAAAAATTCCAAGACACCTCAGTCGAAGGGTTTCGTGAGAAATTCGTTTTTCTCGGGTCTGAACCCGCCAGAGTTCCTCTTCCACGCCATTTCTGGTCGTGAAGGTTTGGTGGATACTGCGGTTAAGACTGCTGAGACTGGTTACACTTCTCGTCGTTTGATGAAGTCCATGGAAGACTTGAGTGCACAATACGACAACACTGTCCGTAACTCGAGCAATGGAATTGTTCAGTTTACCTATGGTGGTGATGGTCTGGACCCTCTGGAGATGGAAGGTGATGCCAGACCGGTAAATTTGAACAGAACCTGGGATCACGCCTATAACACTTCTTTCGACAAGAACGATCTATCGTTGTTGCCTTATGAGGTGGTGGAGGCAACCAATGCATTTTTGAGCCCATTAGAGGCCAACCTACCTAGATATGACAATCTGGGAAGACTGCTGGAACCAGAAGAGCTAGACAAGATTGAGTTCATTGATCAGGATGACGGTGAAAGATCTTTCTACCAGTCTATCAGAGAATACATGGTTAAGAGGGCTACTAAGTTGGCCGACATCAGAGTCAAGCTCGGACTTCCAGCTGAACTGATCAGAGGAGAGGCCCAAAAGAAGGAAACCGCGGCAGATCCTGCAGTGATCGCGGTTTCACAACTTAGCAAAATTTCGAGCGCCATGGTCAAGACGTTCTTGGACTTTTGTATCACCAAGTACCAGAAAGCACGCGTTGAACCCGGGACCGCAGTTGGTGCCATTGGTGCCCATTCTATTGGTGAACCAGGTACTCAGATGACTTTGAAGACTTTCCATTTTGCAGGTGTTGCTTCCATGAACGTGACATTGGGTGTTCCCCGTATCAAAGAAATTATCAACGCTTCGAAAGTGATCTCCACTCCTATTATTAATGCCGTTTTGGTGAACAGCGATGACGAGAGAGCTGCCAGAGTGGTCAAGGGAAGACTCGAAAAGACTCTTCTTTCTGACGTGGTTTATTTCATTCAGGATGTATACAGAGAGAACTCTGCCTACATCGAGGTCAAGGTAGATACTAGGACAATCGACAAGTTGCAATTAGAGCTCTCGATTGATCAAATTGCTTCTGCCATTGTGGCTGCACCCAAACTCAAGATCTCCAGGAACGAGGTCTCTGTTGTTGGAAAGAACCGAATCCAGGTACTGGTCAGCGATGGAACAGCTGGAGATTCCACCGCTGCCGCTCTTAAAGCTGCCAATTCCGAGCAAGGTGAAGCTGGAGTCCTCTTCTTCAGAATGCAACATCTCAGGCGTGTTCTTCCAGACGTGGTCGTCAAGGGTCTTCCAGAGATTTCTCGTGCTGTTATCAACATTCGCGATGATGGCAAGAGAGAATTGTTGGTGGAGGGCTACGGTCTCAAGGATGTTATGTCTACTGACGGAGTTGTGGGAACACGCACGAAGACCAATCATGTTCTCGAGATTTTTGATGTCCTGGGTATCGAGGCTGCAAGAGCCAGTATCATTAACGAGATTGACTATACCATGTCCAGTCACGGTATGGCTGTTGACCCTCGTCACATCCAGCTGTTGGGTGATGTTATGACCTACAAGGGCGAAGTTCTGGGTATCACCAGATTTGGCTTGGCCAAAATGAGAGATTCCGTGCTCCAGTTGGCCTCGTTTGAGAAGACCACCGACCATCTGTTTGACGCAGCTTTCTACATGAAGGAAGATCGCGTTGAAGGTGTTTCCGAGAGGATTATCCTGGGTCAAACGATGACTCTGGGTACTGGTGCCTTCAAGGTGTTAAAGAGGAGTCATGTTTCTGACAGCGCTCTGATGCCAAAGAGGACTTTGTTCGAGGATATTTGTAATGAGCAGCCCCCCATGATGCTGGTTGCGTAAAAGCGCAAGGTATAAGGAGAGGAAAAGAAAGGAAAAAGCTTGGAAGGCGATTATTCACTTTGGATTTTTGCTATTATGTCATTAGCATCGTATATAGGTGAAAAATCAACACTTCGCTATGCACTTTGAAAAATTACCGAAATCAACATTTTCATTATTATCATCATATCATTATCTCACCAATTCCAACTCTATTAACCATTTAACATGACATGGCAACTCATTTTTCGCATTATTCTTCATACGCTGGAATCAACGTATACCCACTCCTGTGCTTAACAGCATTGAACCGTAGAGCTAATCTACCACCAAATTCACTAGGCTGGCTCCATGCAATTTCCATCTTCGGTATTTCACACCCGTAGATGCAGTTCTTCTGTAGACACTGCAAGAGCCTGAGTCCAATACCAAGTTGTCGCCAACTACGACACACGTATATTCGTGATATCCCCACTAACACTTTGAGACCCTGGTTGGGAACAACGCTTTTGGTCTCATGGACCAGCCAACGGCCTTGCTCGACAGACTCGACACTCACTACCCCAACGGCTTTCCCTTCAGCCAAACACACAAACGCCTTATCTGAATGACCTTGACCCGGAATTTTCCATCCTGTAGACCCTTCCGGGGCATTGAGCTCGGTGTTGGCCAAATCGAGCAATTGTTCCGTGGCCCGTATCTCTGTCTTGCTTGCAGAACTAACTTCGACGATCTGAAACTTATGCCTCTCATATGCTACCACATTGGTCTTGGACTTCGACTCAGTCATAGACACAAACTCTGCAACGATCTTGGAGGTTTTTGACTTCCACTCGACTCCCTGGACTGCCTTTTTGTGGAACGCCGCATGCATTTGTTGGTCTGTGGGGACATACTTCATATACACCATGTTGCATTCGGGACAACTGACTTCGCCATCACCACTACCTACACTGAAACGGGATTGAGTCATAGCTTTTCTGTGCTTCTTTTTGGCCACTCTAGATCCTACTAGGAAGCTCGTTCTTTTAGAATTGGTCATGGCCGGAAGCTTCTGTTTCGCGTTACTCCGCGGCTCGGATTCCAAAGCCGGAGACTTGCTCATTTCAAGATACGTGGTCAAAGCAAATACACCAGATACCGGCTTTCACTCTAGAACTTTGCTTGCAAATTCCATTACTGACGTGGTGAAGAGAACGCGTGATCGCGATAATAGTGGAACCGCCCTTCGCGTCTTATTTGGTGGTGCACGCTCATTTTTCAGAAACCCGGAGAACTAGTAATCGCACGTAAACCGATGACCTCCGGGGTTACATATTTCACGGCTGCACTGGCTGAATCTCCCCATGATTTTGGTTGTACCAGGAAAAACTTCACTAGACTCAAGCCAACCGAGAAATGAGCTCATTTTCCAACCCCAACCCCAAGTTTGAGCACCTTCTTCCGAGGAGCGGTAAATGGCGCACGGATATAACCAACTGGCTGACGGAGGACGTTCCCTCGTTTGACTACGGTGGATACGTGGTCGGCGAGACCCTCCAGTCGGCCACTCTATGGTGCAAGGCTCCGGGCGTTCTGTGTGGGGTTTCCTTTGCTAAAGAAGTGTACTTGCAGTGCGGACTGGAGGTGGAATGGTTCATTGAAGAAGGCACTTTCATTGACCCCAGAAAAGTCGAGGGAGGTAAGGTGAAGGTCGCCATTGTGAAGGGTCCAGTGCGTGATATTCTCGTGGCAGAAAGGTTATCGCTCAACATCATTAGCAGATGCTCCGGAATTGCCACTCAGTCATATCGCACTGTTCAACGTGCCCGTGAAGTCGGATACACTGGTATTATTGCAGGAACCCGCAAGACCACACCTGGACTCAGATTGCTAGAGAAATACAGCATGATCGTAGGTGGATGCGATCCTCACAGATATGATCTGAGTTCCATGGTGATGCTGAAAGATAACCACGTATGGTCCACGGGATCCATTACCAAAGCTGTTGAAAGTGCACAGAAAGTTGTGGGGTTTTCGGGAAAAGTAGAGGTTGAAGTCCAGACAGAAGAAGAGGCTGACGAGGCCATAGCAGCTGGTGCAGACATCATCATGTTGGACAATTTCACTGGAGATGGCTTGAAAATTGCTGCTGTCAGCATCAAAGAACGGTGGGCTGGAAAAGCGAGGTTCTTACTTGAGTGCAGTGGAGGTCTTACTCTTGATAATCTCGATGAGTATTTGTGCCGTGATATCGATATCTACAGCACTTCTTCAGTTCACCAGGGTACTGGAATCATTGACTTTAGTCTGAAAATCAACAGGGGATAGGATATATAAGCAGGTGTAAATAATGATGAAGCATCCACTGTTTTTCTACGCTTTACTACCATTATAGAATCAGGTTCGTATTATATCAATGATGAATATCCGGTTATGCTATACCGCCCTCTATCGTTGAGACGGAAGACAGAAATACAATTGGCCAAACCTTCGGGCCGCATCTATGCCTCGTGACTCCAAAGAGTTCATGACTTACCAGCAGTTGGCAGGGATTGGGCCTTGGCGGCTTGAGCCTTCTGCTTGGCGAGGGCATAGACCAGACCGGCAATGAAGCCGACAAAGATCGACGAGATCGAGAAGAAGTTAATCGCCGCATTGAAAAATACCAGACCAGAGAGCGCAATTGGCAGCTTGTTCAAAGCACCCACCATCGAGTAGGTAGTGGAAGAGGTGACTCTGATACACCAAGCCGAAGTGTAAGAGATACCCACGGAGGACATTCCCGAGAACACCATTGCGGAGATAACCGCAGTTCTGGAGCCGGCTGGGAAGTTGAGCTCCAAGTTGGCAGAGGACCAGCCCTCCAGCAAAAAGGAAGCTCCAAGCAGGATAGGGATAGACAACAGGTTGTTGTAGTACATGGTGTCAAAGTCCTTGAAGTTGGTGAGCTTAATGCGCTTTCTCATGAAGAGAACGAAGCCGGCCGAGGAAAAGCAGTTGGTGAACATCCAGAAGTAACCAATTGAGAAGTTGGAAACAGCTCCATCAGGAGATGGCTTAGTGTCTCCGTAACAGGCAATCACCGAGGAAAACACCATCAGGATAAAAGAACCAAGGGCCATAGGGGTAACCTCACCACCAAACCAAAGCACTTCACCGTAAGCAATCAGAATAATGGTCAAGTTCTTGAAGATGGTGTAAACTGGAATGGAAAGGTGTTGAAGAGCCTTTGACGAGGTGTAGATCATACCAACAAGCATGAAAACAATTGGCGACCACTTCTTGGCCTCGTTCTTGTTGAATTCACGGTAAGTGATGACACCGAAATGTTTGAGCGTAGAAATCAGAGCGATACACACTGCAGACTGGACAGCCAACAACAAGAAAATCATGTTGAAGTCAGCACCAGAAACAACATACTTGTTGGTGACAGTCATGAGGATCGACGCACCACAGTAAGACATGATCGAGATAGGACCGCTGTTAGCAATGGCAGCGAGTCCGGCAGCAGGAGCGGGGGTAACCGCAATGTTCTCCTCTCTCTTCTCGTTGACAGACATACTGACAAGTTTTGCAAAGAAAAACGGTTGTAGGAAGGATGAAAACGTGAAAAACAACCAGCTAAGGGAGGAAGAAAAAAAGAGGACACCTCTGATTTCAAGGTGGAACGCGTAGTGTGCATGGACTAAATTACCGATTTCGGAAGGATCGGCGGCGGATCCGGTTCTGAGCGATGGTTAAAGGTAGTGTATCAAGAAATAAGGGTCAGGTCGTGTACCGAATCTAGTTTAGCTGCCACCTCAGATCTCTTAGCAAGCCCTTGTTGGTGTTGGTTCTGTCGGCTACATTCTCGTCCACCTTCTGCCTTCAAACAAAAGGAGAGCTACAGTTTCGCAATGGACATAGACCTATCGGTAGTCTCCACGAAAACATCTGGTGAACTGTTTCAGGAGTATTCAGTGAACCAATTGAAGCAGGTTAAGTACAAACTCCAGAATGATATCCAGACAAGGCGTGACGAACTGAGACAGCTAGTTGGCAACAAGTATCGTGATTTGCTACAGGTAGCTGATGATATAATTGATGTGAACCGACTCAGCAAGGTTGAAAACGACAATTTAATGCGATTGGCATTCCAGAAGTCCCATTACAACGAACTGGACACGCTGTTGAAATTCAATGCGCAGACAAGACAAACTCAAGTCACAGCTGCCAGGGCCAGGACTAAGCCTACGGTGTTGCGTAACATTCTGGGCACTTTGAACACGCGATTGGTCGAAGTGGAGCATTCGGTTTCAGCTCTCAGCTTTGAGCCGCAGAGCAACGGCAATGCTGCTGACGAAGTTTCTGGAATGTTTGTTGAATTAACTAAAAGTTTTTATCTCACACAACTGTTCTTTGGAGACGAGCTGCGTGGTGACAGTGGTGCAAGGCTCAAGTTTGACGGTATGAGGGAAAGGTTCCTGAAGCAGGTGGATGACCAGCTATCTGCACTGGCAATCGATAATGAGTATGATTTTGCGCTTGACATGCTGATTTCCTATGTGGTTTTGAACTCGTGTACACCACGTGAGGCGTTGTCGTACTTTTTACGGTTGAGATTGAGCTATCTACGGGGATTCAACTTGACACTTGACTTTCAGTCTTGTCTAAGCTATGTTTTCAACACGATCAGCTATTTGTCTCTGTTTCAGACTAAATTGCCCACGGCTTTGGTTAGAACAGTCCACTCATCTTCCACATACAAAACTTGGCTCCAGAACTCGGCCCTTAGACCGTTTCTTGCTTGGCTCGATGTGAACACGGAGACCTTCAACGTTCAGTTTCCGCACACTGCGACGTCAATAAGGGCTTCAGTCGGCGAGTCGGTGCTTGAGGCGTCAAAAGAAGAATGGAAACTCACGTTGGGCCAATATTTCCTGGAGTCTGTAAAGGAGATATTTGGATCGACATCTGATTTAAGCGAACTGGCCGCTGTTCTCTCAAGGATCTTGACGGCATTCAAAAAGTTTACATCTCTCTCGGATCTGAAATGTGCTGATGGTTCGCCGCTCATTGATAGTGCGATAGGAGAGTGGAACAATGTATTTGAGACAGCATTACTGGCACAACTAACTCGGTTTGATCAGATTTCGTCAATGGTCATTGACACCTTTTTGCACCCTGAACAAATCCCCAAGGCTCAAAGGGATGTTCTTTTTGAGGTGAATACACTTGAGGACATCTCTGTTTATCTTGAAAAGATCAACAGACTTTCCGTATATCAGGTTGGTTCGTCGAGAGAGGTACTTTCGCAGATTGATGCCTTTCATTCAACCATTACCAAGGACTCTGAATCCGTGAGATCAATCCTCCATCTCTCGAAGAATTTGAACAAACAAGCCCTCAGTATTGACGATCACGAAGATCCACAGTTCTGGAAAGCTGTGGGAAGCAGAGTTGAGACTCTGTACAAATCATATGTGAAGATCTCTCTGGACACACTGGATGAGTCCGAAGAAAAAATAATCTCCGCTCTTAACGCCCTTGACTTTGGTTCTGATGAAGCAGGGCACTTCTCTGAACGTCTGTTTTATCTCATCAGAATACTGATTGATTTATCGAAACGTGATGATCTTCGTTTGTTGTTCAAAGAGACCACGCCAGAGACTGCTCTATCAGGACTTTCACTTGAATCTCAACGTAATGCATCTCGTCCAGCATCAAAATACTCACCGGTACTTCTTAGACTGTTTGAGCCTTTATCGCTGAAAATCGCTTCTTCAACGCTTACGGATCTCGAGAATCTCTTGGTCTCTAGATTCCAATCTGCAGACCCCGTTCCTGAAAGCCAGCTGTGGGATCTCCTGTCAGGGACAGAGACTCTGGTTCCAAATGCGCCTTCCATTGACTTCTCCACAATGATGTACCGGTTGGGACTGAAATTCAACTCTGATGATTCGAATGAAGACTATACCGATGTGTACAAAGTGCCTGAGTTTGTTACTGTGAAGAACGGGCTGATGAAAACCATGCTTGAGAGGATATTAAGTACGCTAGAGGAGAGAAAGACTCATGAAAAAGAAATTGAAGATGCCACGAAGGTTGAAGAATCCATTCCGCTTACTGAGGATGATACTCTTGAGAAGGAAGAAGAGAAAGAAAAGGTGACCACAAAGGACATTTCACAATCAGAGCACTCTGATGAGGCGACTACTGAGGAGGACAATGTGGTTACATCGAACAGTGATGACGGGAGTTCGAAGGATTCGAACAAAATACCATCCGAGAAAGCACCAACGGAGCAGGTTGATGAGGTAGAAGAGATAACAGAGGAGACAGATGAAAAGGAAGATGAGATTAAAGAGCCGGAAGTTGAAAATGAAGCTGTTACCCAGTCTTCTGATACAATTACTCCAGCGATTTCTTCGGAATTGCTCGAACAAAAGTCTCTGATCACTTACGCAGACGCAACTCAGGTTGCCATATTTGCTCTTGGCAATCCTGCAGATGAAAACGAACTAGACGGCTTGATCGATAATACTGAGCTTTCCAGGATCGCCGAAGAACTCATTTCCACATGTGCTTTGTTGGCTGGTACAGAGTATAGAAAAAGCATACACAGAGCCGTGGCTGAAAATTACAAAACTTCTGTTCTTATTTTCAGTCCATTGTTCAATTGAGTGTCGACGATGTTACAGTTGAAGAGGGCATTCAAAATGCATTTGACAGTCATATAGAAGGAAACTACAGAGGGTGTATATATGCTATCCGGGTGGTGTCCAGATTTCTTCTAGAAAAGTGTCTAGTATGTATACTTAATACGTATATGAGCATATTCCTCATAGAGAAATCACCCTGGAAAGTTTATCGCTTCTTTTCCTCTAACTCATGGCGAATCGCCCAGAAACTCAGAACCATCCCAAGTTCATACACAAAAAACCGCAGTAGACCACTGGCTACAAACGTAGTCCATTGATAACCAATTCCAGTCAAAAACCCGGTTATTGGTGGAGCAAGACCTTGTCCCACGGTTCTTGCCATATTGCTCCACGCAATGGCTCCAGACCGCTCTTCAGGTGGAACCACAGCACTTACAAACACGTTTTTTGATCCCATATCCATGGCTTTGAAAGCGCCTCTCAGAAGAAGAATAATTACCGTAAGAAGCAAAGTCTCGGGCATGGGTACGAACATAACAAGAATCGTCGAGGGAACATGCGTGATGATGAGTGATACCAAAGGGCCGTATTTCTTACACAGAGCAGTTCCCACGACGGAAAGAACTGCAGAGAGGGCATTTGCCATGAAAAAGATCACTCCCAGTTGGGCTGGGTCAGCTGAAAACTTTTGAATAAGGTAAAATGAGACCCAACCATCAGTGACCATAGATTTGGAAAAAGCGTCCACGGTATAGAAGAACGAGATTCGGATGACAGTCCAAAAGTTCTTGGATCCAAACAGCATGGAAGAGGCTGGAGGTTCCTTCGGATCAGAAATTCTAAGTGATTCGGAATTTTCGTCTTCGTCATCAGAAATGAGCGACCCCGAAGAATCCAATGCGTGGCTCCTAGGACGTGAAAATGCTACCTCTATGCGAGAGCTCAACTTGGTAGCAGTCCACATACACAGTAAAGAGGTCAAACATTGTACTAGAAACACGGATTTGCAGGCTTCCTGTTTTGTCCAGCCAAAGTGCTTAATAAGAATGGTCATCGTCCAGCCGTTAATTATAGATCCAATTGCAAAAGCCATTATGCCGAGGAGAGAATACCAGGTGTAGTAGTCCGAGCGTTCGTCCAAAGTGGAAAGATTGGCTATCGAGGCGAACTCCACGTTTCTGAATGGGCCAACTTCACCCCCGCCGGGCGTTATAAAGCCTACTATTCCTGTCACTAGCAAGACGGTGGGGTTTGAGGAGAAGGCAAAAATTAAGCCTGTGATAGCCATGACCCCCGATCCAATCATATGGGTATGTGCTCTTCCAAACGAGTCTGCTTTTGCACTGAGGAGAAAACTGACCACCATATCACCCAGTAAAAAGCATGTCATGTAGAAACCCACGATAGCCGTATCAATGCCTACTTGTGTGAGGTAGTAGGCCAGAATCAGCGAGACGCCACTGTACCCATACAGCCTGATCATGCGCAGCAGAAACAGCGTGTGGATGTCACGAGGGGCATTCCACGCAGTGTTAACACCTGCGTGGTCCAGAGCACTTGCTCCCCATTCAGCCAACTTTTCCATCTTTGATTTCTAGCTATTTTGAGGGTTCCATGAGACTAAACGACCTTCGAGAATGCTTAATCCCGCATAAGTGAGCCACACCTTGCATGACAGTCCGATTGTGCGGCGGACATTTGAGTTATCCACACATACTCCTCTTTAGGCCTAAGAGAACTGAAACAGCCTATACCTTGGCAAATGCGGATGAGTCCTTTCCATCGGCGAATAAATTCACATTCAAGGCAAGTGCTTCTTCTCTGTACCAGCATATTCTGTGTATCATTCCTCACCAGTGGGCGCGTCGGAAAAAATCCACATAGTTCCGTTGTCGGTGAGTTCTCCAATCTGCCAATTTGGCGCAGTCACACAGCACACCCGATTCGAGAGATCCAGAGGCCTCTCTATAAGCCTTCTGGGGGAGGGGGCCGCTCTTGATCTACAACCTAAACCACTCTTTTGGTGGAAAAAGAACCAATTGAAATATCAAACGATATTTGTTGGCCATTGCTTACTGAAATATTGCTGGATATCTCCATCTTCGCAACGCAGCTTCGGGATCTGTTTGCTATCTGTTCTGAAACCAGAGTGTCCTATTTATACCTCTCCAGACGGAAGTGCGCTATTTGCGGCAGAAGAACAAGGGAAGACACGCCAAGATCAGGTACTGTGACCGAGAAAATACATAGGCGACAACCGAATAACAGATAAGCCTATCCGACATATCTGCCATAATGAAACCACAAACACTGCAGATGCCTCCGGCTGCGACTGGTCTACAGGCAGTTGCCGGTGCGTCCATTGGAAGTTCAGTCGACAGATCTTCCGCTATATTTATGCCAAAGACCCTGAATAGGCGAAACCTAAAAAAACTGACTCTCGACGCGCCCAGCTCATCTGCTGCCCCAGCGGGCATTGATCTTAGAGACCCCGATAGAAAAGCGTCCGCGGATGAGTTGATATCACATCTGCAGAATCTTGAGCTGGGATTGGAATATCAGATTACGATGCGTGTGGAGGATCTTGTCACTTTGAAGAAGCTGGGTGCAGGCAACTCTGGAACTGTTTCCAAAGTGCTGCACATCCCCTCGAAAAAGATCATGGCAAGGAAGGTGATACATATCGAGACAAAGGAGCTAATTCACTCACAGATTATACGAGAACTCCGAATAATGCATGAGTGCGACTCGCCGTTTATAATTGACTTTTTTGGTGCCTTTATCGATCAGGGAGATGTGGTGATATGTATGGAGTATGTGGATTGTTCTTCCCTTGATAAAAATCTACGAATGACGGGACCTTTCCCTGAAGTGATTCTGAAACAGGTGGCCTGGTGTGTTCTTTCTGGTCTCAACTATCTTTATGATCACCATAGGATAATTCACAGAGACGTGAAACCGTCTAACGTCCTACTAGACTCCAAGGGTGGAATGAAGCTGTGCGACTTTGGAGTCTCTCGAGAGCTGATAAACTCCATAGCAGATACTTTTGTGGGAACTTCTACGTACATGTCTCCAGAACGTATCCAGGGTGGTGTGTACTCTGTGAAAGGTGATGTGTGGTCCTTGGGACTCATGTTGGTTGAATTGGCAACAGGCAAGTTTCCCTTTGGAGACAACTCTAACAGAGCTCCTGACTCCATTCTGGATCTTCTCCAGAGAATCGTGAACGAACATCCCCCTAGTCTGAAACCAGAAGATGGGTTTTCTGCAGATCTTTGTGATTTTGTCGATATGTGTCTCAAGCGTGAGAAAGAAAGAGGTGATCCCCACAAATTGATGCTACACCCGTTCTTGCAAGGCTGCGAGACTCCTGAGTTCAAGAGCGAGGTTAAACGGTGGGCTAAGAACGTTCGGAGGGCCCAGAAGGGAAAAGCTATAAAATGAGGCTATCAAACAGGTCATTCAGTGAGACTAACAAAAAAAGCCATAAATGGAACATTATGCCATCATCTTCATCCTCGATACTACCTTCACGAACATCACCATTATCACTGTTATTACTGTTATTACTGTTATTACTGCCATCATTGCCCTCATCACCTGCATTATCCCTTCTACTGCTTCCTTTGGTTCCATAGACATCTCCAATTCCTTTCTCTACAGCCGGTGTTTGGTTCGTTTTCCGAGTTTATGTCATTCTACATCCTCCTTCCAGTTTTTTGCACCACATATACACATCCTGGTGCGGCTCATCATATTATTCATTCTTTATATTCTATTCCGTGCCTGCGTTTGGTGTGTACTCATCTGGAACCACATCCAATAACTTCCTCTCAAGTCTCAATATATCTGCAGCCAAATAAAGGCTTCCACAAACAACTACGCTTCCGTTGGACTCTTTCAATTGACCAGCAAGCTTGATAGCCTCAATCGGATTACTACTCTCGTAGACCTTGTCTGTATACTTCTGCACTTGTATCTTCAGATCAGCAGTTTCGTATGCAGAAACCCAAGGCATGCCATCCACGGGACTGAATTCAGTGAGAATCACTGTGTCTCTGTTCGAGAACAGTGGTTTCATTATTGGGTCCAGAACTTTGCCCTTAGTAGCAGCAAAAACATACACGATATCGCCTTCTGGTCGCAGATTAGTATCCACGAAAGCTGCTAGCTCGTCTGCAGCAGAACCATTATGGGCCCCGTCTAGCAAAATTTCAACTGAATCCGGTAGTAATGGCAGCCTCAAAGTTTGTAGTCTTCCAGGCCATTTGACACTGGATATTCCTTCCGCTACTGTCTCTTGCGTGATTCGCGGATCTACCAGCAATTGAGCAAGCTTAAGCGTCACCGACAAATTTGCGTGCTGATATTTTCCCAGTAGACCGATTTTGAACCGTTTCACCTCCCCAAAGGACGTAGTCTCTTTTGGATTCGAGACAGTAAGCATAACTCCTTGCTCATCAGCCACTCTTTTGAATACTTCCAAGGCTTCATTCGCGTTAGAACCATCCACAACACATGGTACCCCTGGCTTGATAATACCGGCTTTTTCGCCTGCGATTGCAGCCAATGTGGATCCAAGAATTCCCTCATGATCTAGTCCAATTTTGGTAATACCTGTAGCCACCACTCCAAACGATTCGCCCTCTTTATGGGCAGGAATAACATTGGTAGCATCCAGACGCCCACCAAGACCCACCTCAATAACAGCAACCTCCACTTTTGCCAGTTTGAAGATCTCAAACGCGGTGCACGTAAGAATTTCAAACTCCGTGGCTCCCACTTGCATCTTGTCATTAGCACCAATCACTCGTTTCTGAACAGTCTCAAAAAACGCCAAAGAAACAGGTTTATTATTCACACATATCGAATCGTTCACATAGAGCATATGGGGTGACGTAAACCTTCCATTTTTTACCTTTGAAAGAGTGAGAATCTGGGATAGATATGCACATACGGAGCCCTTTCCATTAGTCCCAGCAACATGCACGGCCTTCCAACTGGAAAGATGCGGATTGCCAAGAACCTGCAGTAGCCTCACCATTCGGTGGAGCTGGAGATCCAGAGGCATTTCTGGAAATTTTGCCCAGACAAGAAGGAGATATTTCACTATCCTTCTTGCTTAGATAAATCTCTAAGGCAGACCAAAAAAGGACGATAGGTCTGAGTCGTGCGAGACTCATATCTGCCCTTTTGGGCACTCAGTTTGAACAACTCACAGGGATCAGCTGGCTGGTCAAGCAATCTGGAACTTGTCGGTTACCTATCGAAACGCCTTGAAGCTACGAAACCCCCGTTCTTTTGTTGTTTATTTGCGTGTCTGACTATCCAATTGAGTTTTGGGAGAGTCGAGTCAAGTCGAATCGAAAACGCAATCGAGCTTGTAATTGATAGTCTTGTTCCAGCAACGCGCTCTTGGAGTTGACCATGTCGTATCTTGAATCCAGGCTCAGGAAGTTTTTCAAGCTTCCGCATAAGGGTAAGTTTTTGTTGGTGATGAGAGATGTTTAGTGTTGTCGCAGCTATTGTGAGTTATGCACTGCCTTACACTTTTGAATGTCTTTCTGCCTTTGTTTTTCACTCTCTTTATGTATCTTCCATGCTAACTTACTCAGGTGAGACCTATGAACTCAGAAGCGGGCTGGTGTCACAATATGCCGGAGACAGAAAGGATGCCATAGAAAGAGTCATTGGTGCCATGACGGTCGGAAAGGACGTGTCTGCTCTCTTCCCTGATGTTTTGAAGAACGTGGCCACCCACGATCTGGAACAGAAGAAGTTGGTGTACCTGTATTTGATGAACTACGCTAAGACCAACCCGGAATTATGTATTCTTGCTGTGAACACTTTTGTCCAGGATACTGAAGATCCTAATCCTCTGGTCCGTGCATTGGCAATCAGAACAATGGGATGCATAAGGGTTGACAAGATTGTGGATTACATGGAGATCCCATTGCACAGAACTTTGAAAGACGATAATCCTTATGTGAGAAAGACAGCTGCAATCTGTGTAGCCAAGCTTTTTGATCTCAGTCCCGAGATGTGCGTGGAGCAGGGATTTTTGGATGCTTTGAAGTCTATGATTGAGGATTCTAATCCGATGGTGGTGGCCAATGCTGTTTCTGCACTATTGGAGATTGAAGCTGCAAACAGAGATACCAAGGTTTTGGTTTTTGATGCCAAAATCCTAAAGAAACTGTTGTTGACACTGAATGAGTGTACAGAATGGGGCAGAATTACTTTGCTTACTGCTCTGGCAGAGTACAAGTCAACTTCCGAGGCCGAGGCATCCAGTATCATTGACCGTGTGAGCCCGTTGTTGCAGCATGAGAACCCTGCGGTCGTCCTTGCGGCCGTAAAGGCTATATTAATGCACATAAACGCAATTCCTCAGGAATCACAGGACTCTTTGGTGAGAAAACTGAGTGCACCATTGGTTTCACTCATTTCGACTCCTCCAGAAGTTCAGTATGTCGGTCTCAGAAACATTAGGATTATCCTGGAAAAGTATCCTTCGATTCTTTCCAGAGAAATGAGGGTGTTCTTCTGCAAATACAACGATCCTCTCTACCTTAAGCTGGAAAAAATAGAGATCTTGGTGAGACTGGTGAATGATTCGAACAGCACGGTCCTGTTAGCAGAGCTTCGCGAGTATGCAATGGAGTTTGATACGGAGTTTGTCAAGAGAGCAGTACGTGCAATTGGTCAGGTCGCCATCAAGCTGGAAAAAATCTCGAAGAAGGCGATCGATGTTTTGTACGACCTGATCAACTCGAGATCCGAATATGTGATTAACGAAGCTACAATAGTGATCCAGAACGTCTTGAGACGCTACCCTACACAGCATATCTCCACAATAATCTCGATCATCGCAGATATCAACCTAGACCAACTAGAGGACGACGAGGCTTTGTCGTCATATGTCTGGATAATAGGAGAGTATGCAAAGCATATTCCGCATTTGGAGAAGATTTTGGATGGAATGGTATCCCAATTTTTGGAATTTGAGTCCACTGTTCAACTGGCTCTGTTGACTACCATCGTGAAGGTTAATCTTACAAGACCAAGCCCTAACACGCAAAAGCTACTTCAGGACACTTTGAATACAGCCACAAAGGAAGTCGAAAATGCCGACGTCAGAGATAAAGCGTTTTTGTACTGGAGATTACTCAGTTTGGATGGCGATTCCGCGCAAAAAGCTGTGATGTTGAAGAAGCTGCCACCTTTGACCTCAACTATTGAAAAGTTCCCACCGGCACTTTTGAACGAACTTATCACAGAAATTTCTACCCTGGGCTCCGTGTACCACCAACCAGGCTACATGTTTGCTGCTGGAGATGCTCACACCGGTGGGAAGGTTCAGACCAAGAAACTGGAGGAGTTGCAACAATTGGCCAAATCCGAGATTGTGAACAACACTGTCAAGGCAGAGAATCTACTGGACTTCGACGATGACGAAGGTGATTCGAACTCAGCCAATGCCGACAACGGAGCTAGCAATAACAACATTCTCGCCGAACTCAATGATCTTTTCGCAGGCTTGTCGACACAACCGCAGCAGCCGTCATCTGTTTCGCCGCCACCGCCATCATCCGAACAGTCGAACGGTGCAAGCAGTCTCTTTGATCTGATGGGTGGGTTTGAAGCAGGAGCAAGTCAAAATGGCGCAGCAAATTCAAAGAAGCCAGAAGAAGACCTGTTAAGTCTTTTCTGAAGTACTTGAAAGAACGATATCATTAAAAGAAAATGTATAGAGTTGAAGAAGGAATGCTGGTTTTCTACTAGACCGTTTGTATGAGACTTGAAATATCACTATCTGGTTTTAATTTGAATATCACTAGTGGTTTTCTATGTACAATTAACAAAAGCACAACGGACAACCAAAACGAGTTAGCTCGTTCTAATCACCACGTTTACTCCATGATTTGGGTAACTAAACCAGTACCAACAGTCTTTCCACCTTCTCTGATGTTGAAACGCTGACCTGGCTCAAGAGGAGTTGGGTGAACCAAAGTGCACACCATCTCGACGTTGTCACCTGGCAAAACCTGTCTGGAGTGGTCAACATCATCACCTTCTGGGAAGGTCAATTGGACAGAAACATCAGAGGTTCTGATGAACAATTGGGGTCTGTAGTTGGCTCCAAATGGAGAGTGACGGCCACCCTCTTCCTTGGTCAAAACGTACAAAGAGGCCAAGAACTTGGTGTGGGCCTTGACAGTACCTGGCTTGCAGATGACCATACCACGCTTGAGCTCTTCACGTTTGATACCTCTCAGCAAGATTCCACAGTTGTCACCACCTTGGGCCTGGTCCAATTCCTTCTTGAACATCTCAATTCCGGTAACGGTAGCCTTGAATGGCTGCGAGTTCAAACCAACAACCTCGATTTCCTCACCCTTCTTCAAAACACCTCTCTCGACAGAACCACCGGCGACGGTACCTCTACCAGAGATGGAGAAGACGGTCTCAACAGGCATCAAAAATGGCTTCTCCAAATCACGCGAAGGAGTTGGAATGTACGAGTCAACGGCATCAAGCAACTTCTCGATGGCCTGAACACCAATCTCGGGTTGCTTGTCCTCCAAAGCACAAAGAGCGGAACCCATGATGACTGGGGTGTTATCACCGTCAAATCCATAGGTAGACAAAAGTTCTCTCATTTCCATCTCAACAAGTTCAAGCATTTCAGGATCATCAATGGTGTCAACCTTGTTGACAAAGACAACCAAGTTTTGGACACCAACCTGTCTGGCCAACAGCAAATGCTCTCTGGTCTGAGGCATTTGACCGTCAGTTGCAGCAACAACGATAATGGCACCGTCCATCTGGGCGGCACCGGTGATCATGTTCTTGATATAATCGGCGTGACCAGGACAGTCGACATGGGAGTAATGGCGCTGTTCGGTTTCGTATTCGACGTGGGCAGTGGAGATGGTAATACCTCTGGCTCTTTCTTCTGGAGCCTTATCAATGGAACCGTAGTCCAAGAAATCGGCACCACCCTTGTTTGCGAGAACCTTGGTGATGGCGGCGGTCAAAGTGGTCTTACCGTGATCGACGTGACCAATAGTACCGATGTTGACGTGAGGCTTGGTACGGGAGAAAGTGGCGGCCGTACGGTACGAGAACCTGGTAGTTGACACTGGTGAAAAGTTAGTGTGCCGTCGCAAAGCGCAAAGTACGGAATTTCCAGCGAGTGATCACTTACAAGACAAACGGCCAAAGGCGCGCAACGAAGTCAAAGCAGTCAAAGTACGAGACATTTTCTAGTGTTTGCTTTTGCTGGGGAGTGGTGATCAGTTGATCCCACCGGAATTTTTCAATCTGAGTTTGGAGCTTCGGCTTCGGCAGCAGTGAGGCACGGACAGTCCGTGCGTTTAGTGCTGATTGAGTGCGGTACACGCCTGGATACCACGATGTTATCTGCGTTTTAATCCATGGAACAAAGTCTTAAAAGCGAAGTACTCTGTTCATTTCTAAGTGTTCCCAAATATTTAATGGTGCAGATATTTGTGGAAACAATAGCCGGTGTGAGTAACATCCGACTCAGCTATTCTGAAAGTGACCCTGTTTCGAAACTAGCGAACGACATCTCTTCACGTCTTCCTCTGAGCCTGCAGCATCGATCGGCCATAGTCACAAGAGACGGTAGTCTCATCTCCAAATACTCCAAAGTTTCAGACTTGACTAAAGATGCAGGCTATGTGAATCTGCACTTGAGACTACCGCTTTGTGGTGGAAAGGGAGGGCTCGGAACTACCCTGAGACTCCAAGGCGGCAAGATGGGGAAGAAGAAAAATTCCCGAGAAGGTGATTATAAGAATCTTGACGGTATTAGACTGAAGATTATTGCAAAGATGAAAAGGATGGACGAGCTGATACGATCATTACCCGAACAAGAGCGCGAGAGGGTGAGGATGAAAAAAGAAAAGCTGCGAAAACTGGTGGATATGGATGTGGAAAAGCTTGTTAACGACAGGGCCGGCAAATTCGATGACACTAAGTATATTGAGGATGCTGAGAAGATAATGGAGGATATCAAAAACGATGTCGATCTCTTGATGGAGAGTGATGAAGAAGATAGCGATGACAGCGATGACAGCGATGATGATGACGATAACGATCGGGATGATAAGAAAGACACAGAGAGAACCAATACTGGCCCTAGCAGCTCAAGAAACAGCAAGTTTGCTGCGTTTTACGATGACGAAGATGAGTGAGAGTTGGTGCGCTTCTCACTTGCGACTGGCTAAAGTGGTTTGAAATTGGTTCCCACTCTGCTGTGTTAGTACATGAGAAGGAAAAATCTCAACAAATAGATACGCGATAAAAAAAAAGACATTCCCCTTCATAATCAACTGTATCTTGCCCCGTTTCCTTCATTTTTTGAGCCGCACTTGAAATCACAATAATATAATGAAGTAGTGTATTTATCAATATGCTGCCCAATCAGGCGTCTTCAAAGGATTCACCTCCGAAGTTGAAAGCCAACAAGGAAGGCCTCTTGAATCATTGTCTCTTCCGATCTAACTCCAATTTATTCAATCAGGAACCACAATGGCTACTTTCACTAGATTCCCAACTCCTGTTTTCAAGGCTTACTGGCCATTCTTCACCGGTGGTATGTATAGGTTTATTGGGGCAATTGTCAAGCGACAAAGCCGAGTTCACCACGAGTTCACCACGAGTCAATAACGGGAATACTGTATACTAACTCAGCGATTTCTTCCAGCCGTCGTCACCACCTACTTGATTGCCAAGGCTGCTGACCTCAGCATGAACTCCCAGGAATTCATCAACGACCCAAGACACCCAAGATTTGCCCAGGGTGTCAAGCCAGCTGAGAAATAGATAGGCTCGATGCTACTCATTACGACATGTTACAAAACCGAATTGAAACCGAATGGACAAAAATGATGGCTAATGGATTGGTGTTTGGCCAATCATATGCTTGCATATGATGGTTCATACTATGTGCATATATACGTATATCGAAACATCGCCCGGTCCTATCCTTTATTGATGCTGCTCAAGAGCGCTGTCTAGTGCTTTCTGTAGAATTTCCAACAGGTCCTGAGTGGGCTCGAGGCCAATGCTCATTCTCACCAGGTTTCTGTCCACTCCCCACTTCTCTACCTCCTCCAGCTCGTTGAAGTGTGCAAGAATGGCATATGGACAAGCGAGAGTGAAGTTCGTGCCCAAAGAAGGACCCTTCGAAAGGGCAACTTGGTTGAAGAAGCAAACCGCGTCTACCTGCTCCTTGAACACGAAAGAGACCAAACCACCGTAGCCACCGGTCTTGGTCTTTATGGCGTCATAGTACTTTTTCGAGACGCTCAAGGACGGGTAGAATACTTGCGAGATCAGAGGCGAAGACTGTAATAACTTCAACACCTCGAGAGCGTTCTCGTTGATTTTGGAAGACCTCACTTCGAAGTCACGACTGTTTCTTTCAAGATATATCGCGTCTTGGTCCCAGAATAAGTCCTCAAAGTTCTCGTTCATATAGGCCTTCAGCACGCTGTAGAATTTGGACTCGGAATTCAGAACCAGCGATCCAGCCATGACGTTGGAATCTCCACTGAAAACCTTAGTCAAAGACGAAACAACCATGTCTGCGTATGGCAGAACGTGTATGTTTAAGAAGTTACCTACGGTCTCGTCAATAACGACCGCAAATCCGTACTTGTCACTCAACTGCTTGATTCTAGGCAAATTTGGAGTTTTCAAAAGTGGATTGGAAGGGCACTCACAGAATAGTGCCATAATCTTTTCGCCTTGCTCCAACTTGTGTTCTAGCTCATCCAAAGACTCGTCATCCCCAAAACCATAGAAGTGGACTCCGGCACCCCACTTTCTCAGGATGTTGAGAGTGTCAACATATGGGAACCCAAAACATACCGATTTTTCATCTTTGAGCTCTGAGGTATGGAGAAGGATCTGGTGAGCATTGAAGATGGAAGCCATGCCGCTAGGATAGAGGTAAACGTCGTCTTCTGAAAATTGCATGGCTCCTCTTGGGGAATCCTCAACTTCGGAAACATTTCCTGCGATTCTCTTTCTTAGGAGTAACTTTGCTTCCTTACTGAATCTGAGATCCAAGTTTCTTCCAAATCTCTCTTCGATGAAGGTGGAATACTCGTCCGTAGGCTCTGCCACAGAAGATGTCGAAAGTCTGGAATTCCTGCTAGTCCTTCTGCTACTGGCGAGTTCCTCTTCTTTTCTCTTAGCTTCCTCCAGTCCTTTCAACTCCTGCAAACAGTATTCTCCCAGTCTAGATGAAATACCTTCTCCAGAGTGTTGCCAGTACTGCTTCGCGACTGGAAACTCGGACGCAGTGAAAAAAACAGCACTGATATTTGCCTCGACTCGGTAGCTGGCTTCTACGTCATCTTTGGGCCCAGGAGTGCTTAATTGCAGAATGCGAACCTGACACTTTGGCGATTGGGAGCGGCGTTTGATGAACTCTCTGCACCGCTTAGCAACATCGTAGGTAGGGAATATCATGACTCTTTCTTCATCCTGGCCCTTTCCATAAGTATCCTCCAACAACTTGGCAAGGGCCTGAATCTTTGAATGAATGAAAAACCGCGGATATCCCGAAGTCATCTTGGAGACCACCCATGCCTGGCCTTCTTCGTAGCCAACGGTGGCTTCCCAAGTGGGCAGGGTCACCGAGACTGCGTGTTCGGTGTTGTTGGGAATGGGATCTCCAATAGACTGTGAGACTGTGTGCGGCATTTGGTTACTTGGATGTGGCTAGAGAGGAGTGTGGCCAACTGAAGCGTCAGTCTGAACGAGTCATAGCCCGGATCCCACAGTGCTTCCGCATGTGTCAAGGAGGCCCGTTACCCGGACGGAAATTGAGGATTGGCAGAGTGGTTGGATTGGCAAAAAAATCATGGATTTCAGCGGAATTTACACGGGCTTCCCATTCAGAAAACCATTTCAGAGTAGATTTCCCAATCGGATTTGCGGAAGAACTCTGGGTGGGTTGAAGATGGTTTTGGGACTGATAGACTCTAAGGGCTAGTCCCCGATCAGGCGGGCCGGTGCCAAAACGGTGCGGCTGAAAAAGACAAAGTGAGGGCAGGAGTGCTGAAAGTACTTCCTGCGTGCAATATTTGGGCGGACAGTTGGAATATAACCGTCTCGAATTTTGCTTTTGAAAGCCTCTTGGCAATAAACTTTTTTTTTTGCCTTTTGAGTCCAAATTGACAGTAACAACAGTTATCAAATTCAGATTTTAGGTCTAGTCTTGATCTGAACTATTCAGTACACGACGGGCCCTAATCCATCGCAGACGTGAGTTTGTGATACCGTGTTTTGTTCGGTATAAGAGTACTAGCAAAGTTACGGAATTGAATTGTTTTTGGAAAGCTGACTGTTTCTTGATTAGTCAAAAGCCATAATCAGGTCATTTTTAGTTGAACCTCCATGTCAAGTTATATTGGTTCCAAAAGGCCATCCACCTTTGACTCAGGAGACACATCAATAACGTCGACGTTCTGGAAGGCCAAAAACAAACCTGACCTGCCACTTTACAAAGACAAGCCCAAAAGCGCGACGGGATTTCTGACTACCCATAGAAAAAGAATGGTTTTCAAGCTTTTCCTGCTCTCGATTGCTCTCTATCTGTTACATTATACTTACTCTCTCATCTCCTCCACAGCCGCAGTGGATCCGTTGACGTCGAAAGAACTGTGGCAGAACAGAAGAGATGAAGTTAAGAAGGTATTCCAGGAATCCTGGAAGGACTACGAGAAGCACGGTTGGGGCAATGATGTCTACCATCCAATCAAGCAAACAGGCAAAGACATGGGGTCAAAGCCCTTGGGCTGGATCATAGTAGATTCTCTGGACACTCTGATGCTTATGGATCTAAAAGAAGAACTGCATGAGGCTCGGAGTTGGGTTAAGAATGAGTTGACCTACGATTTTGACTACGACGTGAACGTTTTCGAGACCACAATTCGCATGCTCGGAGGATTGCTCTCTGCCTTTTACCTTTCACAAGATGAGATGTATCTAGACAAGGCAGTGAACCTGGGAAACAAGATCATTGGTGCTTTTGATTCACCCTCTGGGATCCCATATGCCTCAGTTAATCTCCAAACGGGTAAAGGTATCGAGAGTCATGTGGACAGAGGTGCGAGTTCCACTGCCGAAGTGGCCACTTTACAACTGGAGTTCAAATATCTTGCCAAACTAACCGGTGAGAACTTGTATTGGGAGAAGGTTGAGAAGGTGATGGAGGTATTGGATTCCAACCAGCCAGTCGATGGTTTGGTGCCCATTTACGTGCACCCAAAGACTGGCAAGTACCAGGACAGGCTGATCAGATTGGGTTCGCGTGGTGATTCGTATTATGAGTATCTCTTGAAGCAGTATCTGCAAACCAGTTCTGAGGAGGGTGTCTACTTGGATATGTATAGGGAAGCTGTCAAGGGCATTAAGACCCATCTCATCAACAAGTCTCTTCCAAATGGCCTCACATATATTGGCGAATTGCCTACAGGCATTGGTGGTGATCTTTCTCCTAAGATGGACCATTTGGTGTGTTTTGTTGGTGGATTGTTTGCGTTGGGTGCCACCTCTGGTGAGGATGTCTCAATAGCAAGAAAGGCTTCCGGCTGGAGTGCTGAGAAGGAAGAGGATTTCTCGCTTGGGAGAGAAATCGCGCGTACTTGTTACAAGATGTACCATGATGTTGAGGGCACTGGGCTGGCGCCTGAGATTGTGGTTTTCAATTCTGACCAGAAGAACCAGCACGATTTTTTCATCAAGCCCCTGGATAAGCACAATCTACAGCGGCCAGAAACGGTGGAAACGCTTTATTACATGTACCGCATGACCAAAGATCCAATATACAGGGACTGGGGTTGGGAGATCTTCCAAAACTTTGTCAAGCACACCAAGGTCACTTCTGGTGGAAAGGACAATGCTCCTCGTTACACCTCTCTAGATGATGTGACCTCTGTGCCCCCGAAGAAGAGAGATAACATGGAATCGTTCTGGTTGGCTGAAACTTTGAAATACCTGTACTTGCTGTTTGATGATTCTGATAACCCCAAATGGGATATCAAAAACGTTGTTTACAACACCGAAGCACATCCACTTCCTAAGTTTGAGATGTCGGTGCTGTTCAAAACAGGGTGGGTAAGATCAAAGCTTGGCGAGGATGAAGCCCAGGCCAAGAAGAAAGAAACGATAAAGGATGCAGAGAAGAAGCCATCGAAAGAGAAGCCGGTGATCCAAGCAGATAGGTCAAGTAATGACAAGCAAGATCCACAGATCAAGGACGAAGCGGAACCAGATCTCCATAAGGCGATTGGTGGCATGAACGATAAGTCCAACGATGTTCTTGATCCTCTTCCCCTCAAGGGTACCAGCAACGAGCAGTCAATGGAGAACTTCAAAAAAGACGGAAAGGCCAGGGAGCCAGAGTTACCCAAGGCTCAACCGATCTCTCCGTCTGTGGATAAGCAGCAAACCGAAGAGTTGCTATCTCAAAACTTGGAAGATGATACCGGTGCTATGCTCAAAGACAAAGTTCAAAAGCTTGTTGATAGGAAAAATGATGACGAACTTGAAGATATTCTGTTTGGTAAAGACAAAGAATCTGTCATTGAGAAGCAACTACCTCCCAAGTCCGAAGTTGAGAAAGGTGGAACTATTCCAGAGGCAAAAAAGCCATCAAAGCCTTTACATGCTCAATTGGCAGAAGTCGAAGATAAAGTGAAAAACAATGATGCTGGATTGAAAGCGAAAATGGAGAATGATCTACTGGCTGATGCTGCCCAGAACTAGGCTGTCTCTGTGCTGTTCATCTTACTAATGATCAAATAGTCCAGTGTATTGCGAGAATTAGTTATAAAAAGAATCAAAATCTGCATAGGAAAGCCGTCTCTGCTTATTATTCGGCCAAATTGAGGAAACCTATCAGTAGATTGGTTGACCCTTGGCGTAGATTCTGGCACCAAGACGAGCATCTGCCTCGGCATCAGCTTCAGCCTCTCTCTTGTAGATTGGCTGACCCTTGGCGTAGATTCTGGCACCCAAGCGGGCATCAGCATCAGCATCCGCTTCAGCCTCTCTCTTGTAGATTGGCTGGCCCTTGGCGTAGATTCTGGCACCAAGACGAGCATCTGCCTCGGCATCAGCTTCAGCGTCAGCTTCGGCCTCTCTCTTGTAGATTGGCTGGCCCTTGGCGTAGATTCTGGCACCAAGACGAGCATCTGCCTCGGCATCAGCTTCAGCGTCAGCTTCGGCCTCTCTCTTGTAGATTGGCTGGCCCTTGGCGTAGATTCTGGCACCCAAGCGGGCATCAGCATCAGCTTCAGCATCAGCTTCAGCCTCTCTCTTGTAGATTGGCTGGCCCTTGGCGTAGATTCTGGCACCCAAGCGGGCATCAGCTTCAGCATCAGCTTCAGCCTCTCTCTTGTAGATTGGCTGACCCTTGGCATAGATTCTGGCACCCAAGCGGGCGTCAGCATCAGCTTCAGCCTCTCTCTTTGCCAGAGAGACATCGATCGGAGCAGCCAGAGAGAGTGGAATCAACGAAAAAGCAGCAATAGTTGCAGTTGCAAAGGAGGCGGAGATCTTCATAGTAATTAGCAAATCGGAAGTTGATATGAGATGATCAATTGAGACTGAGAAGGCAACAACAGTGAATCAGAGAGGATTTGAAGAGCCTTTATAGCGAAGTAGGTCTCGGGCAGGGCCACCTCGCCTGCACGCTGAGTTTCAGAATAAAGACGCAAGCGACATGTCATTTGTCGTATTTCATGCAATAGCAAATAATATATTTGCAAAATCGATTGTGTTCGACGAAAGTACCCCAATGTTCTGTGGGGTGGTTCCTTTGAAGTCCCAATCAGGAAGTCCGGATGCCGTTTGACATAAATGCATCATTGCGCCAATTTGGTTCCAAAAAAGAGCTCAAAGGGTTTCAGGTACTCAGTTCATGTATTCATTTTTGATGTACTCTGGTTTTCCATTGGATATCAGCAATGAAGCTGCAAAATGAACAGTCCTTCCTGTACTACCGCAGATGTAGTGCCAGAACACGCAAAAGCTGCCCTCATTAAGTCAGCAAAGCCGGACGACGGACATAATCATGGTATGCAACTTGCAAAAAATATATGCTTGCGAGCACAATAGAGTTGACATGTTCAAATCGAGAGACTTAATTGCGAATCAGTGATCTAATCTGAGACATTGCGTTTCAAGGGACATCTGGGGTAGACATAAACAGTGCGGCACACATCACGAACCCCACAGTTGTTGCCTATATCAGCCAGTTTGATTTCCGATTCTTCAGGAAATCACAATCAGTGCAGGAGTCTCAAACACCCCGCATTACATGATAGGCAATGGTCTGCTTCTGAAGATAGCCTTTTGACGAATCACGTCCAAAACTTGGATGGGAGTCTCTTCTGTCGAAGACTCCGACAGAATCCTCATGAGTCCCAGCGGAGGATCTATTTTTTCAATGGTTCCGACCAATCTTTGGGATGACCCGATATATAGGGTCGCTCTCTTACCGTCTATATCCAGTTTTCCAAACTTCACAGCCGTATGAGATCCCGAAGACCCCAGTTCATCGGCTGTGTTGATGCCAAGACTGCTCTCATCTTGCACATACATCTCTGATTCGGTCTCTGTTAACTTATCGGGAATCCGCTGCGGTAAATTTAAATCACCTTGGATCTCAAGTATCATCAATCCAGAGCTCGTAGAAATCACAGGTCCACCTTCCACCAAGTCTCCAAACGGAATGGATTCTGTAACCTCGTCATATTCTATGCTTCTGGAAGGCATTTTTTTTGCTCAAACTCACGCGAGTACAGGCCCGACTCAATGGTCCGTGACATACAACACGTACTATTGTAATATGTCGACGTGTAGCGGAATAGACGCGTAGTGTGCAGTCCAATTTTACGCTCTCGCGGTAAGGCTGGGTTTCAAAGGTGTGCGGAGACACTATGGATATCTGGTCTTTTTGCTGGCCAATCTCCCTCGTTTCACTCCAATAACGCATAAACGCATAAATGGGCTGGGTTCCGTTCAGGCAGGGAGGCAAGAAATTCGATGCTGATAAGTTCGAGAAGGAACTTAAAGGCCTCTCCGGTAAAATCACAGCAAACGATAAGAAGCTGATTAAGCTCAGGAGAGACAGAGAGACATATATGCGAGCGGTTATTTTGTATCCGCTCTCGGTATATTTTGCGTTTTTGGCCTATATATTCTACTTGAGAAGTGATTGGACCGATTTGAGTTGGTACGAATGGTTGGCAGTGGTCTTGCTCCCTGTTGGCTTCGGACATCTTCGCAAGTTGATTGGCATGTGGTATGATCGTACTTCGAGGATTGTGACTGGGAACCTGGAAAAACTGAGGGAAGAGCATGAAGAAAAAATCCAGGAGCTTAAGGAGCAATCTCGGTTCGACCGTACTGCTGAACTGTTGAAAAGGTTTGGGACAGGAGAGGACATTGCTGAAATGGAAAGGGAGAAAGAAGAGATCCTGAAGACCAGAGAGGAATATTTCAGACTTCTTGAGCAAGGTGAGTCTCAGAAAAGTGCAATAGCCAAAATCGGAGGACAAAGTGGTGGGTCCAACTCGGTTTACGATGCTTTCGTGAACATGATGATAGGACCTGATGAGACCAGTGCCGAACAGAGATACGCCTTAATCTGCCAAAAATGCCACAGACATAACGGGCTCGCCCCTCCGGGAACATTCCCACATCTGGTATCTTATGAGTGTCCTGGTTGTGGTACCATGAATGGCGCAGTGTCATCTCCAAAGAGCGACCTGGTGTCTACTCCGTCAGAGATCTCAGAAGAGGACAGAGAAAGAGAGGATGAGATATAGTGCTCCGAGTGAGCATATGAGTTAGTGATTGGAAGTTTTTTTTGATATCGTTTGTTTTGAATGAGAATGGCTGGCAGTTGTTATAATGAAATTTACTGCAGTGTGCTGATTTATGGTTGACGTGCTACATGTATTGCATTGACCTCACGGATTCACGGTTTTATACCTTCACAATATTATGAAACTTAAACCAGAGACATAATGGCGTTGATGACATCACCACTGTGCTCTCTCAAGGCCTTAGCGGCCTTGGACTTGGAGCAGTGGGCCTGATCAACGACAATGTCGACATCCTCGGCAACCAAACCGGTTAGGTCAACCTCTCCATCGTCCTCATCGTCATGGGAGTGGTCGTGACCGGCATGGTCGTGGTTGTGCTCACGCTCCAAAGCGGAGGCTTGTAAGTCGGCGGTGATAGAGTCGGCGTCCTTTGGAGCTCCACCGGCAGCGGCAGCAGCGGCCTCGGCAGCAGCAGCTTCCTCGTATCTCTTGGCCAAGTCCTCGACCTTAGCCTCACCAAAGACGACGTAAGATCCGGCTGGACTCTTGTAGACAGAAGGGTTCTCAATGGCAACAATCTCACCTCTTCTTCTGAAGGTGACTCTGCTGATACCTGGAACCTCTTTGAGGCCGAGCTTGGAGATGAGGGCTCTGGCCTTCTTCTCGTCCTTGGAAATAACGGAGACTTCGGATCCCTCTGGGATTTGCTCATCTGAGACTTCGACAATCTTATCTTCGGCAGACATTTCTGGTAATATCAATTAAACTAGCTTGATGATTGGGAAAAGGAGCACCTAGCTGTTCTCAAGCGGACGAATTTTTCAGTTTCCCAAGGCTCGACGTTTTGTTCTGTTATGCACACGACTTTCCGGGTAACGCCCTCAGCCACGTGACCAAAGAAGGCATCGCTTGTTTCCAAGATAGGGTCCACTGCAAAGAGCAGATCGCTGTCTTTAGTAACCAGAACCCGTCAACTGTGCGTTTCTTCCGTCAGTCGAGATGCGTTCCCGTCGTAAAAGTAATGTAGCTGTAAAACACCCTTTAGCTCTGACTCGGCCGATCTCCGCTCCAACTTTGCCCCCGGACAGGGTCCGGAAGTTCGGACCGAATGTCGATCGGCCCGGAACATTTACCGGAGTTAGGCCCGAAAGAGAGGCTTCGCTAGGCTGTTGTTCCATCCGTATTGTTTATACCTTCTTCAACGGTTTTTCTAGTTTTCTAGCACTTGCTGATATAGTTGTGAAATTGAATTTCTCAACGCACTGGAATTAGCTTCTGCTACCCTAAAAAGCATCCTCAGTAGGTTTTGCCTCCGTTGAATCCCGACTGTTGTTGTGTGTCGCTATCAGGGTCCCGGTTGCAAGCATGAGTTCGAGTTCTAGCTCGCCTGTCGAAAGTGAGGTAGTTGGTGCAGATAGAAGTAAGGAAGTTTTTATTGATTCTGGTGATAATGGTGAATTTAAAACCTCTGGTTCCGACTCTGATAGAGCCGTTCCAACTGGTAAGTCACCAGCCGAGTATACGTGGAAAGACTCTGTTCAGATGTTCGCGTACAAGCACAACATTCCAGGGTCAGGAACTCCACGAAAGATTTTAGAACAGAGAATGAATGAAAAAAGACACATAATGGTCAATTTGGAATTGGCTGCTGACATGTTAGATGAACACGGCAACCCAGCTACGGTCTATCCAAGGAACAAGATCAGAACCACAAAGTATACCCCACTGACATTCCTCCCCAAGAACATCGTGTTTCAGTTCACCAATATTGCCAACTCCTATTTCCTGCTTATTGTCATTCTGGGAGCTTTCCAGATTTTTGGAGTGCCGAATCCCGTTCTGTCAGCTGTGCCCTTGATTGTGATTGTATGTCTTACTGCGATCAGAGATGCTTTTGAAGATTATAGAAGAGGGGAATCAGACATGGAGCTCAACAACTCGCGAGTTCACCTGCTAGTTGGTTTGAATAACCCCAATGTGAGAAAAGATTATGTTGGTCCCTGGAGACGGTTCAAGAAGGCATGCAGCCGAACCACTCGAAGAACATTCAAAGGTATAAAGTCCATCTTCAAAAAGGACAAATCTAATTCCAAACACCACGATGATTCAGAGTTGCAAAAGACAGTCACTAGAGGCTCTCTGATGTCTTCGGAGCTAGTCAGGCCATCAACTGAATACAGACTCTCTGTGGATTACAGGCCGTCAACCGATACTCGTCGTTCTCGTGTGTCGAGAGGACCCAGGTCTTCGGCATTTGTTGCAAATACGGTGTCAAATCCTAACATTGTTCCCGACATGGCTGCCACCAAGTTTGAAAACAAGTTCTGGAAGGATGTTTGCGTGGGAGACGTGATCAGAGTAAGGAACAATGAGGAGATTCCTGCTGATGCCGTGATTCTTGCCACGAGTAACGCAGAATCTGACTGTTATGTTGAGACCAAGAACTTGGATGGTGAGACCAATCTGAAGCACAAGAAGGCGCTTCATTGTGGTCAGGGCCTGAGATACGCTAGCGATTTTCAAAGAGTTCAAATGGCTATCGAGACAGAGCCCCCAAATGCTAACTTGTACAAATTTAGAGCAGTTGTCCATTTCAATTCGTTCAATGGAATTGGTTCTGAAGGTGTTCCGGATTCGGAGGCCATTAATATTGACAATATCCTGCTGAGAGGTTCTAGTCTGAGAAACACCAAATGGGCCCTGTGTCTCGTTCTGTTCACAGGAAGCGAGACCAAGGTGATGCTAAACTCAGGTATCACTCCAAACAAGAAATCGAGATTGTCAAGCGAGTTGAACTTCTCGGTCGTGATCAATTTCACCATTCTGTTCATTATGTGTTTTGCATCTGGCCTGGTGAATGGTCTCTACTACGACGATAAGCATAAATCTCGACTGTTTTTCGAGTTTTCTGCGTACGCCAAAACGGCAGCTGGCAACGGTACTGTTGCCTTCTTCGTTGCTCTCATTATATACCAATCGCTGGTGCCCATCTCATTGTACATTTCCATCGAGATCATCAAGACCATCCAGGCGTTCTTCATATTTTCGGATGTCAAGATGTATTACGATAAGCTGGATTTTCCATGCATTCCCAAATCATGGAACATATCCGATGACCTCGGACAGATCGAGTATATCTTCAGTGATAAGACTGGAACGTTGACTCAAAATGTCATGGAGTTCAAGAAATGTACCATTGCTGGAAAGTCGTATGGTCTGGCATACACAGAGGCCCAACAAGGCATGCAGAAGCGTGCTGGAATCGACGTTGCTGCAGAAGGTGAACGGATGAGACTTCTCATGGCCGAAGACCGTGAGGGAATGCTGAAGGAGTTGGAGTCTTTCGACAACGACCAGCTTGATGAAACCAAGCTCGCGTTCATCTCCAAGGATTATGTTGTGGATGTCAAATATGGTGATGCTGCACGAAAGAAGGCCAACGAGGACTTCATGTCTGCTTTGGCATTGTGTCACACTGTTATAACTGAGGCTGATGAGGACGGAAAGCTAGATTTCAAGGCCGAATCTCCGGATGAGGCTGCCTTGGTTGCGGTTGCCAAGGATCTAGGCATTGTATTTAGAGAGAGAACCAGGGCTGGTGCCGTTTTGCAGAAGTACAACGGGGATAAGGTTCTTTGGAAAGTGCTAGAAATAGTCCCTTTCAACTCTACAAGGAAAAGAATGAGTGTTCTTTTCGAGGTTCCCGAGAACGAGAGAGGTCCCAAGGGTGAGAAGATTATGCTGATCTCCAAGGGTGCTGATAACGTTATTTACGAGAGACTTTCGGACGACTCAGATCAGAGTGTTGGCGAAAGAACAGCTGTTGACCTTGAAGAGTATGCCAAAGAAGGTCTCAGAACCCTTTGCATTGCGAGGAAGTACATTGACGAGGATGTCTTCAGGGAATGGCAAGCTAGATATAAGGAAGCCAGCAACTCTGTCGCCGAAGACAGAGAAGAGAAGCTGGATATCATTGGTGATGAGATCGAGTCGGACCTATTTTTGCTTGGTGGTACTGCCATCGAAGATAGATTACAAGATGGTGTTCCAAGCTCGATTGCCATCATCAGAAGAGCAGGTATCAAACTGTGGGTATTGACTGGTGACAAGATTGAGACTGCTATCAACATTGGATTTTCCTGTAATTTGCTGGACAACTCCATGAACCTTTTGGTTATTCGCCCTGATTCGGACGACCCTAATCCTGATCAGATATCCGCTCTCATCAAGGAGCATTTGTCCAAGAATTTTGGTTTGAACGGGACGAAAGAGGAGCTTGAAGCGCAAAAGAATGACCATTCGCCTGCTAGTGGTGACTTTGCCGTTATCATTGATGGTTCAGCCCTAATGGCTGTCTTCGATTCGGACGGCTCTCTCCAGAGTGATTTCTTATTGCTCTGCAAGCAGTGCAAATCTGTACTGTGTTGTCGTGTTTCGCCAGCCCAGAAGGCCTCTGTGGTCAAACTGGTCAAGAACACTCTGGGAGTGATGACCCTTGCGATTGGTGATGGTGCCAACGATGTTGCCATGATCCAGGCGGCCAATGTGGGTGTGGGCATTGCTGGTGAAGAGGGAAGACAGGCTGTGATGTCTGCAGATTATGCCATAGCTCAGTTCCGATTCCTTACTCGTTTGGTGTTGGTCCATGGCCGTTGGTCATACAAGAGACTTGCCGAAATGATCCCATGTTTCTTTTACAAGAACGTTACGTTCTCGGTTACGTTGATGTGGTACGGTATCTACTGTAACTTTGACGGAACCTACCTCTTTGAATTCACCTATCTGATGTTCTATAACCTGGCCTTCACTTCGTTGCCAGTGATCTTCCTTGCATTTTTGGACCAGGATGTCTCGGACACTGTCTCTCTGCTTGTTCCTGAGCTTTACAGAAGCGGCATTTTGAGATTGGAATGGTCTCAGTACAAGTTTGTGTATTATGTGATTGACGGGCTGTACCAGTCTGTGATCTCGTTCTACTTCCCATACTTGCTCTTCCGCCATGGTGGGTTCCACCATCAGAACGGTATGCCGATCGACCACAGATTTTGGATGGGTGTTTACTCGACTGTGATATCCGTGACCTCGTGTAATGCCTACGTTCTTATGCAACAAAAGAGATGGGACTGGCTCTCGGTGTTGATCGTGTGCCTCTCCACGTTGTTTGTGTTCTTTTGGACTGGTGTTTGGTCCTCAAGTACTGGATCGCAGGAGTTTTACAAAGTTGCTTCGCAGGTGTTTGGAGCCGTTAGTTTCTGGGCCTGCTTTTTCTGTGGTGTTTTGGTGTGTCTATTGCCAAGATTCGTCATTGATAACCTTCTGAGACTGTATAGACCCAGGGACATCGACATCATCCGCGAAAGAGTTGCAATGGGTGACTTCAAAGATTACCCTGAAGGTTATGACCCTACAGATTCTGCTGATGTCGCAGCCCACAGAAAGCTGATGCAGGCCAAAACATCTTCCAACAACGATATAGAAGCCATGATCTCTGGTGACCAATCGGAAGAAAAGCCTCGGCCCAGAAGACTCACTTTAAGAGGTGTTTTTGGTATGGAGTCCAAGAAAACTCCAGAAGAGTCATTGCAGCCACCAGACTCTGTTCACGCAAGATTGGACCGTATAAGGACTTCCATGTCCACAGAGAGAGGTTCCATTCCTGGGTCCAACTACTCCCAGAGAATCAGGGCCACTCATGACCTTCCAGGCCTAACCAATGCCGAAAGTCTCGTGACTGCTCGTTCAAGGCGGTCTGCTAAAGCATGATTAGCATACTTGTTTGCGATGTACAATTTTAGTTATTATTCATTTTTCACTATCTCAGTAGTCGTCTGGCTTATCTGTCTGACGCATCCTCTTTTGGTAAATGCACACCATTCATTATCGCGCTCCAAATCTTTTGAAATGCGCGTACGTGAGTTTGAGACTACAACATAGAGTACAAATGGCTTTGTCCCAGTCTGAAAATGCAGAACTGAAGAAGACGGGCATTCCGGAAAAGTCCTCGACTACAACTCTTCGATTGGTCACCTTTAATGTTAACGGTGTGAAGACCATCAAGAACTACTCACCATGGAACGAGATGAAAGACTACAATCAGATGCTGAACCACATGAATGCAGATATTATAACATTTCAAGAGCTGAAGTTGCAGCCCAGTGATGTTGATCATAGTTTGGCATTTTTGGATAATTACAGATCGTTCATTTCGGTTCCCAAGACAAAGAAAGGTTACAGTGGGGTTGGGGTTTTTGTGCGATCACCCACAGAGGATGATGACCCGAGAACGCAGAGACTATTAAACGTGATCCGAGCAGAAGAGGGAATTTCTGGTGAACTAAACATTCCTGGTTTGAAAGGGGCTTTAACCTACAGAGAAGCTGGTCTTTCAGACGATCCTGCCATTGAAGGTCTGTCAATTGGAGGGTATCCTGAGTCCACATTGCCGTCACGAGAATTTGGCCTACAAATCGACAGTGAGGGAAGAAGCGTAATATTAGAATTTGACAACAATCTGGTGGTGATCAGTGTGTATTGTCCTGCAAATTCTGGGGCTACTGAGGATGGAGAGCTGTTCCGGATTTCGTTTCTGCGATGCCTTTTCGAAAGAGCAAGGAACCTTAAGGCTTTGGGCAAAAATGTTGTGATCATGGGGGATATTAATATTTCAAGGGATGTGATTGACAATGACGAGTTTATGAGACAAGGCGTGAGGAACGGAATACTGAGAATACCAGCCATCAGTGATGATGATGGTTCAAAGTTCGAGAAATTGAATCCTGAAGAGGTGGAAGATTTCAAGACTTCTACCGATGCACGTGCCACACTGGACGAAGTGTTAGTTGAGGATACTGAAACAAAAAGGAAGATTCTTTACGATGTGGTTAGAAAGCTCAATGGGAGAAAGATGAAGATGTATACTTGCTGGAACACATTGAAGAATCTGAGACCCCAAAACATGGGTTCGAGAATTGACCTGATCCTGGCTACCTCTGGAATTCATAAGGCTGCAATTTCTGCTGGAATCTGGCCACATATAATGGGGAGTGATCATTGCCCAGTATATGCTGATTTTGAGATCAAGAACTTCGAGCCTGGTGTTAAAGACGAGGTGGTGAAACCGCAGCCACACAAATTCGAGGCAAGATACTCTTTCAAGGTGAACCAGGAAAGGACCATTGCGTCTTTTTTCAGCGCAAAAGTCTCTACCGAATCCTCGAGTGAAAGCTCAACGTCTTCCCCCAACCATGAGGTTCAGGAAATTCCGATTAGCCTAAAGGAGCAGACAAACAATCTTCCAAAAAGGAGACTGGCTCCCCCACCAAACAGAGGAAAGAAGACTAAGATAGAAGCAAGTAGCGGCCAGAGGTCTATACAAAGTTTTTTTGGCAGAAAATGATCATCAAGGACTGGAGGGCCAATTCTGTGAACCCGCTTACATACCCAGTTTGATACGGTGATATATCTAGTTTCATTGTGACATGTTTATAATCATAGTGTTTGAGCCTATTGCCCTATCTGAAAGTTTGCTGTCCTAATGCTCACATCTTATTGTTTGGACAATGATCTGGTGAGCTGGGACGTCTCATACAGTTTCCTCGTTTCCTGGGACTTTTGACTCGACTGGCTGTCCTTCAAATGACCACGGTCATCCAACTCCACTGTTCCAGCTGTCTCAAACAACGAGACCTCGCCAAGCAACAAGCCAAGGGTATCCATAACCTGCTGGGGGTCCGAGAGGTAGGCCTTTGCACACGTTGGTTTGTTAGCGGGACCGACAGAGATGGTATACACTCCATATGTTCCGAAGGCATTGGATGGTCTTGCGTCGGTGACCCATTGCTGCTCGATCCCATTCATAGCATTGAACATGTCTTCGTCGGTGAGATCGTCTCCCATGCACATCATGAAATCAGGAAGCTCGCTTACGGTTCTCATTTCACCAGACGTGGGATTTGTGTGAAGGATCAGTCTCTTGACAATCTCGCCCTTATTGACGAACTTGGGACGCACCTCAATATTGGCCTTGCCCACCATCACCTCCACATCGTACTTCTTTGCAACTGTCTCGTCAAGTTGTTGTTTGCACTTCGAGGCCTGGTACTCACCAAACTCTGGATCGGCCTTACGATGGTGCCAGGTCAAGGCAACCTTCTTGCGCTCGATAAAAGATCCGGGGGTGCGTTCTGTGTACTGCTGGAACACCTCAGCAACTTCCTTTTGCCATGACATGTCAAAACTTTCAGCAAGGTTGATCCACTTTTGGGCTCCCACAACTTTCATGAAGCAGCCGTGTTCTGCGGAAAGCCCAACGTTCGGATTGTTGGACGCAATCCACTTTTCCAGAAACTGCTGGTCTCTTCCACTGATGATCCAAAGCTCGTTCTTGGGGTCACTGGTAATCTTCTGGAGTAATGACTGGAGTCTGGCTGAGGGAATGGCTGCACTTGGTTCTTTGACGATCGGAGTGAGGGTTCCGTCGTAATCGAATAGAAACAGTCTTCTGTGAGCAGCATTGTAATTGTTCAAGACCAAAGGCTTGTTCAGATACGGAGTACCCTTGACATTCTGGGTGTTTTTCAAGGTTCCCAGCAAATGAAGTATGAACTTCGAGGTCCAGTCCTGAATCGTGTTATTGGTCACCTGGGCGTACAACTTCTGTTCCAAGCTGGCCTTGGTCGAACTGGGCATCAGCAAACACTCGTTGATTGCATTGGCAACACCAACCGAATCCCATGGATTGACCTGGATTGCGTCGCCCAGAACAGTCACTGTTCCGCTGAACTCGGACAAAATCAGAGGAGAGTTTGTCTTCTTCTGGCACACCACGTACTCCAATGCCGTGGTGTTCATGCCATCTCTAACACAGGTGATAAGCCCCAGATCGGCAACCCTCAGCAGAGCAAGATACTCGTCTTTGGCAACTCTCATCTCGTAGTGCTGAACAGGGATGAAATCCAGAGTGCCGTACTTGCCGTTAATGTTGGCGATAAGCTCGCTCACCTGCTTCTCCAGCTTGGCCGAATGGTAGAAACTGGGGAACGAAACCTGAATCATCACCACCTTCTTCCTCCACTCCGGATACATCGAAAGGAACATCTCAAACGCCTGCAGCTTTTGAACAACACCGCGGACCGTGTCCAATCTATCTCTACCTATGATGATCTTCCTGTTCAGATTCAGCTCCTTGATGGCGAGAACCTTCTCCTCGACACTGGAAGTAAAAGCGTCGTTTTCTATCTTGGCCGTGTCTATTCCGAGTGGCTCTACAATGACGCCGACGTGAAATCCGCGGGAGGTGATCGAAGTGGGTGAGACCTCGCACCCGAGCAGTCTGGCGCAGCAGCTGATGAAGTGTCTTGAGAACGAATAAGCCTGGAATCCGATCTGGTTGGCACTCAGCATACCGTTGAGAATCAGCGTCCGTTTGGAGAGACATCTGAAGTACTCGGAGCTTGGAAACGGAACGTGGAGAAACAGTCCCACTTTGGCATCAGGAATCTCCATTCTGATGATCTGGGGCAGCAGCAATAAATAATAGTCGTGGATCCAGATAATATCACCAGGCTTGTAAATCTCCTTTATCTTAGCCGCATATGCCTCATTGAACTTCACGTAGTCGTGCCACCACTCGGTCTCCTCTCTTCCGTCAGAGGGTTTGTTCTGCATGTAATGGAGAATAGGCCAGATCACGTTCTCGGCGTATTTCCTCCATCTGGTTTGGTCTTTCCGCAATAGCCATACCGGGTGGATGTTCTCGGTGTTGCTTGCCTTTCTGAGCTTCTGGGTGACATCCACCTTGGCTTCTTCACTCAGGTACAACGGGTCCGACTCCAGGAGCTGGGATGTGGGAATTGCTCTCGGATGAACCTCGTCATACGCATACAATTCGCCAGTCCACGCTACCAAATGGGTCTCCCATTGCGTGTGTTGGGATAAAAAGTAGTTGGAAGCGTAAAGCGCGGAGTTGCCCCTGACGTGCTTCACATTCTAGGGAGAGTGGTTAGTATGGCCGGAAGCTATAGAAGCTAAGGAAACTAGGGTAACATTGCTTCCTGAAATCTCCGAAATTTTGACTTACCCAACTGCCATCCTCCGTCTTATAAATCTGGTCAGGCAAGGTCGTCATCGCATTGATGATTCTGCCCGATAGATTCAGTCCCTTTCCTGCTGACGGTTGGACCACATCATGTGATGACGGAAACGCAAATGCCTCTTCGTCCACCTGGTTATTGGGCATTCTATTGAACCAGCTGTAACTAAAAGTCGATAGTCCGTGAACAGTAATTCAAAATCTGTTTTAATAGCAGAAGCTTTCCTGGTGTATCGGGAAAGAAGGATGTGTCGTTTAACAGCCTCGGTGAAACTGTCAGGCCCACAGTGTGTGGGGCTCGAGTTTGCTATCGGGTTAGCGTTTGCACGACCTTGTGGGATTCTTCTAGAAGCAATTGATACTGAATTTGGTTTGAATTAGAAGGTGGCTAAATATGAGTAGGTGGTTTTCGGCGATTGGAGATGACTGTGAATTGATGGCCATGTCGAATTTGTTGTGAATCTGCGGAGTGTACTGCTTATCCAACAGCACCAAAGAAATGAGCAGGTGTGGGCCCTGTGGGTGAACTATGTGGACATTTTGCCCTTAACCAGACGAAACAGGCGGTATTACTGTCAATTCGTCGCCTTCCACCAATGTAATTTGCTTTAGAGACTCGTTTTGCAGAATTTCTAGGAAGGTACTCTTCTCCTGATCTATTTGCAAGGAAACGTATTCCAGATTGACGGCAATCCCACAGGAGTTGTAGATGTACTCCGCGAACTTTTCTCCGTATTTGTGACTCAATGCCACCAGCACATTATCCAGACTCACAGAAGTCTCTTGAAACTCCAAGGTCGTCTCCTCTTCGCCTTGTGTGAAATCCTTGGCTGGTCCAAAGAAAAGTGCCGTTATCTTCGTCATTTGACCAGTGAGGTAAGGCTTTTAGCTAGGTAATCACCAAACCGTCAGATAGTCCTAATCAATGCGGAAAAAGGCTCAGAAATCAGCACAATGGCATATATAAATCCAGCCAGAGCTAGAACCGATTATTATAGATTCGCGTTCGAATATGGTAGATCAAGCCAGGCCAGGAATCATCCTTTGCTAAACTTCGAGAATCTGAGACTCTGCTCATCAACTGCCCCCAGCTGATTGAGCGTAATCTGAGCCGCACGACCTTAAAGAGCTCCGATAAATCGCCCGCATATTTCATGCAAACCGTTATATTCATATATAGTACTAATGATATTCGGATTGTTAACACTGGCGATCTCCCATTGGTGATCTCAGATTGAAATCTCCCAGCCAATCTCAGATTGAAATCTCCCAGCCAATCTCATCAACCTGCTTTCAGTCTATTTCTGTCTCGGAGAATGGCCTCCTTTCTCGTACATTTTCACCAATTCCTGAAGCCTCATTCTCTCGGTACGCTCTGCGTTAAGATCACTCTCATACTTCTCGTTGATCTTGGTGACCAGTTTTTTGAACTCAGCCTTGAGGATAGACACACTCACATTGCTCTTATTTGGAGAATTGGGCGAATCAAAGTTTGGCAACGTGGGAGTCGTCGGTCCTTGTTGCGGAGAAAGTGCCTTGGCATTGAAGGTGCCCAGGGAATCAACTCTCAAAAGGTTGACCTCCTTCGTCAGCTGCAAAAGCTCAGACTTCTTCGACATCAACTGCGATTCCACCTCATTCAGCTTGAGCTCCATGTTCAATACCTGGTTGGCCTGCTGAGTGAGATCCGAGTTGGACTTCACCAGCAAGTTCTGTGCTCCCTGCAAATTCTTTCTCAGAGTCGAGATCGTCTGGTGATATTGTGCTCTTTCATCCTCGAACTGTCTCCCAAGATACTTCTGCGAAAAGTTGAGGTCCTTGACAGCCGTACGAAGTTTCAGCAGCTCCTCACTGTCGCTGTATGCGTTCCTGACAGATTTCAACCTCCTTGGTGCCTGATCGGATGAAGGCGAAAATTGCAAATCGGACCTCATGATTTCGTCAACACAGTTGGTGGCCCAGTTGATCTTCCCTGATAATGACCCAAGAATCTCCGGATCTGGTTGCGATAATTCAATGTTCTTCTGGATGGAAAGCGACATCACCAACGACAAGAGGTCTTCGAGGGCCCGGTTGGTCTCTTGGGTGTCCCAGTTTCCTGCACTGACTGAGCTCCTTGATGTGGTATGCGATTCTGCATTGTCGAATCTGATTGTGCCGCGAACAGTCTCTGTAGTCCCGTCAAACAACGGATCACTCAGTTGTCCCATAGAGGTAGATAGCAGATTGTGATTAGTCAATCGCTCGTTCACCTCGTTCAACGATCTGTAAAGTTCGGTATGGTCTAGATCTTCTGCACATGATATCAATCCCTCTATTCTGAGTTTCTCCTGCTTCAATTTCAACAGTTCATGAGGAGAAAGCAGTTCCGCGCCGTTCCTCTGTAGAATGCTGTGTACATCTGCAATCGCCCTCTCTATAATTACCCTCAGCTTGATATAGCTCAGTGAGTCAGAATTCTGTTTCAAATCCTGAGCAAGGTCCTCAGAGAATTTAACCCCAGTGTAACTGCCTCTCATAGAACCATCTAGTATTCGGCGCAGTCTTTCATCCAACACCTGTGACAACATCATCTTCACATCTCCAGAAGACGACAAGTAATCCTCCTTATACTCTTCAGCACCCTCGATTAACGATTGTGACTTGAGCTTGTGCATTTCGCTCAACGCTGTTCTGAGCTCAACCGCATCTATGCCCTGTAATCCGTTGATGTCCCTTGTGCTTAGTATTGATGAGCCAAGAAGGGTGGCACATTCTGGTCCACTCATAGGAAAAAAAATATAGCAAGAGCGCCAATATTAGCAATTTCAGCAAACTTAGAAAAAAATACTAGGACTTCCCAGGGTTTTGACTCTTTTGGTGACGTAGTATTGATGATTGAAAAACAAGAGCGAAGTCGCGTCTTGATCTGGATCGCGAAAAAACCCCGATCACGTGATATATCGTAGATAGCAAGTTCAGCCGGAACTTTTCAAGATAATCAATTGCTACTTCAGCCGTACGATGACAAACTATACGCTACGAATTCAAATAGGAGCAACCACGTGAATGGGTGTTTTTTGAAATTTGACATCTATCATTTGACAAAGATAGAGAGAGCACATGCTCTTCCTCTCTAACGCTCTTTCAACATCTTGTTTCTCTTCTCTCTCCTTCTCAATCTCTCCACTTTTTTGGCGTGCATCTTGGTAGCAAGTTTCTCGTATCTCTCTTTCTCCTCCTTTGCTTCTCTTCGCCTTTTGATCTCCTCAGCGTGTGCTTTTCTCTCCGACTCCTTCTCCTCCTTCATCTCCTTGAGCTTGGCCTTAAATGCCTCCTCCTTGAGCCTTAGTTCCTGCTTCTTCTTCCAGTTGTTCTTGACACCAAGACTCTTGACCCTGAAAGCCTTCTTCTGTAATTTCCAGTCCTTTCCTGCACTGAAGTTAGTGGTCTGCGATCCGTGAGCTCATTGCACATGCGTGCGACTTACCGCTGACTCTGTTGCCCATGGACACATCTTTGGGAGCAAGAGGGTTTATCGTTGGATCTAATTCAGACATCCTTGGTTAAAAGTATGAACTTTGTTAAAAACAATGGGACTATTGTTAACCTGAACTCGGTGCTTGCTGATAGTGCAGAGAAAATTTAAATTAATTTCCCTTAAAAAAATCGGCTCTTCGCCTGACCCCCACACGACCTCTGACGCGAGCCGCCGCAACATACGTCATAGGTTCAATGCAATACCGGCCCGAATAAAAGGAGGCTAGAACCTCGTCCTGGGCATTTAGTTCGGTGTTTCTCTGAGGTTGTTAGTGCTTGTCTTATTGTCAAAAAATAGACCTCAGGCGAGTTGAAATGTGTGGAAGGTACGCTATGGCTGTGGTGAGTATCTGTGATTAGTCAATCACTCTTTGGGCTGAGTAGCAACCGCATTGCTTCAAAATGCTCGTGGAAGCAGCAGCTTCTGAGGGCGAAAGTGTGCAAAACGTTGACTTTTGTGATGCTAACTCTATTCTAGGATCCCAATGATCTTCCTCAGTATTTTGGCGAGCAAAATCTGGCGGTTGACGAGATGCATGACTCCGAAATGGCGCAACCCAGGTTCAACATTGGACCAGCACAGTATGCTCCAGTGTATTACTCGCATAGCAATTGCCAGAGACGGAACGATTCTCCAGACAATAAATTTGTTGAAGATGAGGCTGATGGCGATGCTTCTACGCGGGTGATTCGTTATATGAAATGGGGCATGATTCCGTTCTGGACCAAGCGAATCAGTGATTATTCGCCGTTCAAAACATTCAACGCAAAGGCGGAGTCGATAAAGGACGGTCATCGTGTTTGGAAGATGGTACGGTCACGAACACGCTGTGTGGTACCTATGCTGGGGTATTACGAGTGGTTGAACAAGAAGAGCGAGACATCCAAGGCGATCACCAAGATTCCCTATTTCATAAAGCGCAAAGACTCAAAACTCATGTTCCTGGCTGGATTATGGGACAAGTCCATTTTCTCAGACGAGGAAACCACCCACGTCATATATAGTTTTTCCATTGTAACGGGACCGGCTCCCCAACAATTGGAGTGGCTTCATCATCGAATGCCAAGGGTTTTGGAACCGGGGACCAAGGAGTTTGATCTGTGGCTAGACCCAAAGCATGACTGGGACGATAAGTTGATGTCGTGTTTACAGCCATACGATAAGGACGATTTGGAGTGGTTTGAAGTCTCCAGAGACGTAGGCAATGTGAGGAACGAAGGAGAGCACCTCATCCAAAGAGCGCCCAAGAGACCAACCGATCGGCCCATAAAGAAGGGTTCAATTATGAATTGGGTGAAGGTGAAAACAAAAGAGCACCATATATCCGAAGAACCTAGTGAAGAAGAGGCCTGTGATAGCTCAATCCTATCAGCTGGTCCAGAGTCTCCAAGTCATAGGTTTCTCCACACACCGCGAGAATCGGCAACTCCATTGACTCCATCCCCACAAAAACGAACCATCTCGGAGCTGCTATCGGGATCTCACGATAAGGTCAAGGTGAAAGACGAAAAAAAGCCAAAGACCGAAGTTTGAAGAGTAGTTCAGATTGGCCGAACAGTTTTGTTTCTACTTGTTTGTGGGCACCGCGCGTTTTTGTTTGTGAATATATGTGTATCAACATGAGGCTGACTGAGAAGCTGGACTCTCTGTGAGGGTGCAGTTGAGCTGAGTGAGTATAGGTATCTGGTATGAGATTAGGGTGACTGATAATTCCAGGGAGATTGCTGAGGAAGGCTTGCTATTTGTTTAGGTTGTTTTAAATTGTTTTTAGAATCAGAAAATATCATAAATTTCGACTTTACCCATGGTATCATCACTCTATTCAGTAATGCAGGATTTCCAAGAAATTTGAGAAAAGTGAAAAATCACGTGAAGCTGAACCAAGCAAAGTTTTACTTCCGTTCTTTCCAAGACTGAGTTTTCAAAAGATAATAATAAGAGAAAATTTTGAACAAATAACATTCTCCCACACCATAATTGTCTTGATATTAAATAGTCAGCACCAATTGGGCTCGTTATTTACTCCATTCTCTATGTAAAGTGCCGAGCCGGGTTAGGCCAAATTGGATAACTCACTACCGATCATGACGTCTACAGGGTTTCCAAATACCTAAACCGTCACCCGCTTGAACCACTCACTCAATACTTCCTTACTTCTCAACTTCAATGATACTTAGCAGAATTATTGGAAGGACTATATTACGGGCACCGAGGGTGATAATGCCAACAGTGCGGCCTTATTCAGCCCCGGGAAGCCCATTGGATCCCTCGAAGGAACCCACTCTCAACTACTTCCAAAACCGAGCACCTCCTCCCCAGATGGACCCGCAATTGGCCCATTATTACAAGAAACCAGCCAGAGAACACAAGAATAGGTTTGTTCTAGTGGGATTGCTTGTTGGAAGCGTATATCTGGCTTATGAGCTGTTCTGGCCGAAGCACACGTTTCCATCTCCGGTTGCCAAAACGCTAAGACTGGCGTTGTGGGCTGAAAGTGACAAGGAAAATCACAACTATGCGAAAGCAGCGGGTCTGTATATCCAAGCGTTGGAAGAAATGGAAGAATTTGAAATGGACAAATGTTCTGATGAGTACACAGGTGTTGAGCTCAAGCTCATGGAGATGTACCAGAAGACCTCAGATACCGCGAGATGCGTTGCTGTTTTGAACCAAATAGCAGATCGCTATTTTGATAGGATATATGGGTTCGTGAAAGATAGCGCGGATGAAGACGAAGAGCTCATCAGACACTACATGGAGAAAGATCTAAGAGTGGTGTTTCTGCTAGGAGAGACTTGTCGTCCAGACGTGGCATTGGAGATTCTTTTGAAGCACCTTATTCTAGCTGAGATGCTGGTAACGAGATTCCCACCTCTGTTTGAGGTGATGAGACCCCAGATGGACAAGGAGATGCACTGGATCACGGAGCCGTTTCATGTGTACGATAAGTCGGACTCCATAAAAGCGTACAACGATAAGCCCTCCATCTTAATTCAGAATAGTGGAATCTCCTATTCGGGTAAAATGGACTCTGCCAAATCTGTTCTATTCACCGAGCCCTGGATGCCGTTTCGTGATACCTTCTTCATGTGTCGCCTGCAATACGAGAGACTGTGTATCTTGACCAATGACTACGACAAATACTTTACATCTGCGGTGAAGACGATCGAATGGATGGCACTATCGCGCACTATGGATACGCAGATCTTGATTGCCCAATTGAACCTGGCTGCCGGACTTTTCACTTGGTCGTTATTGCTGAAGCAGAAGGCCGAGGTCATTGCTACCAAAAGCTCCGAACTGTCTGAAACAGTAGAGAGTTTGTCCCAGAAACAACAGGAGGTTTCCGAATCTCTGATCCATGACATTTTGAAGTACGGTGGTTTGGACGAGATTATCCAGGCCGAGGCCAAATTACAGCTGGGAAATATTGCATTGGCCAGAGGACAGCTTGGCAGTGCAGAGAAACTGTTGAAGGAGGCAAAATCTCAGGCCGTAAGGCTCAAGATGGAGTCGACATTGCACCATATTGGACTTGCCTTTGAGGCCTTGAGAGCAAGTAAAGAGGACGAGGCTGGTTCGAGCGAGAAGATCAAGACAATCGAGCCAAGTGAGCCAATCACGTCCAAAGATATACAGGAATGAAGCAAATGATTCACACAGCCTTACCAGTACATTCAGAATGGTTATTAAGGTCTAAGGAATGGGCTAAACCATATCACAGGGTATAGTTCAAATGGGTACCGGCTGGTGGTGGCTGGGACGAGCATCTAATTGCTGACCCCTCATTGACATCAAAATATTCCCAAATGATCCCATAAAAACTTCATATCTGACACTCGTGGCTTTTTGTACATAATAACGAAATCAAAAATTACCCAACAGTTTGCCCAAAAACTCGTAACAGCCTCCGTAACCCCAGTTAGCCTAGCGTCGTGCGGCGTCGGCACCGGCCGCTTATATCAGACAGACACTTCGCAGACTGTTTCCCGGGTGTTAAATAAGGAAGAAGATCAAGATGATGATCTCGATAAGGGCAATAACAAGAACGCACAGCAACTTTAAAATATGCTTGCTTCGACAATTTAGCAGTCAGATTCAGACTGTCCCGCTGGAATTCGACAAATACGAGCCTCCACTTCGCGATCCATCGGCACCACCAATAGTCTTTCTTCACGGGCTATATGGGCATAAGACAAACAACAGAACCGCATCCAGGAAATTGGCTAAGATATTGGGAAATGACGTCTATTGCTTGGATTTGAGAAACCACGGCATATCGCCTCATACAAAGAGACACGATTACCCAGCCATGGCTGCTGATGTGGAACGGTTCTGCGAGGAACATGGGTTGGAGAAGGCCATCATGATGGGTCACTCGATGGGTGCCAAATGCGCAATGGCAGTTGCTTTAAGAAGGCCTGATCTCACCTCAATGCTTATATCTATTGATAATGTTCCCTGTCGAAACGACAGGGCAGAGCGCGAGTTCATGGATTTCAGTGAGTATGCCCAGATACTGGATTATATCACCACCAGAACCACACCGTTTGCCTTTACAACTATAAAGCAGGCAGATGATGAGCTTGCAAAATATGAGAGCAATGCTTTGGTGAGGAAGTTTTTACTGTCTAATATCATCAGAGATCAACATGTTCTGCAGACTCACCCCAACGATCCTCATGCCCTGGTACTAAAGTCCAAGATCCCTCTGGATACCATCTACGACCATATGGTGGATATCAGGGGCTGGCCGTTTTCGGATGACGATACTTTTGAGAAGAGATCTCTTTTTATCAAGGCAGACCATTCGCCATTTGTTTCTGAGGAAGAAATTCCCATGATCAAGCAACACTTCCCGAACTATGATTTCGTCTCCATGAACTCCGGTCATTGGGTGGTGACCGAAAAGCCTGATGAGTTTGTGCATGTGGTCTCGACGTGGATCAAGGAAGGAATTGATAAATAGTCAAATTAGACTCATAGCTAGCCATTTACAGCAAGAATTGAGCAAAATATTCGAAATTGGTTGAATTGGCCATAACTAGTGGCACCCATTAGATTTTCGCTTAATGAGGCTCGGTTGCTCATCTCATCTCCAGCCCGAATTTTTCAACCCGTCTGATAAGGCATGGCTACCCACGGGGGACCTGTTAACATTGACGAAACTCAACTCACACGCAATGAATAAGAATAAATTATGTCAAATATGTCTTGAAGAAGTGTCCAAGTATGTCTGTCCTAAATGTGGCACGAAATAGTGAGTGTTGATGCAGATAATATGAGTCTCATACTCGACAATGCAAGCTACTAACCCCAATAGCTGTTCCTTGAAATGCTTCAAATCAGAAACTCACAAGCAGAAGGACGAAGAAAAACAAGTCTCTGATACTTTTGGTGCCTCTGAAACTACGGAGACTAACCAGCTTGTTTCCGAAATTACCATGGATAAAGATTTGTGCGCGATACTGGAAGATCCCCAGATGAAGTCTCTGCTGAAGGAGCCTTCGCTTCAGTTCCATCTACTGACCCTGTTTGAAATTTTGAGTGATACCAGATTAACGGGAGAAATTACGAGAGAAGGAAGACTGGATATAGCCAATAAGAAATTGGCAGGATTACGAAAAAACGGAGTGGAGCAAAATGAGTTGATTGAGGAGTTTTGTGAGAGAGTATTGACACTGGCTCAACAGCAGTAGGGTATGTTGGCGCTTACAGTTCATACGTGTATATTAGTCCATTGCATTATGATTATTATAATAATTGTTTACTCATTAATCGTTATTCGTTAGTTTCAATTTGGCACTCTCTGAGAATCGATAGAGGAGTCCAAATCATACACCTCTTCCTCATAGTCAAACTCTTCTCCATTGACTCGTGCTACATGTCTCCAGATGGAGTCATCAGAGGCAGTGATTTCATCATCCTGCGACTGGACAGAAGCAGCTTGATTTTCTGGAGCATGGCTTGCAGTCGAAGAGCCCTCTTGAGAAGAAATAGCAACAGCTTTGGGAGCATATACAAACACGTCCGTGCCATGTCTGTTGACTCTGCTCTGTTCACCTCCAGAATCATCGGAAATGCCCACAAATCTGTTGCTTAAGGCAGAACTAGACCTCAGGAGCATTTTATCTGTGTAGCTCAAAATCTTGGTCACCGTTGTTTCTAGTGCGCTAGTAACACTGTTCTTCGCATTAAACACCGTATTGAAAACGCCAATGCTTGCGGCCTTACGCTCAATGGATTTGTTTTTCGAATTCGGACTGAGAATATCAGTGGCTCCCTGATAAGGGTCGCTACTGGAGCTCTGCTGTTCCTGAAATGTGTACTGAGAAATATGGCCATTTTCCCCATCCATCGCTTCATCCTCCTCGTAGAAGGGTCTACCCAGAACGCCTTCTTTGTGTCTCATACGCTCAAACTGATTAACACGGTTGATCCATTCCCATGTCAGAAAGTTTGCAATCACGTAACAGGTGAGATCGAAAACCTCACTGAGTTCGGAGACCCACATGTTGGAGACGTCAGCGATGAAGAAGGCAATGGATAGATTGATACTCAACAGCAAGCACAACGTAAGGAGAACCAGCTCCTTTTTGAAAATCAACCTCCTTCTGGAAGCACAGTACACTATCACCAGACACGAATACATCACTGATTGGGAGATCCTCAGCAGGTAGGTGAATGCTGGCAGAATGGCTATGTCGTCATAATCAACGACAGACTCACCGGAAGAATAGATATCGCTCGAAGACGACAAGAATGTAGATAGTCCCCATAGGATCTGCGATATAACAGAGAGACAGACTCCGACCGCAAAAATCACTCTCTTCTCCTTTCTCCTGGGAAAGAGCCTGGTGATGATCTGTGCCTGTGAAATTTGGAGCAACGCCAGATCCACAAGATATAGTCCGTTTATGGCATTCGATGATAACAAACTTTGGACCAATCGATTCGCAGAAAACCGACCCTTACGGTTTTGCTTCTTAAGCTGAACCATTGAATGGATATACATCACCAGCATCTGCCCCGCAGATAGCAGGGTGGACAGTTTCAGCAGATAAGAAGGTCTCTGGCTCCTCAAATACTGCTTTGTAAACATAGTTACCGCAATAAAACAAACAATCACCGTAGCAGTACTCACTGTGTATATTATTGGGTATCCCGAAGATTTGAAGGTGTTTGAACCAGATTGAACATCCAGGTATAGGTTCCAAGAGTAACTGCTTATTGGCAAAATTTGCGCGCCATATTTCATGAAGACTTGGTTATTGGATGTACAGACTGGCTCCTCATTATAACAATGTCCGCGATAGTAAGCCTTGACTGAGTCTTGCAGCTTTACAGATACACCTTGTGCAAGCACCAAGAGCCCCTCGTTGAGCTTACTTAGCGAGCAACTGGGATAATCCACACTGGACACCTCTGGATATCGCCAGAGAACGTTTCGACTGTGCAAATCCTCCTGCATCCAAGAAAACTGAAGGCGCACTTGCAAATAAAACCCAGCAAGATGTCGTAGTCGCTCCATTCAGCAAGTCTACCCTTGTTACGTCACAACGGTCTTTATCACTCTGTCTGCCATCTGAAACACGGGTCATTAGACCCACCCTCAGACAAGAGCGCGGTGACGTTTGGCGAATAAGAGACTGATGTTTAGAGCCATAAGTGCGTATACAACACCTGGCGGGTTGCATGAACTGAATTGGGGAGAGTCTGAATTGGAATCATGCAAGGCTCCGTTGGTTTCGGGGGAGCAATAGCGTCTTCTTTAGAAGGTGATCGTGAGGGCCTAGCTGGAAGTGCGAAGCCGGTGGATGGTGCGGCTAGTGCCAGGGTGGCTACAATAAAAAATGGAGATGTGAGAAATGGCGACTCCAGAGACAGCGAGTTCAGCAATGTGAATCTCGGATCTGTGAGCGTTGTTTCTGACGAACCACCCAGTGGAAGAAAGATTGGCGCTGGCCATTCCAGGGAGCCCTCAGAGTCCACCTACAGTTTCCTGGATTTCTACACTTCCAACGGAAGTCCCCCGCGGGAAGACGAATCCAAGAGGGAAGAACCTGTTCAAGAGGAACCGTTTTTGGTAGTTTCGAAGCGCGGAGAAGAACCTGACGATGCGAGATTAGGTTCCACCAAGGCCATACCGAAGAGAACAGAGTCTCTGATGTCTACGAGAACATCGCGAAATTCGGCCGAGAGGATTCGAAGCAATATTGAGTCAGATCTGAAAAGCAGTTCAGCATCTCACCTGCCTTCGGTGAAAAACACTGGGCAGCTCAAGAGAACATCCTTCCTGACCAGTGATAGAGATAGATACGGCTTCAAGAAAACAAGCAACCACATATCGGAATCCAAGTATAATGCTTGGTGGAAGGAATATTCGGTTTATGTGGTACGCAGGAAGATGAAGTGGGAGAAGTTTATGAATAAGAGTGGTTTATCTGGCCATTCTTCAGGAGCATCTTTCAAGGCGCCGTCTCGGTTCCCCCCAAAGTCTGATGACCTCAAGAGGTTTGTTAGAAAGGGAATACCCGCAGAATGGAGAGGGAATGCTTGGTTCTATTTTGCGAAGGGACCTGAGAAATTGAAGGAAAACAAGGGAAAGTACGACCGTCTCGTAGAAGAGACGTTGAATCTGGTGAATGAAAATACAGAGGCTATCGAGAAAGATTTGCACAGAACGTTTCCAGATAACATCTACTTCACCAACAAGACATCTGTTAACCAGGAAACTGGTCTGGTAGAGGAGTCCGAGTCTCCTCTCATACAGTCATTGCGTAGGGTGCTCTACTGTTTCTCGCAACACAACCCTGCCATTGGCTATTGCCAATCTATGAACTTCATCGTTGGGTTGCTACTGATATTTATGGAGGAAGAAAAGGCGTTTTGGATGCTGGTAATCATCACTGAGCGTCTTTTGCCTGGGATCCACGATATCAACCTTGAAGGTGTGAGCGTTCACCAGGGTGTCCTCCTAACATGCATCAAACAGTACCTACCACAAGTCTGGACAGTCATCAACTCCACGATAAAGGACAAGCAAAACACTGACATTCTATTAGATTTACCGCCACTATCATTCTGCACTACGAGTTGGTTCATGAGCATTTTCATCGGGGTATTGCCTATAGAAAGCACATTAAGGGTATGGGACTGTCTATTTTACGAGGATACAAAGACCCTGTTTAGGATAAGTCTGGCAATTTTCAAGATTCTGGAACCGTCCTTGATATCGGCTGCGCAAACAGCCAAGAGTCGCCATAGGCATTCCAGTCGTTCGAGCATTTACAGCAATGATTCAGACGATGCAGACATGGTGACGGCCGAGCTGTTCCAGTTGATCCAAAACACGCCAAAAACACTTCTTGATGCAAACTCGCTCATGGAAACGTGTTTCAAGAAGTACAACGGGTTTGGACACGTTTCGCAGGACGAGATCAACAACTGCAAGAAGTACGTTGCCAATAAAAGACAGAGGTATCACGAGATGATACAGAAAAGAACCTCGGCTTTTGGATCAGACGTCGATCGCCGCGCGCTTTCTGAAGAGGAGCGTCGGAGATTGTTGGCAGAATCCATGGGATTGTATGCTGATAAGAAGGTCGGTCTTCGGGCTTCGAATTGGAATGGAAGGTTGAGCGGAAGGGTCAAAAGGATACAGAGCAGGCTCAGTTGAAAATTGAGGAGAAAATCGGTCAAAAACTTCAAAAAAGGTTCATAAAATGGTTTGCTATATTACAGCTTATCTTGATAGTGTCCCCCAATACTAATCACTTCAAGGCGTAGGCTTCGGTATCTGAAAGTCCAGCGAGAGATACCCGCCCTTGCGCGGTCTGATTATCTTAACTGGCACATGCTTCTGTCTAAACTTTTCGTTTTGTTCTTCAACATACCTTTCCAGTCTGAGTGTTGCATTCACGTCTGGAGAGAGCAACTTTGTAGGCAGGTGTGAAAACACGAAGAAAGTGGCAGTATCAAAAATGTTCCACAAAAACGTTTTCCATGAAAGAGGGTCAAAACTTTGCTTCAAAAACTTGTTTATATCTTCAACTAATTGCAAGAATTCGTCAGCAGTGAGATATCTTGAGAGCGGACTTACCGAAGTGTATCCGTAATACTGTCCTTCAACACAACCCACAATTTTAAACTCTTTAGTTCCTTCACCATCAGTGTAGGCACCCTTCTCATCTCCAGGGAGAAGCGTCGAAAATTGGGGGTACCTGTCTGCTTCCACCTCATAAGATCTTGGTATCCTCACGATCCTGGTATCCATGGCGTCTGCAGTATTCGGTGCAGCATACGGATTGGGAAAATGCGTCGCTATAATTCTTCTCTGATGTTCTATTAATGGACCAAGTCCATATGCTGTGACATCTTGATACAAACTGAGCGCGTACTCGTGATAGTTGAAGAACAGTGTCTTCTGTATGTCCGCGTCCGGAGCGGCTGCCGACTTATCGATTCCGGAATCATTGTTCCCGGACACGCAGTCAGGTGACTCATCCATTATGAGGCAGGAATCCGGTCAATCAAGAAAAGCCAGCAAAGTTCATCACTCACAATGAGTAGAATGATAAAGATGACATGTGTCACAGGTTTGGCGGATGGAATGATAAAGTCGTGCGGTTACCTTCGTGTACACACACGACTAAGATGGCGACTGGTGTTCAAAAGTTCAGCTGGTGAGTTGAACGGTGGCTGGTTCTGAGTGTTGCAATCACACAAACACTCAGCAATCATGAGTGACTCTTCCGAGAAAGATGCAGCAATCAAGCTGTTGTACCTTCTTTCAGTGACTAAGTCGGATATCAAATTCCCGGACCATTATGTCCAGGAGCTAAAGACTGTCAATCAGTCTGCACACAGTGTAAGCTATTTTCAGTTGGGAAAAATATCTCCTTTTGATCCTTTGAAATCCTAACACCAAAATCTTTTTTTAGTACCAGCTATCACCATATGACTATCCTGCACAGAAAAGACCTGATAATACCCAATCTGGCAGGTCGATCAACTTGACGGTGAAGTCTATCAGACCCCCCAGATTCACAGCAACTGTTTCAGCCAGCTCCAAGGATTTGGTGTATAACGTGAAGAAACAGCTAGTTCAGAGCGTACCAGAGCTTAAAGATATCCACGAGTCTCAATTGAAGCTTATGTTGAAGACCAAGGTGTTGCCAGACACAACCACATTAGGAAGCCATGTACCAGACGGAGAAGACGCTTTGAGTCTCATGGTGATGGTGGGCAAACTCGAGGCTGGCGCTGAAAATTCCAGTCTTGTTGCAGCGGAAGCAGTGACGCCGAACCCAGAAAAAGCCTCGAAAGCGTTGTCTGCGGAAGCCATGGACGTTGACCTGAAAATCTCTGAGACGGCTTGGTCCAAGGTGTATGCTATTCTTGAGGGCGAGATTAGCGACAAGTCCAGACTGGATGCATATTTTGAGAAGATTAAAAGTTTGGCGATTTGAAAAGTGTCTAGCATATATAATGTCTTCATTTATTGATTTTCTTTTCCCAAAAAATCAGAAAAATTGCAAATTTCGTACTTTGGTTAACTCATGCAATAATCTGTCCAAATGCGGCATCAGGCTTTTCACCTCAAAACCTCATCGATAAGAACGTGATCAAACTCTCAAACTGCGAGAGCTATATTTCGAACAATAGAAACAATATTTGGATGGAATTGGTGAATTATTCGAGGGAAAGACCTGTTTAACATGCTATCCTCGCCAGAACTCATTATATTGCACATAGGTGCGGGAAAACACTCGCTAAAGAATGAGTATGAATACAGACGGCTGATGAAGAGAGCAATAAAGGCATATGGTCACCAAGAGACCGAGAGCTCAGGCGTCTTGAAAAAAGTTTCAGAAGATGATCTGATTTGGACACAGTATGAAAGATTATTGAAAGCCACCGATATAATTGAGAAGAGTCCGTTGACTAACACTGGTTTTGGATCGTCTCTGAACTACGAAGGCGAGGTTGAGTGTGACGCTTGCATACTGGTTTCGGGCTCAAAATCGACCCAGTTTTCGCTGAGTAATCAGAAAAGCTCACAAACTCCAATAAGAAACTGCTACAATCGATATAGAGAGCTTGTTCTGGAGAGACCTGCTGCTCTGAGGAGACTCGGGTTCACACCTCCAGTGATGGTAGTGGAAACGGACGATGGCGATAAGAGCACCCAGAGATCCCTGGTGAGTCCAAAAGCTCTCCAGATGTATCTTGATTATCGGGAGAAACTGGAAATTGACTTTTCGAATTTTGAAACTCGCGATTTCGAGATCAATGATACGGTGGGTGCAATCTGTCTCACAAGGACTGGCCATACGTTTGCTGCTTCTTCCTCGGGAGGAAACACTCTCAAATATCCAGGAAGATTGGGATGTGCTTCTATAGTAGGTGCCTCTATTTTTGCCTGTTCAAATGATGATGTCCGCGTCTCTGTGATGTGCTCTGGCAACGGCGAAGACATCATCCAGGCAGATTTGGCTCGATATTGTTGCCGATACATCCTGGACCATTCTCGCTCCGATAAGATGGTCTGTGTCCTTCTAGAGGAGGCAATTTCTGGGGCATTTGAAAAAGTCCAGCTTACCGCGGTCAACGGCGAGAGAAGCCCGATCGTCTATGCTGGCGCGGTCGGCTTCTTGCAGCGCTTAACAGACGCCGCACCTACCAGCGTGTTCTACGCATACACTACAGAGTCGTTCGTGTTTGCATTTTCCAGCCCAGGCTCAGGTACATTGGACCATCACTTTCTGACGAATAAAAAACCAGTCGGCCACTTCCAAAGGGGAGAGATTTTCTTGGAGTCTCCAGCATGAGCCGCGCGGCGGCTATCTTGCTCATCACGTGATCGCGTTTTTTTGAGGGTCCCATGAGGAAAGGGCTGAACGAGTACCGATGTCCTTCCTAACCCTGAGTGCGATAAGGTGTTTTTTGCTTGTTGTCTAAGGGGTGAACCATCGACTTGCGTGCCCTTGCTCTTCTAATTATACGCTAGTATATACCTGGCTTGAATTGCGCAAAGATCTGCGCTGATTTTGACTGGAACCGGCCATTTGCTCTTTAAAGGTTGTTTTGCATAGCAACAAATTTACTGACTAAGCTATTTCTCCAAGCAGAGACAGTGGCATATCAAGGCCGAAAATTGTGGCTCGGTTATTGTTTGATGGTATAATTGCGAAGGAAACACGTCTTTATATTTTTTCACACAAAAAGCCATGGGCCCTCCTCTGGAAGGCGGGTACTGGGTAGGTCTCTATGAAAGAGACCACTTCGCATCTCCAGAAAGATTCTCCGCAAGCGACAGCAAGACCATGAGGATTGTGGCAATTGTCTCATCGAGCGTTTCGATATTTGCTGGACTGATAGGTCTCTATATGTATGGAGCCATACATCCTCGAAAGCGTGTCTTTAGACACCAGCTTATTCTGTTTCTGATATTGTTCGATTTCATCAAGGCGATTATCTTGTTAATTTATCCGGCCACTGTGATGTCTAGGCCCGAGATTTACGATAACGAGCAGTTCTGTTCCACGGTTGGGTTCTTTTCTGCGTTTGCAATTGAAGGAGCCGACTTGGCGATCTTGACATTTGCAATCCACATCTTCATTTTGATTTTTTGGCCCAGCTTCAAGGTTGCAAATGGTACCAATATTGAGGGGGGGCTTTTCAAAGCACGATACTACGTTTATGTGGTTTCTGTGGTATTACCTGCACTTCTGGCAGCGCTTGCGTTTATCAACAGAGAAGATCCGTACTTCCCACAGACCACATGGTGCTACCTGCCTTCGTCCCCGGTTGCCTACCAGCTGGCTCTGAGTTGGGTTCCCAGATGGTGCATAATGGTTTTGATCTTTGCTATCTATATTTCCGTCTATTGGCACGTGGTACACGAGTACTCACGTGTTTCCGGAAGTATGAACGACATGACGCAGCGTGATATTGCCAAGCAGATGCTGCGGGAATCGTTTCTGTATAAAGCTGGAAAGATACTTTTGATGTTGCTGTTTCCAGATATCCAGATAAGTGCCAAGTTGTACGGAAGGGGGCTGGATACCGATCTCGACAAGCAGAACCTGGACAGACTGCGTAATATGGGAGTGGATGATATCGAAAACAACCTCGAAGACATCACGAGAAATGTGGCCAGATCTCCTCTGGGATCTCCTTTGGGGACTTCTCTAAGGTCTCCGTTGCATTCTCCGTTGCAATCTCCTTCAGGTGAAGAGAATCCCCAGGATACCTCTGCACCTGCTATAGCTGGTCTGGACATTCAGCGCAGTCTGCACAGAGAAACGATGGAAATGTTTCAGATACGAAAACTGCAGATAATGAAGCAGATGAAGGCGGTTTTCATTTACCCATTGGCGTATCTTCTTCTATGGCTTTTTCCCTTCATTAACGAGGGAGTCAGACTGCACTATGGAGGAGTCAAGGATGTAATGCCATGGCTAGCAGGAATGTCTGCTTTCTTTCAGGCTTTCAACTGTACAGTCGATACATTTGTGTTCTTATTAAGAGAAACTCCTTGGAAACTGACTGTTTCCAGAATTGACAGAGACGGAACTGGCCATTATGCACCATGGAGATACTGGGTCAGTTGGCTGCCTCTGTACAAAATGAACGAGCCTTCTCAAAAAGGCAAACTTAACCGCCCAGCAACAGTCTCCAACTTCTCGGATGCCAGCGGGAATGTTTTCCAGCTGAATTTAATGGATGATGCTCAGGAAATTCCCGACTTCATCAAACCTTTTAGCAACTTTAAGTTTGAGGGAGACGGAAGTGCGGTTCCGATGTCTGCATCTGCCATTGTATCAACGGGTGCAAACCGCCAACTTTCGGTCGTGGACCCTATGCAATGTGGGGAAGCTAGAACTGGTACTGGCACCCAAGACGCTGAAGGAGACGAATTTTCACTGGCCGATGTTCTGAGGATGGGGCCACCATCGACGCCGCCTCCCGAATCCTCGGGGATGACGGCTAACGACGATTCGCAGTCGCCGAATCAGCAACGCAGAAGAAGCTCAAAGTTCAGCTGGCTGGGCATATCATTGAAGGGAAGCTTCTCTGGCAGTTCGCGCAAGCACTCTGCGCATTCTGCACAATGGGCTGGTGATGTCTCGCCCGTGAACTCAGGTGGTTCAACCATTAGTCCGACCGGGTCCTGGTTGGCGCACTTGTCGCAGCAACAACATAACAGGCTGACCGCTGACTCAAAACTTTCGAATATCCAAGAGGGAAAGACTGCTCGATCAGAAAGCAAGGCCGAGGAGGACGATGATGATGAGATGGACATAACCGATTTTCTGAGGAGGGGGCCTGTGTAGCGGCCAAAATAAGACGTTTAGGTGATAATTCTACACTTTAATAATGACCACTTACGATTTTTCAGAGTTCTGTATTATGCTGAGTTCGGCTGAATGTGACAGAATTTGACTGGGAGGGACTAGAATGGTCATTTGGAGGCATATTCAAGCTCAAAAATCTCCTTCAATCGCTTCAACCACTTCATGTTCTATTTTCAGACTGTTTCTTAGCTTTCTTCAAAATCTCTTCCACTATCTCTCTCCCATGTCTCCATGCTCCTTTAACGCGGCATTGGCATACCACGTCCCTGAGGTGGAGCCATCCCAGCATTAGGAGCAGAACTCTCCTGGTTAGTGATGGTCTCATCCACAGACAAAATCAATGTAGAAGCTTCCGTGGCAGATTGTAAAGCGTTAATTTTCACAAGGGCTGGTTCCCACACAAAGTTGGCCAGATTGTCGCCAATAGTCTCAGACTTGAAGTCTATTCCGTACCAGGTCTCGCCCTTAGCATGAACAGCACGCAGCTTGTTGAGCAGATCGGTACCATCAAAGCCCGCATTTTCACATAATTGTCTGGGTATAACCTCCAAGGCCTTAGCAAAAGCGGCAATGATCAATTGCTGCTTTCCTGAAATGGTATGAGAGTGATCACGCAAGTACTTAGAAAGCTCCATCTCGATGGCCCCTCCACCGGCAACGACTTGGTGGTTCTTGACCGCTCTTCTCACAATCATGATAGCATCGTGAAGAGAACGCTCGACTTCAGCAATGACCTGTTCGGCACCACCTCTCAACAAAAGAGTGCAGGTCTTGGCCTCAGGACAGCCCTTAAAGAGGTTATATCTTTCACTACCAACTTGGACTTCTTCAAACAGATCACATGTACCAATGTGCTCTGGGAGAATGTCCAAACACGTTGACTGGACGGCACCTCCAACGGCCTGAATGACTCTGTCCATATCTTCGGAGGCAACTCTTCCGGCGCAGAAGAGACCACGGTCAGCAAAAAACTGGGTAGCCAGATCACCGATAGGAAGCTTGGAAAGTACGATGTCAGCCCCAGTTGCCACAACAGCCTCAAGCTTCTGGAAGATAATTTCCCATTCGGCATTGACAATGGATTGGTAATCTTCAACCTTCTCGATCCGCACCTCGGCGTTATCTTTCTCTGCCTTGAGCTCCAATTCAACGTTCAAACACACGATTTTTGGGGAGCGGAAAGTCTTGGGTTGCTGCTCGAACCCGGCATACGAAAACGTCTTCTTGAATGCCACACCGTCCACGAAAATGGAGTCTTGCATGGCACCTCCAGGGATCTTCTTGATACCGATCAGACTCTCATCAAGGTCCTTCTGGTCCAGAGAAAGCACAGCATCAACAACCATCTTGGTGAAAAAGTCTGCATTGTTGTAGATAAGCTTGGAGGACATGGCGGTCTTCGCACACTTCTCCAGCAATCCGCGAAACTTGGTCGCGTCCGAACTGTCAATGTCGATGGCTAGTTCGCGGATCCTGTCCACAGCTAGCTGACATGCCTTACGATATCCCTTGACTATCACATTTGAAGACATTCCTTCCTCGATGAAAGCTTTAGAGCTCTTCAACAGCTCGCCCGCGAGCAAAGTCACGGATGTGGTTCCATCACCGATCTCAGCATCCTGGGAACGCGAAACATCCACCAAAATCTTGGCTGCGGGATGAACAACATCTAGCAATTTCAGGATGGTGGCACCGTCGTTGGAAATGGTGGTACGACCGTTGGAGGAGACGATCAAAATGTCTGATCCAAGAGGACCCAACGTGGGCCTCAGAGTATCCTGGATGGCGATACACGCATTGATATTGGAGATGATCTGGCCTCTTCCTTGGGACGTGTCAGTGCCCTCTCTCAAGACGACTACTGTTGGAGTTTGGTTGAAACTCATAGCGTTGTGGGTTGTGGGTTGGTGATTGGAGAAAAGAGGGAAGGCGTTGACGGGTTTTTTGAGGAAAACGTTGACCGCGTGGTTTATGTAAGCAAATATTGGACAGACACGACAAAAGTTTGGACGACTTTGCGGCTGCCAAACAGTGAGTACACTACCTTTGTGCAGAAAACAATTATTTGAATTGTCTTGTCTGCACACTACCTAGTTTTGTTTTCTGGGGTAAAGTGTTGAGCTCGGAGCTTCGGTTGGGCTGTCACTTTTTAGCGAGCCAAGTAAAAGCGATTCTTCAGAGGTTTCCCATTCCCGCCGTTCCAGGCATATTTTTGATAGTATACATTGGCTGTACAGTCTACAAACACCCGGATAAACATAAAACCCCCCCTTTTCCCTCGTTTTTCTGCCCCCTTTTCTCGGACGCCAAAGCCTTCAGTATTAGCCCTGCCGACACGACCAAATCTGTTGGGCCTCCCCTCTCTGAAGGGCAGAACAGACTGGTAAGCGCCTCGTTCCAAATCAAGTCCAGAAAACTGTCAAATACGAAACACAAGGTTCTGCACGCACATGCAGACACCATTATACACAGAATCCCATTTAAAACACTAGCTAACTCGTCCCCAAAGACCCCACGCTTTCCCTTCTAGCCGAAAGTCGTGTCGCGAGAACCAATTCTGCCCAACTTCCCCCGCCGAAACCTCTTTGCCCGATTCGGAGCACTTAACGGATTTTTGCCCTCTGATTAATCCTTCCTGTTATCTGTTTAAAGCAGAATTTTGTTGAGTACTCTGATTCTGGCTTGATATACGCTTCTAACAAGCCTTGTTTGGTATAAAGTATATACCAGCAGCACAGCAATTTTTCTAATATTAGCAAAAGCTTTTGTTGTTAGCCCGAAAGTGTTGCTTGTGGCCCCTTTGTGGTTTTTCCTGAGTTGCCACTGATCTAGCCGTTTAGGATTTCGCTAGACATCTCCGATTTTTGAACTAAAAGTTCAACAAGTTCAACAAGTTTAACAAGCCCAACAGCGTGTTTTTTCGTTATGGTCTTCCAAGTCAACGTACCAGTTGGTGAAGCAAAACAGGGCGAAACCGCCCCGCGCCGGAACTACAAAGTTGCCGACGGGGCTGTTTCGCGTCCTGCCGGAATCAAAGGCTCCACTGTTTTTGACTACTTCAATGAGTGTGTTGCCATGAATAGCCGTCACAAGGCCCAGGCCTGGAGAGACCTCAAGGCAGTGCATATTGAAACAAAGAAGGTGACCAAGCTCGTTGATGGACAGATGCAGCAAGTAGACAAGGACTGGACCTATTACGAGCTTTCAGACTACTCCAGCATCACCTTCACTGACTTGCAAGAGCTTGTGAATGATTACGGCCGCGGAATTGCAAAGCTGGGTGTCTTGCCCGGCGACGTGGAACGTCTGCACATCTTTGCTTCGACCTCGGCCAAGTGGATGCGTACTTATCTTGCCACTCAGACCATGGCAATTCCAATTGTCACTGCTTATGATACGCTTGGTGAGGAGGGGCTGACCCACTCTCTTGTTGAGACCGGCTCTGTTGCCGTGTTCACTGACAACGACCTGCTGGTGAAGCTGGTCAACCCACTGAAGAAGGCTGACAAAGTGAGATATATTATCCACTCATCGCCGCTTGACCCAGCCGACAAAATTGCAAATGGTGCGTACTATGCCAAAGCTGCTGCTGCCATTGAGAACATCAAGCAGACCCGTCCAGATATCCAGGTTATCTCATACGATGACGTCATTGCTCTCGGAAAGGCCAACCGCGACATTCCTCAGGTCCCACCAAAGGCAGACAACTTGTCATGCATCATGTATACCTCTGGTTCTACTGGAACTCCGAAGGGAGTTGTTTTGACCCACCGCAACATTGTGGCAGGCTTGGGCGGTATTTCTGTGGTTATTGACCGCAGCACTGTTACCACCGACGACCGTGTGATTGCATTTTTGCCTTTGGCCCATATCTTTGAGCTTGCTTTTGAGCTTATTGGTTTCTGGTGGGGTGGATGTGTCGGTTATGCAGCTGTTAAGACGTTGACCGATGCCTCGTGTAAGAACTGTCTTGGTGACATGCGTGCCTTTGAGCCAACTGTAATGGTTGGTGTTGCTGCAGTTTGGGAGTCTGTCCGCAAGGGTATTTTGGCCAAGGTGGAACAGACGCCATCGATCACGCAAAAGGTGTTCTGGGCTGCATACAAGGCAAAGCTTGGTATGAAAAATTGGCACATCCCCGGTACTTCGCTGATCGACACATTAATTTTCAAGAAGGTCAAGGCTGCTACCGGTGGTCACCTTAAGCTGCTGCTCAACGGTGGGTCTCCAATCAGTGGAGCCACCCAGAGGTTCATTTCCAATTTGATTGCTCCGATGCTTGTCGGTTATGGTCTCACGGAAACCGTGGCTAACTGTACCATCCTGGACCCTGACCACTTCGAGTACGATGTGGCAGGTGCCCTTCTCGGCTCGATCACCGTAAAGCTGGTAGATGTTCCTGATGCAGGATACCTTGCCAAGAACAATCAAGGTGAGGTGCTGATCAGAGGTCTGCCTGTGTTTTCGGAGTACTATCGCAACCAGAAGGAGACTGATGCCGCATTTGCGTACGACCGTGAATGGTTCTCCACCGGCGACATTGGTGAATGGACTGAATCAGGTCAGCTCAAGCTGATCGACCGTAAGAAGAACCTGATCAAGACTCAGAACGGAGAATACATTGCCCTTGAGAAGCTTGAGAGCACGTACCGTTCAAACGTCCACGTGGCTAACATTTGTTGTTATGCCGACGAAACCAAGGTGAAGCCAGTTGGAATTGTCGTACCTAACGAGAAGGTGTTGAAGGACTTGGCTGTTCAAATTGGCATCATAAAGAATCCTGAAGACAAGTCCTTAGCCGAGCTTGTGACAAACAAGAAGCTCTGCAAGGCCGTCAACAAGTCTCTGCTTGAGACTGGAAGACAGCACGGTCTTGCTGGTATCGAGCTTATCCTTGGCTGTGTTCTTCTTGACGAGGAGTGGACCCCGGAGAATGGATACGTCACCAGTGCTCAAAAACTGCAGCGTAAGAAGATCTTGCAGCATTCCAAGGACCGTATTGACCAGTTGTATGCTGAGAACAGTTGATTGCATTTAGCAAGTTTTTTACCACCCAAAGGAGTCTTTTCTCCGTTACGAGACCTTTTCCATCATGTTTTTCTTCAGCTCTGTGCTTTCTTGCAGAAGCAACTTCTTTTTTCCTCATTGCTCAGAGGGCTCATCCCGGGCTCTTTAATTACACGTTTGATTGCAGTAACTCGATCTCGTAGTCTTAAGGCGGCCTGAGTGCCATCATTTGACCAAATAAAACTAGACGAAATTTCCAAAAGTCGCTGAATTGTCTGGCATCCAGGGACAGCAATTGAAGTCAGTATAGTATATATATCTATACATCTATACGGACTGGGTTCATCCGGCAAACGGGAACCTGGCGTTTTAAGGTTTGACCTGCAGCTTGCGGCTCCAAAATTGCAGCAGCAACACACAACTCTTGAGCTATAAGCAATGGCCCTACTCGCTAAGAAGGTTATCATATTCCCGAAGGGATTTTACGTTCTCTGTTGTTGGGGAGTGATCTGCAAGGAGGGAATTGATCTGCAAGGAGGGAATTGATTGGTTTGTTGAAAGGTTGTTTGTCCAGCTGTTCGGCTCTTAGTCTTTCGCTTCGTCGATGAACTTCGAGTCCGTTGGAACCCAAGGCTGCGAAATAACATATCATGCTATAACATAATTTACATTATGATATAAGTTTCAACACAATTGAAATCTATGAAAAGCAATAAGAATATCGTGTAATACTTTACTGGTGCCCATTCGGGTCAAATGCCCAGCCCACGCTCTCTCGATATGAGATAACATCAGCATCAGGCATCGTCCTTTGTTTCAAATAGCCGGCCCTCCAAACTAGGCCAACTCGATGTATATTGCACCTCTTGGCGGCTACAATCGCTTGGACCGGGCGAACCAGCCTGAATTCAGAGTCCGTTCCGCACCGATCGTTCAACTCACCGTTGAGAAGAGAGATCGGAGACGTAAGATACGGGAATATTACCAAAAAGGGGTAAACAAGGAATAAGGTGTGTGAGATGTGGCTCTTATTGATGGTCCAACCGCCAATCGGTGCTCTTGGTTCTTTGCAGTGGGTATGCTTTCTGTGCATGATATCCCTTCCAGCCGCGGCTCGTATTGCGGACCAGCGCAGGTACGACCGCATCTTTTGCATGCATGACATAAATGACAGCCCAGCCCAAGTTTGGTAGGTTTTGAGTCTTTACCAATACAGAAGCCTAAGAAATTCGCAAACAGGCTACAAAAAGTTAAACTTTGTAATTTGTGAACTAGTAAATTTGAAACAGATCCTCGACAAAATTTCAATGCCTGTAATGATTCGAGTAACTGCATTTTTTTCTTGAAAAAGAATAAAATAAGTTCGCAACAGCTGTAAACAATTGCTGATCCTTTCTGGAGCTTTCTATACCTTTCTATACCTTTCGTAAAATGGTCATTATTCTATTTAGATATGTGGGAGTACAGAATTTTGGTCTGCATTGAGATTTCTTTCCTTTCGGTATGCATGAGTTCGTGAGGTCAGAGAAATTCGAGATTAGTGTAGATGTGAAATTGAAGAATGAACTTGATGCACTCACTTATTTTGACCGGTTCAAAAACAAATCAGCAATGAATATGAACCAATGCCGTGAATCTGTTCCTGAATGTGTACACCAGAATGCTTGAATTCGACAAGCATACTAGTCAAAGACGCAACTCAAAGACTCAAAATCACACTCACTCCATAGTTCACTCTTAAACATTCTCCATCTTATTCATCTCGTCAATAACTATCCTGTTGAACCTCTCAGCATCATCAAGATAAAGATGGTGACCTGCATTGGCAAGCTCAATATACCTGCTGGTATGTGTAGCCGTACGGCTTATGTACTCGCTGCACATCTGGCCGGCCTCACGATCCATCCAATCTTCTGCACCATACAACCATACGGTGTCACATTTGAGCTTAGAAATCTCCCGAATAAGTGGACGTCTAGGCACTCCACCCGCACGTAACAGGTAGTTGAGCACGTACTCACCTGAGCCTTTGGCATTGAAAATTGCATATGTGTATCTATGGAGTAAATCCTGTTCCTGCTGGGTGATGGTATCCATTGAAAACCTGCGAGAAGTCCACCCAGACACAAAAATTGAGCCCAGAGGACCAGTGTATCTCACTAGAGCAAAAGGTGAGACATTTTGGTTCCATAGCAGCTCAAACCATTTGGGGATCTTTGGTGCAGTCTCCTCATTCACCTCGTTGATACCGGCAGGAGAAACCATTAAAACCTTTCCAAAAAGGTTTGGACTTTTCATGTTCAGCTTAGCTGTGATATAGGCACCCATTGAGTGAGAACACATCATCACCTTATCCTTTGGCAGACCCGAAAGTCCGCGTCTGTCAAACCAGACCTGGAGCGACTGGGTAAACCAGTCTTCTACTTTTGTGGATTCCAGTGGCTCGTTGTGTGGAAAATCAGGCCTAGAAGAACAACCGTATCCAAGTAGGTCGATTGCATGAACAACCCATTCTGATTTGTGGTTTTGAGGAGCAGAGATCTGGTCAAAATTCTTGAGAAAAAAACCTAACCCAGCCCCATAGCCATGCACCATCACGAGATGGTTGTACCGTGAATTTGAGCCTTGGTCATAAGCAGGATCATATCCAGGAGGGTACATCACAAACTCGTTGATGTAGTTTCCAGAGTCATCAATAACGGTCTTGACGATCTCAGAAGTCCGACCACAACTGTCAAATTTCGAGGCATCTTGGCCGTAAAAAGGTAAGGTAGAAAGTAAATCAGTCTGAAACATGTCAAGGTCATGTCTAGCCATGTAATGTCCAAACGACTCTGTGAGAGACAACGGAAATGAGTTCGCAGACAGGATCTTGGACAGAGGAAGGCCTGCAGGTGGAGTAGAACGACGATATGGCGATCTCACTGACTCAGGGACAGACTCCACTTCTGATTGGCGACCAAAGTTCTTCTCTATATGCCGGTCAATTTGCCGCTGTTTCCTGGCAATTTCCATCGAGCGCAAAGACATGGAAGACCGCTGAACAGAACTTGAAGACAGCCTTTTGAAAGCCAGAAACACCACCGAAGGGATTTGAGCTCCCACAGGCGAAAATTTGGATTTGAAGTGGTGACAAGAGTTCATATTGTACTTCAGACGTATCGCCTGGTCTAGTTAAAGCATAGAAGGCCTGTGAGAATCAGGTTTGAAACGCGAAAGACCAACATTGAAAGCCCAACCTCGAGCAAAGCTAGCTCACACCCCACGAGTTGGGATGTCGTGTACCACCCATATGTGCGCCCAACAAAATGTGTAGTGCACCGTCCAACAAATCAATCCCAAAACGATCACAAGCCAAATTGTTGCTTACCTCAGCAACATCTTCCCACAGAGGCATGTCGACCGAAAACAGCGAGCCCTCAGAGAGTGGGTCGATTTCCCCTTCTTGGCAGGCCACAAAATGCCTGCAGGCATGTAGATGGAATAGATTGTTAGCGGACGAGTGGGGCATTATACCATCAACGTCGCGCCGAAATCGGTCTCGATGGAAACCCTTTTATCCCTCACCAAATTTTAAGTTCTGCTCGCAACCACCAATAAGACTTTGGTCAAGCCTCCGACGTGCTGCGTAAATTCACTGCTCGTGAGAGAATTTATTTGGACTCGGGGGGACTAAATTCTGGTATGCGAGGTGTCACTGTTCCCTCTTCAATCCGAATGGACGGGTTATTGCACTGCCACTGCACTTCAACCAACCATCTCTGGATAATTTCGTTGACAATGTCCAAAAAAATCACCAAATGCTTTTTCGAGGGTTAATTCCCGCATCACTGACTCTATTGTTTGAAAATGATTAATTGAAGTTGTTGTTTTGGAAGAGAAACAGGATAGTTAAAATTCGGGGAGAAGCTCCGATAACCAGTAGGAAGCCGACTGGAGGCTATAGCAATTTTATTCCTCTGATTTTCTCAATAATCCACCTTCCTCCGATACGAGTAGTTTAGTGCTTGAAAAATGTGCATTATTTACCTACAAATTTCTTGAAAAAAGTACGACGGAAAAAATTCTCCCGTAACGTTCTGACCTTTTCGGGTCTTGGCTGATGGAAAAGATAATCCGTGGGTGATGTTTACTTGGCGATGCTTCTGACTACGATATTTCAGATAACTGTTTGAAGTCGGACTGAGTCACAAGATCACTGCTAACCCAACGGCACATGGCTCTGTTAATGCTTTCTCTCGACTTCTTCATATGATATATACACCTTCTCTTCAAACAATGCAAATGCTTTCTGCCCCCTCTCCCCATATGTTCGATGTCCGCAAATTGAGTGTATGCGCCACGTGTGGCGCATATGCCGCTAATCTTTTTGATCAAATTTTTTCAAATTGGGATAGACCATACAGCCAATGCCTGGGCCTTTAAATATCGGCTCGCCTGACCCAGGTCCTCAATTCCTTCTCCCTGTCCGACTTTTTTCTAACCAAAAGCCAATCTCCCTTTCTTCCCTTTTTGTTGTTCCTTTTCGTCTAATCGCTGGAGAGAGATTAGTCTGTTTTAGAGAACCCGAGAGACAGATTTCAAAACGAGAGTTGAAGTCTGAGAGCAGAAAGAGATAACTTTTTTTCACCATGATTTTCGACAGAAAACAGGCTTCGCTTCTGGTGGCTTCGGCTTTTGCTGCTGTTGCCTCGGCCAAAACCCATTCGTACAACTGGACTGCCAGTTGGGTTGATGGTTACAACCCTGATGGGCTCTTTGAGAGACCAGTCATTGGTGTCAATGGCGAGTGGCCTTGGCCTGACCTGAAGGTCAAGAAGGGTGACAGAGTTGAGATTCTGCTCAACAATGGCTTCGAAACCTCCAACACATCGCTCCATTTCCACGGTCTTTTCCAACGTGACAACACCCAGATGGATGGTCCTCCATATGTTACCCAATGTCCAATTGCCCCAGGTGAAAGCATGCTGTACAACTTCACTGTCCCTGATCAAGTCGGTTCGTTCTGGTACCACTCGCACTCTGAGAGTCAATACGGTGATGGTATGAGGGCTGCTTTCATTATTGAGGACACTGAGGATTATCCATACGATTATGATGAAGAGGTCATCCTCACCGTTGCCGAATGGTACCACAAGGATGTCAAAACCCTGACCAAGGATTTCATGAACCGTTACAACCCAACTGGTGCTGAACCAATTCCTCAGAACCTTTTGTTTAACAACACCAGAAACAACTCTTGGGTTGTCCAACCTGACACCACTTACTTGGTTCACATCATCAACGTTGGTGCTTTCGTCTCTCAATATCTTTACATGGAGGACCACACATTCACCGTTGTTGAGATTGATGGTATCTATGTGGAGAAGAATGAGACCGAGATGCTTTACATCACCGTTGCTCAAAGATACACTGTGTTGATCACCACCAAGAGCGACACCTCTAAGAACTATGCCTTCATGCAAAAGTTTGATGACGATATGCTTGACACCATCCCAGGTGACTTGCTCCTGAACTCGACCAATTACATCGTATACAATGAGACTGCAGATCTCCCAACCGAATACTTCGTTGACTCCATTGATGATTTCCTTGATGACTTCTACTTGGAGCCTTTGACCAAGGAGGCTGCCTATGACGAACCTGATTACCAGATCGTGATTGATGTTGCTATGGATAACTTGGGCGACGGTGTCAACTATGCTTTTTTCAACAACATCACCTGGATTGCACCAAAGGTCCCAACTTTGACCACTGTCATGAGTGCCGGAGAAGATGCTACGAACCCATTGGTTTATGGTAACAACGTGAACGCTTTTGTCTTGGAAAAGGACGAGGTTATTGAGATTGTCCTCAACAACCAGGATACTGGTAAGCATCCTTTCCACTTGCACGGTCATGTTTTCCAGGTGATCGAGCGTGCCCAGGACTATGGTGATGAAGCTGTTCCAGTTGCTTACAACGAGAGTGCTCCATACGACGCTCCTGAGTACCCAATGAGAAGAGATGTCCTGTATGTCAGACCTCAGTCGTACTTCAGAATCAGATTCAAGGCCGACAACCCAGGTGTTTGGTTCTTCCACTGTCACATTGAATGGCATTTGACCCAGGGTCTGGCTATTGTTCTCATTGAGGACCCAGAAGGAATTCAGGCCAACCAAACCCTCTCTGAGAGTTGGTTGAACGCCTGTAAGACCAACAACATCCCAACTGTCGGTAACGCAGCTGCCAACTCCCAAGATTACCTTGATCTGTCTGGTGAGAACAAGCAGCATAAGGCACTTCCAGCCGGTTTCACCGCTCGTGGTATTGTTGCTTTGGTGTTCTCGTGTATCACCGGTGTCCTTGGTTGTATCTTCATTGGTGTCTACGGTATGGCTGACATTCCAGACATTGACCAAAGAATCGCCATGGACTTGGGTGCCGAAGACGCTTTGCTCGAAGATGACGAGGAGGAGGAGGAGGAAAGCAGCGCTCCTGAGACCGGAGCTTCTGCCTCCGAGGGTGCTTCAAAGACCAATTAGGTAAAGTCAGTAGGTTGTGTCTAGCTTGGCAGAAGACTAGTGTTTCTGCCTGAGCTTAGTATGCCACTCTGATATCTTTGTCTTTTGCGATTTTTTGTCAAACAGTTCAAAATTCGTTTGTTCTCCGTTTCTATGTTCCATTTTTTTGTTATCCAATCAATGTTGATCTTGGTGGTACCTCAAAGGATGTTTTTTTGACCTTTCAGTGTGTGTGAGGTCGCCCTTTGGGACTCTGCCATTTCAAAATTTGATTGGTTTGCAAGCAAGTTGAACATAAAAATGGGACAGACGCTTTTGTTTCTGTTAGCCCTCGAATTCTTCTGCTTTCTGGTTTTTTTGCCTTGTTGGCTGTTTCCTTCAAGTCTGCCCGCATACTAATATGTCGAATTGTGGACAGCCATCCGTCACTTCCTTACCCTGTGACGAGTGATTTGTTGTTTCATCTCTATCATCTATATCTCTCTCTCTCTTTCTCTCTCTCTCGCTCAGTCTCTCACCTTTGACGTTTCTCTCAACTACAAAACGTCAAAAAGGTTCTCTCAAAACTCTCTTATCTCTCCCAGTTCCCCGTGTTGATCACAGGTGAATTTCCATTTTTTCTTTTTTTTGATCAGTTGAACTTGCCCGGTTCGTGACTCTTGAATGTGAATACCAATATTTCCATATAATATCAATTTGTCTTGTAGAGTGTAATGACTAGCTTCAAGATTCAAGATCTCAGCTGTGGCGTGGCCTATTTGGCTGATAAGCCCAAATTTGAGTCTTGCACTGGCAAACCTGGCCGCCATCCTGAAGACCCAATGACAGATCTGGTTTCGATATCTTTTACACCACCACAATTAACGCAATTTGTACCGAATACTTTGCTCAGGTTCAATTTTGAGTTCAAAGAAACCCAGAAGTTCAAACCAATGGGACTTATCGAAAGTCTGTACATTGCAGACCAAAAAGGGTGAGTACAGGTTTACAATACAACAGATACGACATCTTACTAACCAATCCACCAGAAAATTACTTTTTGAATACTCCCTGAGGCCGTCAACTCCCGGGCATCAGTATATCTTCAACAAGTTGCGATATGCAAAAGACGACAAGAAAGATGACGTGAATGAGCTCAAAGGCGGATGTTTCCTCTCCGGTCTGGCTTCTCTGGTGGAGCTGGAGTCGAACCTGTTTGTTGCATGGAAGAAGTTGGGGCCTCTCGTGGTGATTGTTGTTGGAAGTGGATATACTTCGCCTGTGGAGGTGGCATATACAAAAGAGAAGGTGGTAGACGAAGGCGAGACTTCGGAGGAAGAATCCGAAGAGGAATCTGAGGAAGGGTCTGAGGAAGAGTCGGAGCAGGAGTCTGTGGAAGAGTATGAGGAAGAAAATAATGAGTTCCAAGAATCAGAATATGAAGAGGAGCGAGACGAGTCCGAAAATGAAGGAGAACAACTCACAGGGACAACGAATCACACGGCTACAAATGTCAAGATTCATCCAACGTACAATCCGCTTCTTTACCACGACTTCATAGATCGGGTTATATCGGCCATGAACCTCTTTCTCGGGAAACCCATCACAGTGGCCCTTGTTGAGTCAAATAGCGATACTCTGGTGCTGCTGCTGCAGGAGATGGTGGACGCGGACTATCCATATATCACCGATCTTAACCAGCTGAAGGACCTCTTACCAAGCTCTAGCATCTTGAAGTCTTTTCTCGACAGAACCAAAAAGTTCTCCGAATCTGCCCAGAAATCATTCTCGAGGCAGGACACGTTACCTGGACGTGGAAATGTGAGTGTCAACCGTCCTGTTCCGTCTTCAGCTAAGGGAACTGGCAATGGCTCTGTCTGGGAGAAATCGGGATCTTCTACACCATGGAGGAGAAGTAACGTCAAGTACACCAACAACGAGATGTTTGTGGATGTGACCGAAAGGATTACGGTAATCATTCCTCCTTCAAAATCAGGAAGGTCCAAAAGTTCAAAGAAAATTCCCCAGGGATCAGCGTTCTACAGCAGTTCCTCGTACCTGGGGTCTCAAAACACCACCAAAAGTTTCACCACGCCCATAGTGGCACGCATAGACGGAAAAGTTATATTCACATCGCGTTTATCTGGAATCCCCAATCTTAAGCTGGTGATGTCTCCGGGTCGGCACGATCTGGGAGTGCCTTCATTCCACCCATGTGTGGACATCGCTCAATGGGTGCAAACACCCGGAACACTATCCTTTGTTCCTCCAGACGGTGCTTTCAACCTCATGGATTACTCCATTGATCTGCTGAACAACCCGTTGTACTCAGACAATGCCAGGGAGCTGTCTAGTTATATGGGTCTGGTATCCGTTGATCTGACAGTGGGTCTGGGCCTCAACGCGAACGAGTTCGAGATCCAGGTGAACACAACCAGCTTCAAGGCAGTGAAGGGAGTAGACGATCTGAAGCTGGAGATTGTGATCTCCGATCCTGGCTCCAAGGCTGGCGACTCCGATGAAACCCCGTTAACTCTGAAGTCTCTACGTATGACCCACGGTGATTTGCGAATGACCGAGAAAGGTACCTACGAATGGGGTTTCGACAAGCTGTTGACTCTGGGAGTTCATCCTTCATTCAGAGGTGCCCTTCTATCTGATTCTGACTCGAATGCTAATTCCAACAACGCGAGTGACGACGAAAGCATCACCGCCAGGTTGCCCAAAAGACCGTTACAACCAAAGTTCGTCCGAATGAGTTATGGAAATAAGGGATGCCTGCCCAGTGGTATCAAGGTGGACTTGCTCAAGATCACTAGTGCCCAAGGCCTTGGCGAGAATGTGAAGCCATACAAGGGTGTCAAGTATATAACCGAGATTGGCCAGTATGTTCTCCGTTGAAGGTACTTTGAAAGCAAAGGGATGAACAATGTGCGAAGCGCTTTCTGTATATCGTCAAAAACCACAGGCTATTGCCTAAAATCGTCTCTAATATCCAGCTCCGGTGATATTTGTAGAATAACCATGTCTCGGCTTTTTCACAATCCCGTTCTTCAAAAGGTCAATAATCTGGTCGAGATCGTCAACAACCTCGTCAATTTCTGGTATCTCGTCTATCAGATGGGCATTGTGCTCGTGTCTAACTAGGATCACTATACAGCCTGCATTCAAACCACAGTAGATGTCGTCTCTGGAATCACCAACCATGATCATGGACTCTGGTGAAACACCCCACTTTTCGGAGATATGAAATAACGCATCAGGAGCAGGCTTGGTGGGCTGAAAGGCACGTGTGATCAAAGGCTCAGTGAGCGTTGCGTCTGGCAAGAAGTTCTTGAGCAAATGTTTGACAGGTTTCTAAACCGTTAGTAGAGGCGAAAGTCGCTGAAAAGAAAATTTGACTGACTATCTGGTTTCTCGTGCAAATTGTCAACGGAACGTTCGAGTCGTTTAGAAACGCGAACAGGTTGGAAAGCCCTTTCTGGGGTATCTGATGCGAAGTTAGTATCATTTCATGAGGCCACCATTCCTCATACATACCATTTCGTTCATCGCTTTTTCTTCGACTTGTTCGATTTTTAGCTCTGCTGCACGTTTTTGTTCTCCTGAAAGAGAAGCCATCTTGGATAGAATATCGATATTTGTATTCTCAATGCCCAGTTCTGTTCGCATGACCTCTAATGGGAGGTTAGTCACGGAGTGAAGAATCATTTAACCTCCATGAAATTCAATAACCGGGGGTAGTAAAGTTGATAATACTCACTGAACATCCATGACTAGAAATGTCAGTAAATGTCAGTAAATTGCATATTTTTCTCTTGTTTTCAAATCAACCCGTACGTACCTGGGGTAGACAAAGGGTTCCGTCCATGTCGAACACAGCGCCCCCTAAAGCAACATCCGAGGAGTTGACAGGACGAAGGATCGTGCGCTTTAATGCAGAGCTAACGGTCATTTTTGCTTTTTCAAATTAGCAAGATCTGAAAGAAATCTGATTACTCTCCGGATCTGAACAAAGAGCATCTACGACTTATCTATAACTGATCTATGACTGATCTATTACCGAATATGTTATCTTGTGGCCGGTACACTACCAGGGGATGCAATGCTAAACTGCATTGGCTGGCAATGCCGAATTGAGATTACAGACAAGACACAACGCCCTCTTTTTTCCAAGTTTAAAACAAATTGGCGTATATTTGACGATGACGTCTGCAATTCCGTACGACCCGGAAGATTTTGATAACAATCCATTTTCGGAGCACAGTGTGATACAGACTGGGGACGGCTTTGTGGGAGGACCTGTAGGGTCTGTTTATTACAATGATAACGGGGAAGAACAAGACGCAGATCCCAGTCCACAGCCCGAACAGCCTGTGGCCCCATCAGTGATATCTGAGGACCATTCCAAAGATCCTGATTCGTTTTTCCACAAGGAAGTGTCGCAATTGGACCTGAAGAAGTTTGTACCAGAGCGTTTCCACGCTAAATCGTTTGGAATGGCCATCAAAGTGGCGGACATCGAAAAGAATGGAAACACATCTTCCGCTTACCGGAATCCCATAGTCAAGTTGAATGCGGAAGTGCGGAAACTTCCTGGCTTCAGAAAAACTGCCTACAAGGAGATAAGAAGGACATACAAGGAGCTTGATGCTCTCTACAGATACTTGATGTATAACAACATCGAAGTGTTCGTACCAGCCCTGCCGGCTATTCCTACCCTGTACAACTTTGGAAGCATAGAATTTCAGACGACGCTGACGAATCTGCTCCAGGACTGGTTCAACCGTATCACGAGTAACGCGATTTTGGTGAGGAACCAGGAGTTCGTTCTTTTTCTGGAACAAAATGATTTTAGTTATTCGCCTTCGAAGACAAAGCCAGCAACGAACTCAATTATGGCAACTGGTTTGAAGAGAAAGACTCTCAAACAATTACACCCCCCCTACGATGCCTCGCAAGAACTGGCTGAGTTCAGACCTCTGATCAAGTCTGTGTATCTAGCTTCGCAGGGATTGGTGCGGAATCTGGAGAAAATTGCCAAGCTGGAGAAAAATGCAAATACTAGCATTTCGGATTTTTATTCGAAGCTGCAGGAACTATCTGGGTTGGAACTTGTGAGCCAGGACATGGCTAACATGTGGCTTAAGCTGAATAAAGTGTTGCAACTGGCCAACGAGATGGAACTTGTGAAACACCTGAATTTTTCCTCGGTACTTATAGAACAATTTCTGCTAGTTACAGAGGACACATACAACATCAAGGAGGCCTTGACGAATCGCCATCTTCTCATGAGGGAGCTGGTTCAGGCGGAAGAGTCCACCAAACGGAAACATGCAAACATTTCCCGCTTGAAGAGCAAATCAATTATTGACCCCTTAAAAGTGGACGAGGCCATCAAGGCTTTGGATGCTGCCACGAACTGGGAGAAAGAACTAACCTTTCAAGTGAAACGAACTACTTACAACATGTTGCTGGAATCGAGAGAATATACCGATTTTCTGACAGTTTCTCTCAGAAAGACCTTCAAGCAGCTTGCTCAGCAGCAAATCCAAGCCGAACGCAAAAAGTTGGCTCTATTGCACTCCACAAAATTGATTCCTCCTAGCGACTCTCTGGCTAGACTAGGCAGAGAACATACTACAGCCAGACTGAAATCGCCATCTCGTGTTCCCACAGAGAGGAACGGCAATTCGTGGACTTCCAGACCCAAACTGGTGTTTGATAACGAGTCGCCCCAGAAGCCCGTCACTGAGGAATACAGCGAGTATTTGAGCGATTCCAAGGCTTCAGCCCCGGTGCCTGACTTGACCTCTAAGGGCGAGGTAGTGGCCGAAGAGATGAGTGTGGATGCCAAGAGTGCGGCGACGTTATTGGCAGGGTCGACATTTTGAACAATAAGTCAACCATAGAGAGAAAGAAGCTTCAGAAAGCCGCAGTCCATGCTTAGAGTCCTTACTTAAGGCTCTTTCGCCTTTCCCCCCGATTTGTTTCTCACATTTCACTCAAAATCTCATTTCAGTTGTTTTGTAATTTCGAAAATGAAAATCTTCCGAACCCTCAAACACAGTTAATAAATTACACTAAAATCTAACCAACCTATTTAGCAATTATCGCTCTGCCTGAGCCCCAAAATCGGCCGGGCACACCCATATGAGCTCATCGGCAGCAAACGTTTGGGCCGAAGCCAAGAAGGCTTATGATTATTTATTACAAGCACGCTTAAGGCTATGGGTTTAACAGATACGCAAAGTCTCAATCCTTGAACCATAAACCCATTTATATACCCATCCAAATGTTCAAAAAGAATTCGCTTAGAAAACACGGGAGCCAGTCGCCTAGCGGATCCATAAGAGCGGTTTCGGGAACTTCTCCCGTGCCCTCTTTCAATGCAGTTACGAATGCAATTAAAACAGCAGGACAAAAAGATTTATCAGACGGGTTGGATTCGAATCTCTTCCGAGTGGATGATTTGCACCATTACGGAGTTTCGGGTGCGGTTGTGTCGTTCGCATACGATCCCATACAGAGCTTACTGGCACTGTCAACAGACGAGGGTAAGGTTTATGTGTATGGCCAGCAGAGGGTGGAAGCTGTTTTCGAGCTCAAGACACATCTTCCAATAACCACGTTGAAGTTTTTGAGAGGAGTGTTTGTGGTAGCAATTGACGCCAAGAGCACCATCTTCACGCTGTCGTTGCATACCAATAAGATCATCTCCACCTACGTTGCACCTGCTCTCATCACTGCGATCGACGTTGACTATTCACTGGAATATTTACTTCTGGGGCTCCAAACCGGAATTGTATGTGCCTTTGACATCGAGAGAACACTTTTTGCAGATTTTCAGCTGGCGAATTTGCAAAAGGAGATCATGCCGAACGTGGAGACTTCGCCCGTGGTGGCTGCGAGATGGCACCCCAGAGATTTTGGCACCATACTGGTGGCCTACAACTACGTGGTGGTGTCTTACTCGATAATTGAGGCTAAGATCATTAAGACCTTCGTGTATGATATTCCCAAAGGAGCTCCTGGTGGAGAGAACGCCAGACCCGAATTCGATAGGTTTGGGGTCTACAAGCCCAAGGTGCGCAACGCTCTGTGGCATCCCAACGGTCTCAACATAGTGGTACTTCACGAGGACAATTCCTTGGTGTTCTGGGATGCCAAGACGGAAACTTTGCTGCAAGCACGGACATTATTTGACACGTATGTGAACGTGCCGGCAAATGGACCTTCGTTTGGGTCCAACAGGAGAGTGACTCCGATCATCAAGTTGGCGTGGCTGTGTCAGAACGACCCGGAGTACACCTCCCTGCTGATATGTGGAGGAGACTCAGAGGCTAGCGAGGGGGTTCACAATCTTATCAGAATGGACTTTGGAGCAGCTCCGAAGTACTCCATCACGTCGTACGAAAAGATGGGCAAATACTATGCCCAGCCCATCGAGCAACGGGTGTTCCCGGTTCACTCCTCCTCAAACATCGTGGATTTCTTCCCACTTGGAGAGTCCTCTCCGTATTTCTCTGGAAACCACAACCCCAAGATCGTGGCCGTTCTTTTCGAGAATGGCGAGCTCAAATTCATGAACTATCCAACTGGAAATTTGAGTTATACTGCCGAGCTTTTCCCCACAACGGTTGCGTGGCTCAACCCAAAGATCACGTGCTCTCTTTCGTTTGCGGTCCCAAAAACAATGTGGCTAGGAATGTTGTCAGCGAAAAAGCGTAAACTTGGCGCTCTTTTGAAGGGAGGAACTCCAGCAAGACACAGATATAGAAAGTTTGATCTCAAGTCTGTGGTGGTAACCGGTCACGAGAACGGTTATGTCAGATTGTGGGACTCTTCTGCGGGTGAGCTAGACAGTGACTCTTTGTTTGAGATTGACATATCCCGAATTTTGCTCGATGATTCCCCCGAGTTTGGGATAAAGAAGGTGTCGTTTGCCCCAGAAACCGCCGAGTTATCTTGTGCTTTGTTCAACGGGGACGTTATGCTTTTCAAGTACCAGAAAAACCGCAACTTTCTGCCGACTGTGGGTGACTTGAACAGACGTCTGTCCAGCATGGAGATTAAAAAGAATGACAAATTATTAAACGATATAAGTGATCGAGCACCAAGGGATATTTCCGAGGGGTTCTTACCCTCTTCATTGCTCAGGGCCAGAACCGGTACTGTGACTGCGGTGTGTAACAGCAGCGTGGGATTCGTGGCTGTTGGATATGAGGATGGTACCATTATTGTTATTGACAGAAGAGGCCCGGCAGTCATATACAACGATACTCTCAAGGATAAGGGTCTTGCAATCAAGCTGGTGGCCACTTCTATTGAATTTGCAAACTCCCCTCAGTGCATTGAGCAGGGAGCCCTCTTCACGATGTATGTTGGAACGAGCATAGGAAGACTTCTGACGTATGACATTGCTCGACTACCCAATAGGCGTTACGAGGTCAAGTATTCTGATTCTGCGGATGCTAACGAGTCCGAAATCTTGACCATTCTTCCCTTGATGGCCGATTCCGGAAGACCCAACTACGCAACCATGGGGTTCACACCTTCTTCAGAGACATCAAATCTGGTTGTCACTGTCTCTTCGTCTGACATTCGTGTCTTGAAAGGATCACAAAAGGTTGCCCGCAAGAACTACGGAAAGGGCATGGTGGCCGTGGGTGGAATCACAGGAAGAACCATAGGAACCAACCCGACCAACTCCAAAGTAGTGTTTGCTTTGATATTGGTGCTCAACTCCAACCAGGTTAAAGTGTTGTCCATTCCTGCATTGCACGATATCAAGACTCTGACACTTCCGTATACCTTGAACAGAAGGTACTCTTCTCACAGCTCGATCCTGCCCATGGGAGATGTGTTTCTGAGAATCAATGACACGGAAGCTGCTCTGATTAACATCATGGGACTTCGTGATACTGGAAATAACGCTCACGATGTGAGGCTCTTCAATAAAGATCTGGTGATTCCAAGTCACCCAGCCGTGAACACTATGCACGTGATGATCGGTAACGTCAAGGTGCCAACTTATGAAGACTTCTGCATGGTAATGAGCGGTCCCCATCGTACCAAGGCTACCCGTGCAGAAGCTCAACTTGCTTTTGCCGTGTCACCTTACAATCCTGCAAATATCAAACTATTGGGTAATACGGCCACGCCCTCTTCAGCCTATTACGACGAAGAGGTTCAGATGAAGCGTCAATTGAGCTATTCTAAGCCAAAGAGCCCACGGACTGGAAAATGGTTCCCTGGTGTTAATGCCAGTATGAGGAAGGCGTATTACAATGTGTCAGATCAGATAGACACAGCCCAAGAGACGGTCGACGACTATGCAACTAAGATGAAGGATGAGCTGAACGCCGAGACGACTGAGGCCAGAAACGGGCTTCTTTCTGCTTTGGTCAAAACCAAGCTGGGAATTTGAAATAGAAAGATCGGAAACCTGATTGGTTAGTTCTATAGCGTTGATTCAATTTGCTTCACTTAATCATGAACAAAATACTCTTTTTTGCTTTGACTCGATCTGAGTAACCCGTCAGTGGGATTCTATATATATTTCACTGTAAATGTAGACGAAGAAACGTAGACAATCCTCAGATAATCTCCTTGCCCTTCAGAGCAGCAGTAACTTGACCATAAACAGTTTCAACGGGCTGGTCACAAGACAACCTTATCACCTTGCCCTGCTTATCGAAGTACTCCACTACCGGATAACTCGTTTCCACAAAGGTCTTGAACCTCTTGGAGATGGTCTCAGCATTATCATCCGTTCTACCACTGGTCTTTCCTCTCTCCAACAGTCTCTTCAACATCACGGCTTCGGGACAGTCGAAGAACAAGGTGAAGCTAGACTGGGCCACTTGCTCTTCAAAGGTGATCGCCTGGTCCATCTTTCTAGGGAACCCGTCAATCAAGAACTTGGTTTTACCCTTGCCAAATTCCTCCTTCATTGCCTGTTCTAGCAGTGCGATGGTAATCTCCTGAGGCACAATCTGTCCATCTTTGATGTACTGGGCAATCAACTCTCCATACTTGGAGCCGGGCCTCTGCTGCTCCGCCCTGAGAAGGTCTCCTGCTGAAAGGTGCACAAATCCGTAGCCGGCCACCAATTTTGCACACTGCGTGCCCTTGCCAGAGCCTGGACCTCCGAGCACAAAAAGCACCGAGACTTCGCCTGGTTTGAATGCTGGACTCAGTACAGGTTCGATATAAGCTCGAGGGGCTTGGGGTCGTTAGTGAGAAATTCCCTCAAATTTGCACCAAAAATCTAAACTTACGCTTCACTGGCGTCGTGGCCGAGTATAGTGTCGTTCCTACCGCCAAAACTCCGAGAACGGCCAAAAGACCCAGCTTCTTGCCGTTGCTAGCAGGTGCCGAGGAATAGCATCTGGCTCCTGATCTTGCAGATACAGCAAATGGCACTCTCGTAATGTGGGAGCTTATACCACGTAGCCCAACAATAGGTCTTGCAATTCTAAGCATTTTTAGAGGAAGCGGTATGGAGCTGGTGGAATTGTTCGAGGTGGTGATCTGTCATGTCTTGTCTTCGGTGAGATCTCAAGTGTGCTGAGTAGGATTGGTGGGTACACTTAGCGGGGTATACACGACCAGATCAAAACACGTTATCACGACCGCCGAAGAAGCTACGTTGATATAACCGTTCAGTGCCTTCTTTGACGGTTTGTTTTTGATCTGCTCATAATTACAAGATGGTGTTGAAACAGTTCAGTTACGATGTGGGGTATCCTGTATATGGGGCCAAATTTTTGAATGAAGACACACTACTTATTACGGGTGGTGGTGGAGAGGGAAACAATGGTATTCCGAACAAGCTGACTGCCCTGAAAGTTGACTTTTCGAGGCCAAAAGCGCTCAAGAAGTTCCGTGAGCTTTCTTTGCTTGACAACGAAGACTCGCCGATGAGTTTGGACGCGAGCAAGGGTGTGATAATACTGGGTGTCAACCAGGACTCTGCTTCCATCAAAAACGGTACGAACAAGCACTTTCGCAAATTCATTTATTCGAACGAACATCTGAAAGCGGTTGACTCGGCACAGATTTCAGATAGCCGGGTAAGTACAGAATACCAGAAACTCACTGTTTTAACTCCAGATGGTGCAAAAGCTGTTATCGCCATGTCGAAAGACCCTTCCACAATATATGTGGTTGACACCAACGATCTGGATGTACAGTTTGAGATCAAAGCATCTGGCGATGTGAAGGACATTTGTATTTCTCCCGATGGAAAGGTAGCGTGTTACATCACCGCATCTACACTGGAGACTGTGTCTACCGTCACTGGAAGGACCGTTTTGAAACACGATTCTTTCCCGGAATTTGCGCTTGGAAAGGTGGCTTTCTTGGACAACAACACTATACTTATTGCAGGAGTATTAAAACAGGGCGGTGGGGTTGTTCTTGCAGAGTTTTCCATTCCAAAGTCTGCTGTTGTGAAATCTAGAGTCGTTTCTAAGAAACTCAAGGGAATAACCTCCATGGATGTCAGTCACGGCTTGGTGGCTTTGGCCGGTAGTGATACCTCCATCACAATAGTGCGGGCTACAAGCTTGAAAATTATATCCACCACATCTCAGGTGCACAATTTTGCCATTACCAAGATTACCTTTTCGTCTGATGGTACATACCTGGCCAGCGTGTCTGCTGCAAACACCGTAAACATCATCCTGATTCCCAAGAATTTTGCTAGTGCCAAATCAAAGGTGTCCTCAGTTATAGGATTCCTTTTCTGGAGTGTACTGCTGGGCGTTTTGGCCATGTTCGTTCAATGGTTTATCCAATCTGGTAACGCCGCTGCGATATTCGAGAAATCTGTCAAGCTAATAAAGAAGACCCCTCATGACAGCACTCCATACTTCAAGATCGAGCCTATCGCTCCGAGTGAAACATTCATAAAGATCTCTTCCTCATCTGCCTATTCATACCGGTCTTCCTCTACGACTACGTTGAGCGAAGAGATGTTCACGATTTTGCCTGTTGGTGAACCAGATGTCAAGATTGGTAAAGACGAGCCTGAAAAGGTTGCTACAATCCTACCAGTTGGTGAACCGGACGTCAAGATCTCATCCGACGAACCAGAACAACTGGCCTCTATCCTCCCAGTGGGTCAGCCAATCATTCACACTAATGCAGAAACCAAGTATGTACCACAGCCCGACTTGTCAAGCTCCACGGAAAGTGTCCAAGAGTCGATATACAGAGAGCCAATTACTAATACTCAATTCGATACAGAAACTCCGCATCTCACTGATGACGACCTATCTGTGGGTGAGACGAAGAGTGCACAAAGTGCTAGTTCAGCAATAATACCGCCAAGAGAAGCTGCCAATGCTTCGGGTATTGATTCTGCTTTAGCTGAGACTGTTTACTCTGTTACAGAATCGGTAACTGACTCTGGGTCCGATATTGAAACGGAGACAGAGAGAGAAGCTGAGGTGCAAGCGGATATTGGGATTGAAACTGGGACCGAAGTCAAGCGTGTGACAGAGGCTGAAAACGAGTTTCAAACTGAGACAGGAACAGAGTTGGTTACGGACATTGATTTTGATACAGAAACCTCTACAGACGCTTTAACGGAGACTGATACTGAGATTCAAACCGAAACCGAAACCGAGGTGGTAACCGAGACAGGGTCTGAAACACAAGTAGAAATTAGCATGGAAACTTTTACAAAGGAGTCCTCTGTTACTGGAGTCATTTCTGAGACTGAGACTGAGTCAGTGACCGAGTCGGAAGTTGAGTCAGTAACCGATTCTGAGGCTTCTGAGACTGATGCTGAATCCGATGTTGGGTCTGTGACCGAGTCTGAGGTTTCCGAGACTGATACTGAATCTGGGGTTGAGCCGTCAGTGACTGCGTCTGAAGTTGAGTCTGAAGTTGAGTCAGTGACCGAGTCTGAAGTTGAGTCATTAACCGATTCTGAGGTTTCTGAGACTGATGCTGAATCCGATGTTGAGTCTGTGACCGAGTCTGAGGTTTCCGAAACTGATATTGAATCTGCCACTGACTCAAGAGTCACCGAGACTAAAGATTCTGAGGCAGAATTAGAAAATTTCACTGCTGAAGATGCCACAAAGGCCAAATCATCAACTGTGTCAGCTTCAACTGCTGAAGAGATAACCTCAACAGGACCAGAGGTTGCGGTGACTCCAACCCCCGTGAAAGCTGCTGATGGAGAGGAAGAAGATATAGATGGTGAAGCAGATGAGGAGAATGACGAGGATGATGAGGACGAAACTGTCACGTTGGAGGTGACATTGACTTCCACCCTCACTCAAACGGTTACCGAAGACCAACCTGAAACTGTGGTTACTAAGGCTTCAAAATCTACCGCGACTGCAGAGTGGAACTCTGCTGCTACTGCTACTGCCACAGTGGTAGAGATTTTGACAGTTTTTCAGACGATTGTGGAAACTATTGTGGAGACTGTTACCGCAAAGCCACTGCCAGTCCATGATGACTTGTAGGACAGACAGGGTGCTAAAGGTATAGGCCTCAGACGACCATCATCTATTACAATGAACGAGACGCCATGCCATTGAGAGAGTAGCAAAGAAAACAACGTATAGTTTGACAGGCTCGATAACTCATAGATCTGTATAGGTTGTATTTATATAACAGCAATATGTACTACCATATTAACGTCTCTAATCCTTAATCGCCCTTATCTCTGCCATCTCCACTATCTTTGCCCTACGCACGACCCCCGCAATCCCAAGTACACACTCATAATTAGTCTTGTTTGTGGTTTCTAATGTCTATTGGTATTCTCTTCTGTCCGTCATCAGCTCATTTATCTTTGCATATTTTGTTTCTTTGGATTGGGAGACATTGATTTGGGCTAAGGAGTCCAAGTTATAATCAGACCGGCTTGTTTCAGCTTTACAACTCTTGAACAGCACATGGGAGGCAACTCGGCCCCACCCTCGAACAGCCGCAACAAATCGGCGAAATCGCAGATTTCGTTGGTACTGAGCTGTATACTAGCTCTTATATTTGCATTTGGTTATTTAGTGTATGGAGTGGGTTGGTTGGGAGGAGGAATGAGTTTAGCGGAGGATGCCGCCACGGAGATGAAAGCACAACAAGCCAAGGAGACATTCACAATAAGACACTTGTTTCACCATAATACTGGTGAGAAACATTTGACTCATAGAAGACTAGATTTGACACCAGAATTACTAGAATCGGAGGCCTTTTCTACCAGCAATGTCGAGACAATCGCACAATATGGTGCAGAGGAAGAAGATCAAACGGCTCTTTCGTTGTGGTTTGCAGATCAATCGCCATGGTCGAAGCCGTTGAGTCTCAAATCGGATTCCATGACTATTATGAGACTGGTAGAGCGGGCACCCGACTTTGTTGAGTCGTATTTGGCATATGCATTAGAAGTTGGCAGCCAAGGAATCGCAGGTATACATTTGGATTGGGCGGAAGAGGAGGACGTGCCGATTCCGAATGTCACGGACAAACAGACGGTGGTGAGTCTGGCATTAATGGCTTCCAATGCTTATGTCAAGATTCCTGGGAAAGGTGACTGGCAGGATGTGGGACAGCAGTGGAATGACACAGATGGGTTTGGATGGATGGATGACGGCATACGAGGTCATGTTTTCGCGAATGAAGACAACTCCACAATTGTTGTGGCTATCAAGGGAACCAGTGCCACTGGACTGACAGGAGGGACAGATAGTGAGACTTCTATCAGTGACAAAGTGAACGACAACCTGCTGTTTTCTTGCTGTTGTGCACGAGTTTCATACATGTGGCAGACCGTTTGTGACTGTTACGAATCGTCATATACATGCAATCAGAAATGTCTGGAGAAGGAGATGAAGCGGGAAGATCGATACTACCGTGCTGCAATGGACATATACAGAAACGTGAGTTCTCTGTATCCGGACGCAAATATCTGGCTGACGGGCCATTCACTCGGTGGTGCCCTTAGCAGTCTTGTAGGGAGAACCTATGGGTTGCCAACAGTGACATTCCAGGCCCCGGGCGAGCTTCTTGCTACTCGCAGACTTCATCTTCCAATGCCGCCCGGAATACCTACCAGGATGGAGCATATTTGGCACTTTGGTCACACTGCAGACCCGATTTTCATGGGGGTGTGTAATGGAGCGAGCTCTACATGTGCAGTTGCCGGCTACGCAATGGAAACTCAATGCCATTCTGGAAAGGTTTGCGTTTATGATGTCGTGACAGATCTTGGCTGGCACGTTTCAATCACCAACCACAGGATACACACGGTGATAGACAACGTCCTGCTTGAGTACAACACAACTGCGCAATGCGTAATTCCTCCGCCATGCCACGACTGCTATAACTGGAACTTTATCGTTGGCGACGAAGACCAGAAGAAGAAAACAACCACCACCAGACACACATCCACCTCTTCGACAAGCAGTGAGTCTGCGACGCCAACGGACCCAGCTGATTGCCTGAAAAGAACTTGGTATGGTCGTTGCATCAAATGGGCAGACGGTAAGTCTTCTAGAGAGAAACCGTCGGCTACTTCTACATCAAATACCAAAACATCGAATCCCTCCAGTGCTCTGCACAAGAATTCGACTCTGGTGACTAGAACTATCACGAAGAGCTCCTCGGTGATAATAGCCCCCACAGCCACTTCGCATACTCCAGACTATCCTGATTCTCCCAAGAAATGCGTTGAATACAGTTGGTTAGGTTACTGCAAAAGGTATGAGGGCGATGAATAAAGGCTTGCCCTAGTTCACATTGATTTTACACGCTTGAAGCACACGTTTTGAGCACCCACTTGATTGTCTTTTACATAGCAATATACAACAATCGAGGCGGAACTCGCCATCCTCAAATAGTTTTCACCGGCCATTCTTCCGTGTCTTTTGGCCCTAAATCGAGTTAAAACAACCGCCTGGCGCTCTATCTATCACCCTGTGAGAATAATACACTTAGGGATAGAGTTGCCTGATCTGGCCATGGCGCGCGCTAACTCTCTGAACAATCTCCCACTTCTGCAGGGAGGCAGATGATGCCACCCCCAAAGGGGGGAACCCGCTCTCACAATAAAAAGAGCACCGTTTCTGGGGGTGAACCTGGGCTAGTGGTGGACTCCGACAAATTCGCGAAGCGCCTGAAAGAAAAGCGGAGAAGCCACATTCTTCTTTGATTTTCTTTGGTTTTCGAGTTTGTAAGTGTCTTTTCGCGTTTGTACGGCTCGCGTCTTGGCTCCAAACTAACCGCGTGCTAACACTTAATAGGCTCAGTTACAATAATGGCAATCTCTACGCGCCAAAGACGTTTCGCTGCTTTTACTGCGGCCACTGCCGTTGTGGTTGGCGCTGGCGCCGTTTTTTTGCAGACATATCCACATCTTGATCCCACCGAAAAGATCAAAGCGTTTCTATACTCCAAACTGCCAAGCCAGGCGAATGAAGAGAGTGAGGATTCGGCGCTTACGGAAAGTAGTTACGCTTTGCCCGAAAGTTCTGTTGAAGAGTGGTCAGAGGAAGATCTGAGAAGGTTTTTAGAACAGGTGAGTTAATATTGGTCTTTTTGAGTTTTGGGGAGTTTTACTAACGCGTTTTATAGAAACAAGTGGTTGCGCCTGAGGGAGCGGCTGTGGAAGAGCTTTTGGCGTTGGTCAAGTCGCTGAATGTTTGAAGTTGTATTAGCTGGTCAAATCTGGTGGTTTCGTTATTACGTGATCAACCAGGTTTCTCATTTTATTGTCTGTCTATGAGTCGGGATATTTGTTCTATATCAGTTCTATATCTATATTTAATCACAATCCGTTTAAGACATCGTTTCAGTACGTGTTTGAGAGCAACCGCTTTCCAGTTGAAGGGTTCTCTTTGAGTTCTAGATTAGGTGTGATGAACGCGAAGCTAATCACTACCAGACCCTGAGATGAGTGCTCAGGATATTTAATCCAACTGCATTGGTGAACATGATCACTGTGGTGATTTCGTTGTCGCATAAAGTTCCTTCCCGTCAACTTCATAATGACCTCCTGGAAGATCCATCTCAGGAATAGAGAGGCTCCTTTCTCGCTTTCTAATTCTTTGTATCTACTCGTCTGTGCCCTTCTGACCCACAAGGTCCATTCGACTTCATTTCGTGGCTTTCCTCCACGACTCCATTCCTCTCTGAAATATTTCGTAGGTCAGGCCAACCCGCTCACTTGGGATGTGCAAAAACTTTACACCAAGATCCCGCTCAACATCTTTGTTGCGCATCTCATCGTCAAAAAGACACATTTCTGAAAAAGCAATCTTATTCCTCTCTGCTAATCGTTTCAAATGCCTCACTTTGGAACCCTGTCCCCATTCTGAATCTTCGAAATAGCCATCTATTCTGAAGTGGCTCAGTAGATCGCGTGCGATCCTAGGTGCAGCGGTCCGACTTGCACTGTAAATTTGGACTCCGTTATCCTGAAGCTCCTGGAGAATCCGCGGAACATCTGGATACACCTGGAGCTTGTATCCGTACGAATCCACCACTAGGGGTCTTTCCCGCGTTCCTCCAGCCTTCTCCAGTTTAAGCGGAGGGCTTAGATGTGTATCACACCAACAAGCTAGAGGCGTTAGTCACCGAATCATTGCGAAGGGAAAGATTTTGGTCTGAACTCACGCCAAATAGTGTAGTCCAGGTCAAAGACAACGGCTTGGGGATATTTGGCCATTGGACAATAATATCTTTAGCAAGCACCGGAGAAATAATACCGTTATAGACTGTTTATAAACGGTTTGTGGCGTATCATATCTCATCCGTCAAAGCATCGCCTCCATTTGGAGGTTGTTTCCCGATTGGGAATATGATTGGAACACACACGACCTTCAACTAAACTGTGGGGGGCAAATCGGCTGGCCCCCTGTTTCCTGTCAGTATTTCTTCTCTTAAACTTCAACCGCTGGTTACGATGTCATTCACGGTTGTAACTGTTAAGATAACAACTGATGATGTCCACAAGGACGAGTATATTTTTTACGGGGAGAATCTCCCGACTCCGCTGACTGAGCAGGCGCTTCTGAAGTCATTGATTAGGAATTCGCCTGAGAAGTACAGGGACTTTTTGGAGAATTGCGAGCTTGAGATCAAACGGAAATCTAAGAAGTGTGAGCTTGAGATCCAACGGAAATCTAAGAAGAGTAAGCGCTATGTTTCGTTGAAGACAGCTGAAGATTTTGCCGCTCTTAACCGTAGTCTCCAGGTGAAGAATTGTTTGAAGCTTGATATTGTTTGTGGCAAGCGGAAGGAGGAAGTGTCTAAAGATGTTGGAGCGGCAGCTGAATTTGCGGGTGCAGCTCCTTCGATCCCACCTTCGACTGCAGAGACTTCCGCCTCTAGTTCCACTTCGTCAGCTCAACACACAGATGAGCCTAGTCCAGGCAAGGCCAAGGACTTGCCCTCTCTCATCAAAATCTTTGAAGATCTGGTGGATGATGAATCCAGTTCAAAGAAGTTTTTCGATCATTATTCCAAGCTGTACGAGAAGAAAGGGCATCCTTCAATTCCCGAGTTCCTGGCTTCCCTCGTCAACATCAACGATCTCGGAACCGTAATTTCGGACAATCTGCTGAACTCGGACTTCATCAAGAATCCTGCCAAGCTGTACAGTGCGAATGGAATTTTCGTTGACTCCGAAAATGAGTCTGCTCCAGTTCAATTTAGATGCTCCAAATTTTCCAAAAACTCAAAGGCCAAAAAGTTCACCAGTCGACCCTGGCCAGCTCCAACTGCGATTCATCGCGGGATCTACTGTGACGGGTGTGTTCCTCCTGGCTTTGAAAATGGAAATTACATCCACGGTGTCAGATATCACTGTCTTGAGTGCAAGGACTTCGATCTCTGCGAGAAGTGTGAAAATGATGGTGTTGCTCAAGGATCACACAACGATACACACTCGATGGTGAAGATCAAGAAGAATTTGCATAAATGTGAGCTCAATGCCATGTACCCTGTCCTGATCTGCCTTGCGATCTGCTT